CAAGCAGTTTGTTGTTGCAACTCAGGCTAGGAGGGCTCGTTGTGGAGTACCGCAACAGGGCTCACACTTGACACGCCGCAGCTTGGCACTTCTTCAGTCTTTCCATGCAACGAAAGCAAAACCTAAATTGTCCGCCCCCCCCCCCCCCCCACACATGCAACGGAGCCCCTAAACCCTAAACCCCCCGCCCTCAAAGGTACGAGTACAAAGTTGGCTTCAGGGGGGTGACGTGTTCCTGCGGCCTCAACACCAGCGCTAACAGCATCCGCCAAGAGCATCTCAGGCAAATCCTGCATGGGCGCATGGACGTTGAGGCGTGGCTGACCCTCTCTCTCTCCCTCTCTCTGACGGCCAAGTTCCTGGGGGTTCTTTGCAGCAAGACCTGGCGCGGGAACTCACAAGCATGGCCTGGTACAGTAGCTCCATGAAGACTTCGCCCGGGTCGGCCTCAAGCACTTGTGAATGTGGGAAAACAAGCCCACCGTTGGAAGAGTCGACACGCGATTGCACTACTGATGTTCAATAGCACCAAAACGGATGCTCCTAAGCCGATGATGAGAACATAGGGGAACATCAAAAAAACATCCCAAAGATCCTTTGGACCTCGATGACTTGCTACTGACTTCCGCATAGGCTCCGGACGTGGCGGTGGAGGCCGGCAGCTGCAGCTACGCGGCCGGCCGAGATACGGAGCACGCGCGGCCAAGACCTGTCCACAAGACCAGCAACTAGGATGGCCCTCAAAAGGCCTCGGAAAACATTCCTGAGTACGATCCTCTTCAACCCCACAAGGGAAAACATACAATGTTCCAGGAGCCTACCTAGGCAAGCTTCCAGCTTTCCAGCGCGATGGAAGCTCGAAGCCCAGGTCTTTGCCGTCGGCTCATGCCAACTGCATACAACTGCTCAGGACCCGACTTTGCTTTGGTACCTGGCCGCTGCGTCTCTTCGTCGGAGTCATCGATTTGGACCACCTCACAAACAGTTCCTCCTCAGATACTGCTTGTATAAGCAAATAGTAGGATACTTCTGCCCCTTGGGACACTCAATGCAGGCTTCATCGGGGCCTCATTCCTCGACCCGAGGCCACGGATGTCCATGCGGCTGGTGCCCTTCAAGCCTCGGAGCAGACGGCATGCTGGGGTTTCGAGTTTAGGGTTTAGGGTTTAGGGTTTAGGGTTTAGGGTTTAGGGTTCAGGGTTTAGGGTTTAGAGTTTAGGGAATGGGCATGAGAACATCCCACTAGACCAGGCGCTCGTGAAGAAAAGTTGCCATCACACCGCAAGTGGCTTAGGTCCGAAAAGGATCTAAGTTGCTCGGTTTGGTGGGAATCTTCATCCAATGCTGGTCATCACGCTAGACAGAAACACTTCTCTGTCCTTGGGCAGCAGTGCTGACAGTGCTCAGGCCAAGTTGCGTAAGGAGTCCGCGCGTCTCAGCTCCTGTTCGGCAGGCGTGTTTCGGTACACTCTTTGCAACCGTCGGAGGATCGTCTGGTCGGCTCCATGTCGTGCCGAATGCAAAACCTTTCACAAAATTGCTTAGGTCGCATTCTTCACCTTTTGACAAGGAGTCGACCCCCTGTAAAAGATCCCCTTACAAACCGAATACTTCAACTCGGTTTACGGATATTTCAGGTTGTGAGGGGTTTGCCCCACTCAACAACATGACCAGGCTTGACGACGCAGCTCGACCAGAAGCTCCACATCCGATACTGGAACGTTAATCTTAGATGCTTAAGCTACGAAGCTCTTCAGCCCATGAGAAAAACCCTCAACCCCCGAACACCTAAAAATAGAAAGGCCCAAACCCCTAAATCCCTAAATCCTAAACCCCTAAACCCTCTAAATCCTTAAACCCTTAAACCCCTAAACCCCAAACCCCCCCTAAACCCCTAAACCCCCAAATCCCTCAACCCTCCCAAATCCCGAAACCCCTAAATCCGAAATCCAGAACCCGTAACCCTAAACCCTCCTAAATCCCTAAACCCCTAAACCCGCCTAAATCACTAAACCCCTAGACCCAGCTAAATCCCGAAAACACCTAACCCTCCTAAATCTAGAGCCCTTAAACCTTCCTAAAATCCCTAAACCCCTAAACCCTCCTAAATCCCGAAACACCTAAACCTCCTAAATCCCTAAACCTTCCTAAATCCTAGACCCCTAAACCCTCCTAAATCCCTGAACCCCTGAACCCTAAACCCCTAAACCCCTAAACCCTGACTGACCCTAAACCCCTAAACCATAAACCCTCCTAAATCCTAATCTGCAAATGTCCTGCCCGAGCACGGGCGCTGACTTCGACCGTAGTGGCGATGCCACGGTTGAGGCCAAGGCGGGTGCCGAGTGTGACCTTCAAAAAGGGGTTTTGGGCCCTCAAGGGGTTCTGAGGGTTTAGGGTTTAGGGTTTGGGGCTTGGGGTTTGTTTAGGCTTTAGGATAGCTGCTTTCGGGACTAGGGTACCCATGGACTCTCACAAGAAGCTTCAGCTCGAACATGCTCTGCCACGTCTTCATGCTCTCAGAATCGATAAGAGGCCCCGCCCCCCCACCGGATTTGCTTTGATTGACTGGCAATACTCAGGTATTATCGGAGCAGCCGCATGGCTTTGACTGGCATAGCTTGCTCTTCACGTTGCCCGGCCTAAAGAAGCCATCAATTTTCCGTTGCTTCGATCCTTCGGTGTCCTGACCATTGGCTAGGCACGCATGACTGATCAGCCATGGCTCGAAAGCACCAAGCAACCTACTTTTGACAACTTGAGGCAAGGCTGCCGCTATCGGATCACACGGTTACCTGACAGAATCAATAAGGAGATAGGCATATGTCGCAACAGTCCGCAACGATGCTAGAGTCTTGTGGGATGAGCCGTTCCGCCCGAAGCAAGGCCTGAGCTTACCGATACGTGTCCTCCAGCTTCTCCTCCCTGGCGCGCTTCTGCGCGGACTTTGACTCCGACATGCCAGCACGGAAAAGCTGCACAACTCTACAAGCTGATGTCTTGGGCGTCATTGGGGGGGGGGGGGTACTTTTGGGCGTCCCGTCGTCTTACTTTCAATGCATTTTTTTCTTGGAGAAATACAAGTCCTGTTTTGGGCATCCAATTCACTGCTTCCCTTCATTCTGTTTCTCGAGGCTTGATGCAGACACGTCGGGCATGGACTGATGACGCCAGGAACAAATCTCAACTAACTTCAGGACTGCAGCCCTCAAGTCAGTGACGTTTGACTTCAGTTACAAGAGTTGCAACTGGGATGCCCAAGCATTTCAGAACTTTTCAAACCCTTGACCCTGCCCCATACTCCTCCGGACTCATGCGGAAAGAAGCGGCCGCAGGTTTATCTTCCCCTCCTTGCTGGTCACACGCTTGTCACACCTTCGTGTCCAGAATCCTCGCTTGCTGAGGTCCCGACTGCCTATCTTGCATGCAGGGCCACGCTTACATTGGCCACTAGTCTCTTCCGAATTCGTGCCTGTCGACTGTCAGCTTGCTAGCTAGGAACAGGCGTGTGCAACCCGAAGCCCGGACAGAATGTCAACGGTTGCCATTGACGGCGCAGGATACTTCTGCACACTTGTCAGCAATCTCCCCAATGTGCAGATCTCTGGAAGCAGCTTCATGACAGGTCAGCGGAAAGACGCGTCCTGCAACGCAGGCTGACTCGAACGATACGTAACTGCCACTACAGCGCCCTGAGGCTGCAGGCCGGCTCTACACGTTTATTTCATGAGGAGAAGCTGCATGAAGTGCAAGAGATGCAGCAGTCCTCAAACAAAGAGTTTCGAAGTCTCTTCCTCAGGTCAAGGTGCACTTCACGGTGTTCCTCTTGCATCTTAAGCGTTCAAAACACCAGCTCTGTGGGGGCCAGTCCCGAACTTCTCATAGTACCAACGAAACCCGCAAAACCACAGTGTGGTGTGTCCTGGTCTGCGGACGCTGGCAGGGTTACTTCCCCGGATGCAGTCACCCGAGGGCCGGACGAGGGAGTAAGGCCAGCAGCATCAGAGAGCTTTTGGTGGCTTGCACGATGCAGCTGTTGAATGCGGGACCTTGCGATGAGTGATGGGTCGGCCATATACTGCTACAACTTCCAGATCATGGAACACATGTCGTGTATCCGGCGAGTTCACACACTGGAAAGTTTACAGCAAGGCAGAGATACAATCAAAAATAGGCAAAATAGGCACCTCCAAAAGGGCTCCAAGTGTCCCAGCGAGATGCTGGGAGCCTTCTACCCCTGCTATGATTGAAACAAGTTCATGTAGATCTGTACCGCCAACTTCCAGTCTATTCAGGTAAGGCATCTGCTGCAGTCTCGAAGCACACTCTCGATCCTGCCGCAAGCTTCGCTCAGCCTGCAAGGATGTTCAACGGAGGACGGATGGACATCCAGAAAACCTCAGATGCCTCGTATCAAACCCACGGCGCAACTTTCTGAAGCCCGCCTCGAACACTTTGCGACGGAGATTCTCTGTCTTAGCCTTGGTGCTGACAGATCTTGCCAGCCGTGCCGGCCAATTCCCGAGGAGAAACAGATCAGCCTGCGGAGACCTCTTGACAAAATGCCACGGTTTAGGGTTTAGGGTTGAGGGCTTAGGGTTTAGGGATTTTATCCCCTCCGTCAGGCACCAGGCAAGCTGGGACTTCAACGCCGACTCTGCCTGACAGCATCTGAGAGCTCTTGCAAGTATGGAAAGCTGTTACAAGCATGCGCCAAGCATAGGGATGCATAGGCAAGCGAAGCTGTGAGGCACCTCTGTCAAACGCTTTCGGATTGTACGGTTCAGCTGGTTCGCGTGCGCAATCATCTCCTTCCATCTTCCGGAGCTTCGGGCTGACTTAAGGACATGCAGGCCACGGGAACAAACGAGCGATTGTGGAGCAACCGTCGTGTACTGCCTTCTCCTGCGCCGCCTCCCGACCAAATTCCTGGAGGGCTGTGACTCTTCTCCGACGCTTGCGTTTAAACGCTTAACGAACTCTTTGCGGACGTGGTCAACTTAGCCTTGCACCTCGGCCTTCTGGCCCTCCCACAACTCCAGCGCCACGGCAGCAGCCTCCTGTTTACAGGACCATACAGGTATATGGCATTCATGGCATCAGGATTCATATAGTACATACACTCACCAATATTAAACAGGAACCTTAGATACACTCACCAATAACAGTAATATAAACCTGTTTCATATCCCGCGCCACCAAGGTCGCCTGGACTTCCAGCGGCGACGAAGTTACCAGGAGCTCTTGCAGCAGCTTCAGGCGCTCCCTGAGACCGAACTGTTTTACCTGCATATGGGTCGTAATGGGGACCCCAAAAAGGCCCATACGCTAGAGCCGGTGCCTGTCATCAGCTCGACCAACATGGCGCCGCTTTGCCTGACTAGCAAAGCTTCCACACACTCCTGGTCAAGCGATCAGGCGGAAGCTCAAAAAAACACACCGATAGCGTGCATGCACAGCCCCCGGCGCAGACTCCATTACGGCACACGGGACACTCATCTGAATGAAGGAACCTGGCAAAGAGCACATTTGGCTTGTAGTTACTGCGGAGTTTCTGAACAGGCCGGTGGGTCCACTCTTGCGCATGCTCCTTGCACAGCAGGTGCCGGCAACGTAGGAAGACGCCCTGACATGCACCACAGCGAGCGAAGCCCTGATGCTAGGAGCCTAATCGAAATGCTTACGGCTTCAGCAGGCCTCCTTTATGGCAGCACCACAAGTTTGCTTCTTCATAGGAAAGTTGCATCGCAAGGCTGCGAACTCTTCCACCTTCCAAGCTGACTGTCAAACATCCTACGCTCCAAGGATGAAGGAGGATGAATGGGTCGCTTCTCCACATAACTTGACTTTCACGAGGCCCTCAAAAGTAATTCTGGTCAATGACTTCGACCCCATCGCCTGATCTTCGCTCAGGTTTGGCTGCGGCATGGCGGTAGCTTGTAAGAATAAGGCCACTCACAGTTGCAAAAGCAATTGAAGCAGATGGCCAGACATGCTTGACAACCCATGAAACTGATTCGGCTTCCGCTGCCGTGAGCCCGTACACGGCTGGGATGGCTCAAATGCTCTGAGTTCAGATTTTCATGAGAGTTCCCACACGACAAGCATTTCCAACCCCGATCACTTGTTTGTTCCCCATGCTCGTGCCGGGTTTGCACTTTCCGCGCGTCGGTGCCTCATTGTGCTCCGACTACACTTGTGGCCTCTTTCCGCAGAAGCTTCAACCTAACATCATGGAGCTACGGATATGACGAATACGCCGCGCATCAATGCAGGCTTCCTTGTGCCTGTCACTAGCATCCCGTGGCTTTAAACATGCTGTTTTCCCTCTGTCCATGTAGATGCCAACGAATGCCCTCTCATTTCCCTCGGGATGCAAGCAAGCTCATAATTGCGGGGGCACACAAATACCCCAAGCCTACAGATATGCCTTGTCGCAAGGCCGAGATGGCAATGCCTGTGTAGTTCGCTGGCCTAAAGTAATCCTGTAACGGCTGCTTCTCTGAATGATGCTGCAAGAGGAAGATCCGCCATTGGTTGAAAGGTGAAGAACCCAGGCACGCCAGGAAGACGACGAGGAAGACCACTGCTGGAGTGATCGAACTACCACTCAACCCAAGGACAGATGGCATCGCGTAGCCTCGAAGCACGCCGTAGGCGACATCGCGAAGGAGTGTGGGGAGGTAGGCCTCGTAGAGCTTGCCCCACCGGACCGGTAGCTTCATTGACCGCCGGTATAAGAAGTTGGAGATTGGGAGTGTCACTGTGGCGAAGATGCCACCGGCGATCATGCCCCCAACGAGAGGCGAAGTTGCTCGGCTAGTGGCCGTGGCGAAGAGCGCCTCGAAGAACGGAAACTTGAGCAGGTTCGCGATGAGCGTTGCCCTGAAGGACAGCAAAACGACCTTCAGGGAGACGTCGTGCGAGTTTTTCACCAGCACTTCCACTTCAGAGAGCGTGGCCTCCCAAATTCGCAGGTTCGCTTTTTGCTTCCCGCCCCCGTTGCCTCTACAACTGCTCACTCTAGCCGTGGCCCCGGACCTGGACCATCGCCGCGATGATCCTGAGCACAGCACAACACAGCAGAACCACAGGGGGGGTTTGATGATCTTGGGGTACCTTATTGTGGGGTCCTGATTGTAAGAGGATCCTCTACTTGGGGGTCTAGACTGGGGTCCCCCATTTTCGTTAAACCCCCATAGAAATCTCCCGCAAGCCAACCCTTGCCCGAGTCATCTACACTCGGCTTTCACGGCCACGCAACAATGACCAGCAGGCTCACAGATGCTTGTCCTTTAGGTGCTTTTGCATCCTTATGAGAAACAGCTTAGCAAATTCTAAAAAACAATCAAAGGAGGGTTCAACCGATAAAACGTAGGGCCTTGAAGGCTGGGACTGCTGGCCCAAGCGTCCCTGCACCCACATAGGTCATCATGCTCCGGAGGGCCATGCGTGGCAACACCGGGTCCTGCCAAAACAGTGCAAAAAACTGCAGGCGGCACCCCGGGGTTTCTAATGTCGGGAGTCACACAGGAGAGCTGGGTTGTGCTGCTGGCTGCTCGGTCCCTGCACGCCGTGAGCGGGACCCGAGTGCACCCAGCCAAGGGTGGCACTTGTGACCGCTCGGGCTGCTCAGGGACATGCCGAGTCACTGCAGAAGCCTGGGCTACGACAATGCTTCATCACTACAGACTACAGCCAGCGCCCCTATCGCTTCCTGGCCTTTGGAATCCAAAGACAGGGGGCAGAAAGAAGAAGGAATTAAACCAGGCGGCTGTGAAGGTTCTCGATCCGGTCTCATCCAGCTGCAAGCAGCTCTGCAAGGCAAGGACCACGCCGGCACATGCCAGGCCATTCAGGAAAGGCCTTCGACGTCGACCGACCATGGCTCTCAGAATCAAAGCATTGAAACTCTTCTTGGTCTGTATCTGTTACTCAATCTCTCCGGGGCCAGAGTGGCTGGAATTGAGAGGTCGTTTCTTTTTGGGAGACAACACTGACACCCCGCTGTGGCAACCCACCTTCAGGTCTTGGATTCTCGGTTGAATGGCCTCCGAAATTCGCCCCACCTAGCTCGAAGCATCCCGCACCGATTTTCCGCGGTTTCTCGGCCCAGCCCATTGGTCTGCAGCTGCATGTCCTAGATCTCGATACAGCAGCTCAACCAGGAAAAGCAAAGCCATGGGATCTCCCATTGCAAGTGGCAGATCGAGTCACCCTGGTCTGCGGGTGCTGCGGATGCCCCGGCGCCGCGTTCCATTGCAAGCTGCCAAGGCCCGTTCCGTTGCGCATGAGGCAACTTTCAGCCTTTCAACAGCCATGTCCTTGGCTGGACCCGAAGCCCCCGAAGTCCCGGGAGTCCCGGAAACCCTGGGCCGCAATCCAGGTTGAGACTTCTGTCGGGCCATGGCTTTGTTCAGAGCTTCTGTGGCTCGTCGGCGCTTCTTGCAGCCCCAACGGCAAGGCTTCGTTGCTTCCTGTTCAAAGGCCGTGGCGCGATCGCGCCCAGGGCTTTCAGTCTTCCGCATCATGCCGAGCCAAGCATCACGAAATGGCTCCCATCCCTGGCTTCGTGCTAGCAGCAGCTGGTGCCGCAGCTTCAACACATCCACCAGGGGCAGTACTGGCGATGACACGTGCGTTGATCCCAACCATCTCGCCGCGTGAATGCTGAGATAGCTTCGAATTCCATACTGCTGCAAGAAGTGGTTCAAGTCGTGGCATTCGCTTTGAGATCCAAGGCAGCTGCGCGGCCTCATGTTCACCACGGGCTCACGCTCTAACTCCGCAAAAGCAGCTGAGAACGCCTCACAAAGCTCAGAGACACTCTCAGTGGCTCCAGGCTGCGTATTCATCATCACCAGCTGCCTCAATCTGACCAGCAATATGTGGTATTCCACTGCCATCTGTCGAAACGTGTAGGAACTGTATAGCCGAATGTGCTCGAAGCTGATCTTGGCCCGAAAGAGCCCTTGTCGACTTCGCTGCAAACCACAGGCCTTCGTGGCCTGAGAGGCCCTCGAGGCCTTGGGCTCCGCCGGTCTGCGGCTCGGCCTCTTCGGCCGCTTCGGCTCACATTCCGCAGTAGATGCGGAAGGCATCGCCGAGGCCTGAATAGAGTTGGCGTGAAGTTGTTACGACTGCCTAGATGCTCCAACCGGAATCCTTCAACATGGTCTGGATCGCAGCCTCCATGAACTTGAGCAGCTGCAAACGCACCTCCGATTGGTTGTGAAAGCACGAAATAGCACGAACCTCCTTGCCCCTCTCCCCAGCCCATCTTAAACCTAAGTCACAACCCCGCTAAGCCGCTACTACTACCGCTGCCGCTACTGCGCTACCATACCACGCTACCACGCTACCACGCTACCAGGCTACCAGGCTACCAGGCTACCAGGCTACCAGGCTACCAGGCTACCAGGCTACCAGGCTACCACACGACCACGCGACCACACGACCAGCACGACCAGCACGACCAGCACGACCAGCACGACCAGCACGACCAGCACGACCAGCACCACCAGCACCACCAGCACCACCAGCACCACCAGCACCACCAGCACCACCAGCACCACCAGCACCACCAGCACCACCAGCACCACCAGCACCACCAGCACCACCAGCACCACCAGCACCACCAGCACCACCAGCACCACCAGCACCACCAGCACCACAAGCACCACCAGCACCACCAGCACCACCAGCACCACTACCACTGCCACTACCACTGCCACTACCGCTACCTGCCACTGCCTGCCACTTCTGCCACTGCCACTGCCACTGCCACTGCTGCCACTGCCACTGCCACTGCCACTACCACTACCACTACCACTACCACTAAGCCCATGAGGCCTCCGGGCTCAGTGCCCGGATGCCCTCTTCGCGCGGCTGAGGCGGAAGCCGCTGCAGAGCGGCCTCGGAAAGCCGGGGCCCGTCGAGAAGCGGCCAAGGGTGTGAGTTTGGGGTTTGAGGGTTGAGGTCGGGGCAGTTGGGTGGGAGCATGATATATTATATGATGCTTCCTTGGGCCTGCTTGTGTGCCTGGCTAGAACCACGCGCATACTTTCTCCAGCCTCAAACCTAAACCCGCATAAACTGGCTCGAGCGGTGCAAGGGCCAAAAGGAGTGCTGACAAGCAAGAATAACCCTGGAGGACCAATGGAGAAGTGATGGCTGACAAACCCTTGGCCTTGCAAGGATGGACCAATGCGACGTGAACGCTACATCACAACACAAACATGGTTTAGAACCACACGGACAATGTCTAGCAAACCTAAGAAGGATTATGACGATGATGCTGATGAACAAGAACAGAAATGCACAATGTTTTCCTGCAAGGAGTCAGCTCTGAACAGGTGGATGACTGGCAAAGCGTGATCCCTGAATGGACTCCCGTTACACGAGCTGCGTGGTGCTGTTTGGCTAGGCAAACCTGTATTCTTATGCATCTTCTTGAACCATCACGTGGTCATTTAGTCGACTTGCTACTTTCGGGTTACCTTGGTTCAGGCTTTCGCAGTTCCAGGGATTTTGGGCTCTGAAGCTTCGGCCCACTGCTCCATTTCGGATGCTTATCGGGATTGCCAGCCCTCTTTCAGACCTTGAGACAGGACTTCCGCCACTTCCCACTCCTTTTGAGGTTTCGAGGGCAGCATGGCAACACTGAGGCCTAAACCCTAAACCCGCCCTCTGCGTAGCCAACACAAAAACCAGAGAAGATCACAGCAAGGCGTCGCGGAGGCGCTTGAGGGCGGAGTGGAGGCGCAAGGATTTCCGAGTCCAGCGCCTGGAGGGCGAACTCGTCAAGATGGCCCAATTGTTGATGCGTGTGGTCCCTTTGGGGGTTTCTGAAATTAGGGGCGCCGTATTGGGGTCCTTACTATCAGGGAATCCTACTATGTGGGGGTCTATATTGGGGGGGGGTTACTTCATAAACCCCATATGGTACTATTACTGCCAATTATCCTTATGGTTGGTATGGCTCCATTAGAAAGGATATTGCTATGGCTGTTAGTGGCATGGCTACGCTGGCTGATCTTCTTGCCAATACAATCATCTTTCAGCCTTCGAAAGTGCAAAATGCCATCAGTGGAACAACAGAAGGAGCTCGCGGACCATCTGAAAGCAACATTCGTTTGTCAACAAACCCGTGGCTTGGCAGCGCAGACCAGTGAAACCACCAAACCAGAACCATTGCAGAAAAAATCGGCCCCTACAACGCTGGCCCTTGTGTGGGCGGGGGACCAACTTCTCAGAATTCTCTTTTGGGAAATTGGCAATCACAACTTTCCAAGCGCCATGGTCAATGGCTCCCTGTGAGCACATCTCCTCGCCGGACTGCTCAATCTTTTTGAGCCAACCCCGCCACAGCTGAACTGGACCCATTTGCTCCCGACAAGAAACGCCACTTTTTTGGCTTCACAAGCCGGCTACGAGCCCGAAAAGCCGGAGTTCGTCATCTCTTCACCCAACTGGATCCATTTTCTCCCGACCTTTCTCGTCGGGAGGGTTTTTTGGCACTTTGAGCCTTGAAACCTCCAAAACGCGAATTGTGCCAACCTTTTGTGTGCGTGGTGTGGATTTTGCCTAATTAGTGGTACGGTATAGCGTACTCTGATAAGAAACGCGGAAACTTGGAGTGCCTGAGCTCGAGTTTTTTCGGGTGGAGCAGCGGAAGATGAGAAACTTAGGGTACCCTACCCCCGAAAAACCGCTTCCTTATTCAACACTGTCACGGCAAGTACGAGGAGATCTCAAAGAACCAGCGAAGCTCACCTACGGAAAACACAAATGCCAGCACAAAGTCACAGTCCTTCTTGAAAGAGAGCTCGGCTGAACGCACGGCTGTTGGCATGATGGAAGCAGATGCCTCAGTTGCCGCACAACTCTGTTCTCGCAAGCGGCTCACAACACAAGCAACGTGCATCTAGGCCGCACAAACGACATGACTTGAACTCGAGAAGCAGAAACCCATGGCAATCCACAGCAAATTTCGAATTTCATCCTAGAATCAAGAGATTCCCCAATACCCTTAGTCAACCTCATGGGGGCCGAGTAGACATTCCGGCTGCGCCTTCGTAGGGAATGAGGGAAGGAGGTACCCTATATCCCCCTATATCTACCCTTTAAGGGATTTGTAGGGTACCAACGAAGAACCAGGCGTCATTGGCAGACATCTGTCCGGGCACGGAAGGGCTGCTCGACGCGGCTCTCCACTCGTGCAGGGGCCTCGAAGAGGCTGGCAAATGGGGCAGGTTATAAGGGGGGTATCACACAGGGGGGTATTACGGGAGGGTTATTTGGGGGGAGATAAGGGGGGGAGGAAAAAGGAGGTACAAGGAGGGTTCTTAGGGGGATACATGAGGCGGGGTCTAAGGGAGCAGGGGGGGTAAGAAGGGGGTTTGAGGCTGAAGGCGTTTTAAGCATCCGCATGCTTTCACACCGGGTCTGACGCCTTACAACAGTTTTTACCAACTGTCTGCATCCCACTATCAATGGACGCGCTACCACGCCTCCTCTTCGGAGCAGTTCCCAGCTCAATGCCTGTGACAGTGCTTTTAGGGCCCGACAGGAGTACGGTTTGAGTGTGCTTCGGGTATGTGGGCGCGACCCAGTCACATACTCACGTTGGCCCTGCTGCGCACAAAATCTGGCTCAGTCCTGTACGACACTTGTGTGTGCTCAGTTAAAACCGTTACAAAGACTCGACAAAGTAAAAATCCACAAGCCTGTCAGGAAAAGACAAATGCCCTTTACCCCCTAAACCCCTGACCCCTAAACCCCAAACCCCAGACCCCAAACCCTAAACCCTAAATCCTAAACCCCATACAACACGTCAATGAAACGCTGAAACCGGCAAGGCGGAGCCTCAAAAGCCACCGCGCTTCGGCGCAGGGCCACGGCGGCTGATGGGGCGTTGAGGGCGTGGCACCCAAGTTTGGGTTTCAAAGGTTAGGGGTTTTGGGTTTATGGTCATAGGCTTCAGATGGCTTCAGATGGCTTCCGATGGCTTCAGATGGCTTCAGTCGCTTTACTTACAGGTCAGGGTTGAGAGGTTGACTGAGTTTGAGGCTCGGTGCTTGGAGCCTCTTGCCACTGAAGGTGCGGGGTCCACTGGAGTTTTTGAGAGTTTTTGGTCGGGCTCCTCAGCGACTGCGGAGGTTTTTCGCACACTTGAGACGTTTGGGATCGTTTGGGGCACCCTTGAAGTGGCAGAGTGAACTGGGCAACTCAAGAGGACCTGCACTCGGAGGTGCTTGCTCGGCAGCTTCTGCAGCCCGCCGATATGCCTCACCTTGGCTTTACATTTCATGAAGTTTGGTAAGGTGCTTCATCTCAGCTGCTCCGAAACACATGGCACAATGTGCCTGCGACACATCCATGCAAAGCAGAGGCCCAGGCTCAGCTGCAGGAAAGTGAAGCCTGGGGAAGTGCCAAGCACCTGAGAGCCACGGAGCATTGTCCAACAGCAGCTCCAATGCAGCTATGTCTTCGTTGCATCGAAGTTCGGCCTTCTGAAGTTCTCTAGCTGGAAACGTGACCCTATTTCAACGTGATCTGTGCACAGGCTTATTGTCGCAGCCGTGTCTCGGCGTACGGATCCGCAGACATCTCGCCTTGGCACTTTGGAGGCACACAGAAGGCTGCCAACCCTGGGGCGCCATATCCCCAACCCATCTCAAGAAGAGCTGGGCAACAAAACACCACCGCTGTGTTCTGAGAGAACTATTACTGAAAGAAACAGGAGAGTCTGCGGAGCGAGTGCTTTCAGCAGGCTGTTGCCAACCATCACACGGAGTTACTCAGACTTCCGAGAAACCACGGATCACGCTTTCCGCTATGTCTCTACAGCAGACTTGCCCGCCTCTGGCAGGCCACCCAGCAAGTACGTTCTGCCGCTGGCGGCTGTCCGCTCCAGATCCTCACCAACCGCTTAGCATCTTCGCGGCAGCCATTGGGCAGTGACTGCTTGAACGCAACATGTTCTCACACAGTGATTCCTTGTGCCCTCGGCTCAGCTCGCGGTTGCATTTTGTAGAGAACATGCCATCCATCACTAAGACTCTGCCTAGGTCCTATAAGACACCCATCCTCGGAAGAACATGACAGGCTCCAAGAAGGGCAGAAGCCAAGCGTCAGTGACTGCTGCACGCTTGCAGCAGCCGGAGAGATCACACCTGCAGGGAGCCATGAGCCAACCCGTGCTTCATGCTTCCCCCCTTCACCTGAAGCTGCCTTCTGCATTGACACGGGAAGCCCGTGATCTGTACTCACGTCACATAGGCACCCACAAACATCTGCCTGTGAACCCGAGAACTGAACCCAAGAACCTTCCACTGATTTCCAGGCGATATGGTCTGGGTGTCGCGCTGATGGAGGCTTGGGGGTGGAATTGGGGGTGGGATGGGTGGGCCACAGTGGGTCGAAAGGGACAAAAAGTGAGCGCCGCCTTTGATGCAACGCCTGCATACTCAGCATGTCTTCAAGGGCCTGGTCCTTCTGCTCTTTCATGTTTAACTACCCGACATCAAGGAAACAATTGCTGAGCTCAGGCGAGAGGCAGGAATGGTGCGGGGAAGCAATCATGGATCACTCACAGCAGTAGGCCCAGCAGTGCCAGTAGCAGTAGAAGCACGCAAAGGCCCACCTCAGCACATGCAAAGGAAGGCAACAAGAAGTCCACCTTACTTGCCATGAAGCTGATTCAGCTGGGGCCCGCAACTCGATGACCCTGGACCTGACTCACGTATATTCCAGATCATTGCAGCCTCTGTGGATGCTGAGCCCGGTGCCCACCATTGAGCAAGGAGAGAGCGAGACCTGCAGACATGGCCCCGACGTGGAACTGCGGCTTTGCAGCGCCCAACGACGACTAAGCTACCGGCACGAACACAGGAGCGGAATTCATGTTGGACATCATGATGAAAATCGGTTGTTGATCCTTCCAGCTGTGAAGGTATCACGTCTGCATTGCACGCTATCACGCTTTAAGGCTTAATTATATAGGTTGATAATGAATTTCGACAGGCGGAGGTTAGCAACTTTTTGCAGGTCCGCACTCAAGTAAATCTATGCCTTTGTTGCCTGAGACCACTTACCTGCTATTGATCTTAAAACATGCAGGCAGACATGTCCTGGTGAACAGGGGAGGAATTGCAGGGGCCCGATTGCTCCTACACACTGAGCTGAAATGTCCGCAGGGGGGGCACACGTGGCATAGAAGCGCATTTGCAGCGCGAGCGTCGGAGGTCGGACAATCTTTTATCCTGCTGAGGTCTTTTCGGCAAGGATCTCTGCTGTGCTCGTCGAACCGCTCTTTGGACGCTTCACTGATTCACAGAAACGCAAGCACTACCTTACCGCAACGCTTGCGCTGACCGCTGACCATCCATATGGATTTCAGCGAAAGAAAATGGAGAGCCGCTTGCAACGTCGCAACGTCGCATCGATCTGGGGCACGCAATACGCGCCACGGGGTGTGAGGCATTAGTATATTTGGGCCATTCAAAACATGTGAGGATGGCAGATCACAGGAACTCGCTCCACAACATCGGAGCATGACGCGGCAAAAGCCGAGCATCCCTCACCTGGGCAGCAACTGCCTTGGTATAAGGTTGACCTGAGAGGGCATTCAGGACAGACGCACGCACTACCCCGCCAAGCAACTGAGGCTCTGGCAATAGCATTGCCCACAGCTTTCGCAGCCCGTGTCACCGGACACCTCTCTCAGTTACACCGACCCTAGGCTTACCGCAACGGAACAGCAGCACCTGTGGCAGGAAAAACGATCCTTCCCGTGCCACATGTCCGTTAAGCCAACATCAACTCAACTTTTTAATGAGTCTTAGCCTCGCTGTCACCAGAATCATCATTCTCGCCTCTTTCCTTTTCTTTCGTGGGGCAAGGGGGGTCAACCTCCAGGCAGTTAAGCCCCACCCCTGTTTCCAAGTCTGAGCGTCTGAAATCTGCGCATCCCCAGCTCGGAGTGCTGCTGTCCAGTCGTCCTAACCAAGGCCAACCCTCCGGGTACTGCAGTTCTCCAGTCCTGCGAAAAGCATCCTGCAACGAGAAAAACGGTTAACCCCCTGGCCTCCTTTGGGTGGTTCTATTGGGGGGTCTCCGTGAGACTTCTATCGTGCCCTTGCCCCTTGCCTGCTACTCTCTGCCCTCTTTGTATCTTGCTTGCCTTTGTCAACCATGGCCCTGTGACTCCGATGACTTTTCTCCCGGCGGAGCTTCGAGCACAGGCATAGGGTACTGACAAAGGCGTATGATATGTACGTGTGATACTACCATCGCACTCGCAAACCAAAATCTAAAACGTCCTCTGCACTGCTCTTCTTGCACACACCACACCACAAACCACTTTCGCTTTCGCGGCTGCCTGTGGACTTAGCAGCCCAGCATCTAAAGACGCATAAAGACGTATGGTGCCCGTACTTCCTAAGAGCAAGTGTTTTGGAAAGCTACTCAGCTTCGACCAACCCAACCCTAAACCCTAAACCCGGCAACCTCCGAGGCACCTGGATTCTCTCGGCCTCTCTTCGCCGCGATTGCTCGGCCTCACACTTCTTATGCGTGCTGGGGTCAGACTTGCGCGTCACGCTTGCGCTAGCTTCTCGGCTTGGAGACGAAGCAACAGCATCAGTGTGATTTATCGCAGCGAGTTACTCAGTTGTGCTGGAACCTTGTGAAATCAATAGCTTCTCTTAGAAAAACGAAAGGAACATAACAATGGTCTCAATGCCCAAGCCGACAGTTTAGATCCAGTCCGGCACAGACGCCTTGTGCGTTGGATGGCGCTGTATGGTCCGGCCTCTGCTGCGGCTCAACGATGACCCAGACATGCGGCTGCTTCAGAACCCAGAAACATGGTCCGCCGCAGTGTGTGCGGAGACGTCAGGGATTCGCAAATATGTAAGGGGTCCTTTTAAAGGGCCCATATTAAGGGCCCAGGTATCTAAGCATCAGAGAAGCATGTGCTGGCGAGTGATTTGCTTTGGGAGCGCGGCGAACTGGTCGTACTCCTGGTTTCCGACTCAAGCTCTCTGCCTTCCCTTGACATGTGTTGCTCAGCTTCAGGTGGGTTTAGGGTTTAGGGTTTAGGGTTTAGGGTCTAGGGTCTAGGGTCTAGGGTCTAGGGTCTAGGGTCTAGGGTCTAGGGTTTAGGGTTTAGGGTTTAGGCGGAATTCCCAAAGCTCGGCTGACCCGAGTCCTTCGGATCGTAGGGCGGGTCCAGAAGACGACCCACCTGGGAAGCGCCACCGAAAGCTCCGTTTCTAGGCGAGACCAGCCCTGACCCTGCCACCAACACCCGACGCGAATGTGTCGTGTGACACATGCCTTGCTCAGGCTTCGAGAAACTTAGCCAGCACACCACTGGATACTTGGCCACGTAGGTTTCCCAGTATGTCCTCAGACACCAATGAAAAAGCATGCCCTGTGCCCGCTGCCCGTCTGCAGTACGCGCCTTTTTGCAGCTCGCTCCTTGCTGAAGCGGAAACTCTCGCTACCAAACAACTCAAGCGGTTGGCATCTCAGTTTTCCAGGCACATTGGCCTAATCATGACATGCACGTTAACTTCGCGCAAAACTCTCCGTCCTGGAATCCCAAGCCAACATGCAAGTCGTCGAAGACTTCGCGAACCACGCCCCGATCTTCTCTGGCTGTGAGCTTGCCCCGTGCTTCGCAGGCCAGGTCAGACTCCGAGTCCGAGCGCGCCGTATATTCAGGCCACCCTAAGCCCTAAACCCTAAACCCTAAACCCTCAACCCTAAGAGCTGTGTGTTTGATCATAACTTTCTGGTGCCTTTCTCATTGGCAGCAGTTTTGCCGCCAAGGTCTGCATGGGCAGATGCTGGTAGGGTGAGGACATGGCTTGAGCAGCACACATTCCTGATCTGAGCCACGTTGCGTGGTCATCTCAAAAGAAGCGTTTGTGCCTATAAGCCGACAGATTGACGGAGTATGTGTGCAATTGATGATACCTAGAAGAACAAACGCACATGAGCACAGCAGATGCACCACTAGGGCAGGCTCCGATTCAAATGTCGCAGCTGCTTGTCACTGAGGTCAGCCAGACCTTTCAAACGACTCGGCAACATGGCTCTGAGGGCTTTGCGAAGTAACACGAAGTAGCCAAGTAGGTCTCCAAGGCATGGGCCCTGGTCCAGCATGTCCACCTCAACAATATTAGCAGAGCAGTGAGAGTACTCTGCTAGACGCATGCCGCATGTCAGCTTGAATGATATCTCAGCAAGGGCAGAAAGGGCAAGATTCATAGAGCTGAACAGGCAAAATGACGAATGCCCATTAAGGCGATATATCCTGAACAGCTGCCAGTCCAGAGCATGTGCAGTCGATGCGTTGGCGACATGCATGACCATGAGAGTGTCTCCTGACTTATTAATGTATGAACCGATGGCCTTCGCCGCTGAAAGGACGTCCTTCCTCCCGTGTGAACCCACCGACTTTGCGACATTGCTTCTCAAATCCACCACATCTTCCCTGCGGGGCCGTTCGTTTAGACTTGAACCAGCGCTCTCGGCTGGAAGAAGACATCTGCATGTGTCCCTGCCAAAGCCGAAGGAGTTTTGCATCGCGCCCACATGATGCCTCGTACGGCTTCAACAGTAGTGGCGCCATGGTGGCCATGACCCAGGACGTGAAGTTGACAGAACCAATTTTTGAGATTGCTTCAAGGTTTAAGCCGTCTAACAAGGATCCAAAATGCCCTGGAACTGCAGCATGTGCTCCTCTGAGGAAGATGCTTGGAGTCTCGTCAAAGCGAAGGCTCGAGTGCAGTCATGTCCTGAAGATAAGTTGGCTCCATGCTCTTCTAGTAAACAGTTTCTCATACTGACATTTTCTCGTTATTATCGTCTTCTCCATCGTCTCTATCTCTCTATCTTCTTGTCGTCTTGTCCGGTCAGCAAGCGTTCCCCCGATTTAGGGAGTGTCCATGAGTGATACTATCCTCTGTGCACTTCACTGGAGCTCGGCCTACTAATGTTGCCCTCAGTCCCCCTCTGCACTCTCCATTCCGCGCCGTCCACTCGCTCTCACTAGCTCTCACTCGCTCTCGCTCAACGCCCAAACAGCGCAGCAGACTAGTCCTGCAAAGAGCCGATATCCCTGACCTTCACCATAGAATTCCTCGAACATGTCAGGAGCATGAAAAATTGATGGTGCGCAGCAAGAAATTCCACACATCTCACATGCCACCACAGCACGTACCGCACATGTCCAATGGCGCAGCCTTCCCACTGGACACGTCGAAGACACGCCCCCAAACAGCCAGCCTGGAATTCGTTAGCTGCTCGCACCAATCGGAAGGATCAGAGCCACCCATATCGGAAGACAGCAATCGCCAAATGCGCTGAGCTTGGCACAGAAGGTCGTTGTCCTGAATAGCCACACTAGCAGCCCCTAACGTTCCATTCCGCAGCATCGACACCAGCCGCATTCCCTCCCGATCCTTTTGGTGGTTCTGGAGCTCTGACAATGTGAAGCTTGCCTCAGGAAAACAAGCTCAACAAACATGTCAGGTGTCAAGAGGAGCTGGTGAAAGCAAGCAAGTGTCAGCGGAATTTCAGCTAAAGCATGCTAAAGCAGGAGGGTTTGCTGCGGACGCAGGTGGGCTTTTTCGCTGCAACAAGGTACTTCGCAGCTTCGCTGGTGCACCGGCGTAGATGTACAATGCCGCGCTTTTGCAGGCCGTCTCAAAGTTCATTGCCACCCAAGGGAGATCCACACAGAAAAGCCCCAGACCACGGGATTGTTTTGGGGTGTTGCAGACGCATTAGGTCCAATTGGTCCTCTCAATCTGTGGGTCCATTTTGGGGACCTCCCTTGGAATCCTGTGAATGGTACTTCTCGCACTGCACCGCAGAGCAAGTTCACCACCATGATCCCTCTTGCTCAGAATCTCAGCTTAGCGCTTTTTCGCTCGAAACTCGCCTGCACCAGGTTTTGCCAAACTTGATTGCTTGCAGAACTGTACGGATGGATCGAAGCGCTCATCAGGGTAAAGCTGTAACCGTGCCTGAGAAATCCGGAGAAGCATGCAGCGAGAGGGTGTTGGCCTGACGAAAACAGGCGGTTTGTGATCAAAAGTGGGATGTTGCATGCCTTGCCGCTACACCTAACGAACCCAGGGCTTTGGACAGCGTGCTTTTTTACATGTCGGCCAACGTACAAGAAGTGGCAGCTCGACAATGGCTCCCTGCGTGAAGGAGCACCTCTCTGTAGAGTGGGAAGTGCTACGAGTGCTGCTCTTCAGTGCATCTTCGTGGCTTTTGCTGCTCCTTCTGTACGCACGGGGACGACTAGGGCATCAAGGCGCGCCACACCTGTCCGGTGTCTAGGACATGGGCATTTGAGTTTCAGGATGTCCTCCCTTTGCAGTACTGCGCCGAACAATGGTGCGCCCCTTGCCACCCTCGTCGCGAGCAGGATGAAGCCTTTCTCAACCTAGCTAATTCGGCTTTTCAGCTTCCATCAGCTGTACTTCAGCAGCTTTGCCGAATATAGTAGTTCCAACAAAAGCATGTACCAAATCGAACCAGTATTTGTCCTCCATTAAAAGGCCTGATTGTCGAACTGCCTCACTCCGAGAAACACCTATCATCTGCAAGTCTGACATCTCGGTGCATTTGTTGCTACTGTTGCTCTCCGCAGAGTGGCACTTTGGGTTTCTGTGAAACGAAAGGCACGAATTCTGACAAGCATGACTAGAGCGTACAACCAAGGACTTTGGCGTTGACAACCCGGATACAAATGGGGCACGCAAGCTGGCTGGTCAACGTACACTTAGACGCCTCTGCTCTCCATGATACACTCGCGCTCAGAGCACTGCCCGGATTAGGCTACGACGTCTCGTTGTTGCCTTACCGCATGCAATCACAAAGAGACCAAGGTCCAGAAAGGGCATCCCATGAACAAAGAGAGGACACCGACGCAACAAGCTCAACATTCAGATGCACAGCTGTAGTTTGCCAGCGTGCTGAGTTTCTCGATGAGGGCGAACTGTTCTCTCTCCACGCGCTCCAGGGAGTTGAGCTGAAAGACAAGCCTTGCGAAGACTGGGCTTCAAGGTTTTGCTGGGTTCAGGGCTTGCGTCGTTTATGATTAGACCGCTCTGGACATGGAAATTGCAGGAAGTGGCGGTCTCCTAAATTAGGGGCACCTTATTAAAGTCCTTATTTTAAAAGGGAGTCCTACTATAGTTGGGGATCTAAAATTGGGGTCGTAAACCCCCACATTGCCAGCAAGGGAATTGCCTCTCCAGCTCCGCGGTCTTCTCCTGGATGGCTGCCTGGATGTTCCCCCCCCTTGTACGAACAGCATTATCATCCCTACTAAGGACTGTCTACGGGGTACTAAGAGTATGATAGTCCCTATTAGGGACTCTTAGTCTAAGGGGTACTTTCAGAAAAAACCTTCCCTCTTAAGGGCTGCTAGTCTAAGGGGGAACACATCCCAAGCTGCCTGCTTGAAGGCCGGAGTCCGAGGACCCCAAGAGACTCGGCTTCGACACCACGACAGGCGCGCAAAGGCCGCGTGTCGTGTGTCGAAAGGCCCCAAAAACTCCGCCACGCCCATCCCCCCCTCAAGCCCTAAGAAACACGGACAAAAAATGAACAAAACAGCACACTGTTTGAGAGAAAAAAAAAAAAAAGCAGGAGCCCCATCGGTACAGCCCCGGATCGGTGCCTGCATGCTCAGCTGCTTCCTCCTTCTTGCCTCGGCCTCCATCTCAGCGCCTCAGCTGGGCTTAGGGGCTCCTCTTGTTTGGGTAGCCTTGGGACATTTGTTCCCCCTTACCATTAGTATTATGATTATTACTATTATTGTTATTGCTTTTATTGCGTAGCCGAGGGTTTTTGCGGCCCTGGGGCTTCATCTTTCTTGGGAGCTTCGCTAAACTTTCTGGAGATTGTGACCTTGGGGTTTAGGGTTTAGGGTTTAGGGTTTAGGGTTTAGGGTTTAGGGTTTAGGGTTTAGGGTTTAGGGTTTAGGGTTTAGGGGTTGTCCTTGTCAATTTTGTGTCAACCTTGTCAATTTGGGGGGGGGGGGGGGGGGGGGGGGATGGCGAAAGAACTCAGTGAGAACGGGCTCCTTTCGCTGCATCGAGACCTACTGACCTACTGTATGCTCCCAACCGCCTACAGGCGCCTACAATATTCCTCAAGTCATGCACACGCCAGAAAGAATTAACACACTTTTTCTGCGCCTGGACCTGTCTCATAGCAGCCTGGCCCTCAGTGTCCGGTGATCTTGTGGCTCCGGCGACAACGTCAAGGGGCCGAAGAGGGAGCGAGAGAGAGAGAGAGAGTGCACGCGCTGGAGCCGCAGCTTCAGGGGAGCAGCTCGGTTGGACTCTTCAGCCAACACCTGTCTCACCATGTCCTTGCTCAGGTCGCTCTCCGCAACAACTGGCCCAGTCTGCCGCTAAATATCATCAGAGCGCAGGACTCGCGGCAGGTTCGGCCCAGGTCTCTCAGGTCTCTGAAGCAGCCAGGCGGCGCACGCCAACGTTTATGAGTGGTGCCAGAACTTCAACATACGTCCCGGCGACGAGCCACAGGAGAAGCAAGAAGGCCATGAAGGCATCTGGTGCCAAGGGCCACTGCTGGCAAAGCTGCCGGAACATCGCGAGCAGAGGCCACTGGAAGAGATACACTTCAAAACTATACTTTCCCAGAGAGACCAGCGCAGGATGGCTCAGGAAGAAAGCGCAGATCCCTCCTTTCCGGGAGCCGTAGATGAAGGCAGCAATAGCCAAGGCAAGACCGTGAGTGAGAAGAGCACTGGAGTTGGCCTCGCACTCTGCATGTGTTGCAGGAGGAGGTAGGAAAAGGACGAGACCCACACAAGCCAGCAAGGAGACATCGGCAAGCACGGCCTTCCCAATCCATCCTTCGCTGCTCTCATCCTTTTGGCTGCAGATCGCTGTGATGACGCCTATTGCAAAGTCGCCCAACTGCGCTGGTGGCCACATGAAGTCCGTGGCATACTGTCCCCACGTGAGCTGATATCCCTGATGGAGGTACAGAGCAAACAGCGGCCCGAAGGAGACCAAGTACACCAGCAATGCAGACAGCAACAAAGCTCCACTGCCATGCTGCGCATCGATGCGCTCTAGCAGCCTCCGCAAGAAGGGATAAAGCAGCCAGCTGGGGATCAATGCTTCAATCGTCCATGACGGAGGTGCCGGACACCAAGTGGATGGACGGATCCAGTGGGCCACGAATCCGAAGCAGCTCAGGAGCGTCCAGGCACTGGGCATGAAGCTGCTCCTGTATGCTGGCACCACAAGGACCACCAGAATGCTCATCGTCATGGCCACGTAGGTCGTCAGGATGATATACGAAAGACGGCGGATGTAAAATCCCCCTACACTCAGCTCACCGGTTCTCAAGCGCTTCCCATAGGACCAGTGCGTGATGAAGCCACTCATAACGACGAAGAAGTCCACTGCCATGAAGGAGCGGCACGTCGCAGCCTGTAGGACGCCCAGGCTGGGGGCCCGGGGCATGTAGTGTCCACATACAATCCACAAGGCCAGCAAGCTTCGGATCCCGGTCAGGTGGTCCAACACATTCTTCTCTGCCATCCCCTACCGGAAATTCGGCACGTTCGTCCAAGCACACTGGCACTCTGATAGCACATGTTCTACTACAACTGGCTCGGGACCATGGGTCACTGCGGCTCCTAGCAGCTCCTAGCATCCGGAGGTACCCATGGTTGTTTTTGTTGGCTCCCAGCTTGCTGCTCTGACTGATGCGTTGTCACATGATTGAGCCGCATGATGAAGCCGCTGGGCCGCGCGAATCTCAAGGCTGTCTCTAGCCATCCCCGGAACAGGGTCCCCTCACTTAACAACCATGTGATAACAACACAAGCTCCCATGGGGACCGTAGGGTAGCCTCAAAGGAGCCTAAGAGATCCTCAGGCTGGCACGATTTCGCTGACCGATGGCCCGAAGCTTCTCTTCCTCAATCTTCTGCGCCTCGCCATCCAGGACCTGCAACGACTTTGAGGCCGAGAGCTTGCTTGGGGAAACCTCTTCATGGAAGCCACACGTGTCGCCAACCCAAAGAAGGTTTGAACGGCAGCGAAAAGAGGTGAACAAGAGCTCTGCTCAGGCAAGGATGTTGCAGAACCACTGCTTTCACTGCTGAGACCCATGTTGGTCTCCGATGCCTCCACGAGCATGTCTACTGTGCCGCTGAAGGCCTCATCAGAGAAAGGCAGGGGAAACGCAGGGGAGACAGCGCCACGTGAGATAAGCTCTGGTGCCTGGATCTTCTCCGCGAAGCCATGGCATTCGGCCTCCAGTGACCTTACACAAACTATGGGCTGCTCTCGACTCCGTCAGGGAAAGAACAATCAAGGCAATCAAGGCAGGCTGCTCGGTCTGCTTGAACTTCTCCTTGGGCATAACCCGGATTCGGTTGTCCTGTCACTCAGCGGCGACAAAGGGTGCGTGCTCCAAGCGCCTTGTTTGCAGGACAAACCCGTATTTTGGTGAAGCCGTGTAGCCTCATCGAAGGTGATGTCGATGTTTTGCTCCGCCATGCTGGAGAAGGCAATACTAAGACCTCTCTGGCTTCTACAACCCTCTGTACAACACGTCACTTGACAGCCACCACGGAGTTGGTCGGCACGCCATTTACGAACTCAATGACTTATGTTCCGAACGCTGACTCCGAGATCACTTTGCCGCATACTCGTGCACGTCTTTGCTCCCCCCTTGCCATCTGGTACGTTGGAGTCTTTTGGTGAGACCGTCGCCTGCATCCGATTAAACAGTTTGCCCAGTTTGCCTTACCTCATCGCTGAAGGGTTGAAGGCACCTGCAGGAGCAAGAACCGTGGAAACTGCTGAGGTGAGAAAGCAGAACATCACCGTCTGGTACAGGATGGCACCAGTGCTCCCTGGCCCGGACGACGGCCCGCACAAACCACCGAAACCAATGTGCTGCTGGTGTGAGGTAACATTCGCTTCATGCAAAATTTTATGATCATGACTAGATGCACCATTACTATTCTTACTTCGAACATTGATACGACGATGGTTGTCGCCGCCATCAAGGTTTGCCTTTGCTGCTATACAATTGCGAAGGGCGCGTGCAGCACGCGGCACCAGTGATATGGCCCCCAACACTTGGCTTCGCTGAATTACAGCCCCGTTTGGGTGTGACGGCTCTGACACAGCCTGTGGTGTCAAAGCTGCTTCGTCCACACTACACCATTGTTCCAGGTGATCTTGTCACCATCCATTTTGCCTTTGAAACCTCGGGGGGGGGGGCCGAGATCGGGCACCATAACTGCATGAACCTGCATGAGGAACCTCTCCCGTCTATGCCCCTATGCCCTATGCATTCTCTCAATCCACACGAGGCGCCAAAGTAGTCCAGCCCGTCTCCGTTGCAGAACTTCGAGGTCTCCAAAGTCTGCCTGCCCACCGTGGGGTGATTGATGACCTCAGGGGGGCATTCCGGGCAAAGCCTCCCTGGAAAACATATGGGGGCTACAGGTAGCGAGTCGGCTAGACGCACACACACACACACACACACCCACGCGCACGCGCACGCGCACGCGCGCGCTAGCGCGCGCACGCCGAGACACAGCACCCGTCTCTTCAGGCAAGCCACCACAGCTTGCCCAGTACCTGCCGGGAGCGCAAACGGACACTAGCGAATGTAGCCGCTTGCCCCAAGGATTGTCCAAGCCAACCCCATCTTCGCAAGCGATGTGCTAGTGAAGTGCTTGGTGTTGCTGGTTTGGTCTCTTCTCGCAGAAGCGTCTTCATACTTCGGACAGCTCAGCTGGGTTAGACGGGGAGATCACGACACATATCTGCCGAACACTCGGCGCCGAGTTCCGGGCCATCCACTTTGATTTCAATCTCGCCCCCGGAGCTGTGCTGCCAGCGGCCCTGCGCCTGGTAGGGCGAAACCATGTTGCCTCAGGGCGAGGCACACACCTTAAACTACGGAGGGACCCTCAGAAGGAACCCTGGGAGATATGTAGGAGCTATGGGCTACGTAGGGCAATGTAGGGATAAGGGTGAAGTGCTGGGTTGAACACTACGTCACTGCGTGAAGGGATTCGAGGAGACCTTCCCCCTCCGAGGTGCTTCCAAGCGGCCCTCCGGTGGAGTGACCAACACACAAGAAGGTTTCCGAAATTAGGGGTACCTTGTTGGGGTCCTTATGATGAGGGGATCCTACTATTTCGGGATCTATATTGCGGGGTCCCCTTTCTTTCGTAAACCCCCCCCCATAAGTCTTGCATCACTTCGACGCAGTTTCAGCTTCGAGCCGAAGCCGAAGCACAGTCGACTTGTGTCTGCTTCTGGATCAAAGTGACCTAGTGCTCGCCTATGGCTCACATTCGCAGGCCCAGACGCTAGCAACCCTAAACCCTAAACCCTATACCTTAAACCCTAAACCCTAAACCCTAAACCCAAAACACCACCCATTTCTCCTGCAGGTGACACGAAGTGACAGGAACATCTCATTGACACAGCGTAGGAGCTCCGTCAGTCCCTTCAGTTCCCGCAAAAATGCTCCGCTTCAATCATCGGCTGCAGGCTCAGAAACCAACCACCTACATGCTGAACTGCATGCACCCGCTCGGGAATTCCCGCTCGGATGGCGCTGCAGGAACTGACCCCACAGGGACTGAGTGGCTCTCATCTCCGCCCAAGCACTGCCCGCCAGTGCCACATCACCACGGCAGGGTGTGACTTACAAGACTTTCTCGAGGCGCCATAACGGCCCCTCAAATCTTTTGGCACCTGTGCTGCATAAGCCGTTTTTGCGTTGCCTTACTACAGTAGATGCACAAGCTGCGCGAGCAGCACGGCCTCGAGCTTAATGTATCAAGAATCGGGTGTTCAGGTGTTCAGGCAGTACATTGTAGAAGACTGCTGTCGTGAAGCTCGTTGAACGCTTCTGTTGAGTAGATCTTGGTGCCAACTTAGGTGCCGGGCGCACCTACTGAAACTTTCAGCAAGCCGGGTCTTGGAGGACCGTTGGCGCAGAACATCTGCTAAACACACTGGTACAAAGCAGAATCAACACTCTTGCCCTGTGAGGTGGAAAGCAACGGCAGCCCATGGTCCTTGATCAAACGGCCTCCGGATAAGCGCTTCGACCCCGGGCATTGCACGGTTCACGCGCTCGCAGAAATTCTCCAGGCCACACTTGCAAGTGTTCGATTGGTATTGAGAAAGTGCGCCCGGGTAGCTAGGGTCATTGAGAGGAAGTCCCACTCTCTGCATGGCCTGGGCTACAAACGGATGAGTTTATGCACACCTGCCAAATTTCTCGGTTCTGCAATCTCATTGACAGCTGCTCCTCTTGACAAGCAGTGTAGCGAGCGGTGTAGCATAGCACTAGCAGATCATGGCTTTGAGTGATTCAGAGAAGCAGCTGATGTCATAGAGACGGCTGGGCTATGCAGGTGCCACTGCACCCACAAAGCCTCCACTAATCACAAATGCATTTGGCGACCCGTGCACACCAAGGCCTGCCAGCCTCAATTGCTTTCTCGGGCATCCGTCATCTCACGAAGTGCTGGACTGATGTCCAAAATTGTCCCTCGAGAGACGTAAACTGGCTGTGTGCCCAACTGCGTGGCTTTGCGAGCTAAGCTTTCTGCTTCGGACATAGAATCACTACCGAGCTAAGAGGACACGTGGCGCAGAGCTCGTCGATTCCCGCCTTCTTGATTCAGGCTCAACTCAGCTAGGCAAACGAGATTCAAAGGAGAGATCGACTTCACAGTCCTTCCTGTGAGTATTGCGAACCTTTGATGCCTCAAGTTCTGTAGACGAGCTCGGCTGGGATCTGAGGTTCCTCGACTTTGTCAAAGGTATGGACAGAGCAGAAATAATTATGCATCAAAAAACAGGACCCCAGTACAAAAAAAACAGAGCTTTGCAAACGAAAATCAGGACAACGCGTACAATCAGCAGTCGAAGGCCTCCCTTCTCACACTATATAAGCCCAGGAAGTTTGCGTTCGGTGTCCTGACTTCGTTGCAAGCTACCAGACACAGACTGCTCACGTTGTACCAGATGCTCGTGTTCTGCCTGCAATTTCAAGCTGAACCGCCACTTTCCTCAGCGACATTCCAAGCTTCCCTGCTTGCGAACCCAAAACACCGCAGCCTTCACCTAGTCGGCCTCACCGTCCTCTTTGGGAGTGTCATCCTGGCAGCTGGCAAGCAGCCCAGGCCCCCATCATGTGCGTGGTAAGTAAGGCTACACCAAAGCGGAAACCGACATACCGACATTGCACCAAGAGCAGCATCAGAGAGAAGCAAAACGAAGGGTTTCCTTCGGTTCCTTCGGTTCCTTCGGTTCCTTCTTCTCCTCGGCGCCGTTGGTCGTTGGCTTGGACGTCACGCCCGGCACCTCGGGAGAGCCGCAAGGCAGAGCCTTTGGACTCAGCAGGACTCAGGGAGCGAAGGGAATTGGAGTCAGATGGAGAGTCGGCGGTGCTTGGTGACTTAGTGCTTGTGACATCATGATGCCATCTTGTCCTACACACCTGTCAAAACCCCCAAGCCTAGTGCAGAACTAGACAGGACGAGTGCAGACGCTTTCCTGTTCATTCGGGCCCGAAGGAGTTGAATGCATTCTTGGTGATAGGCCTCGCTTTGGGAAACACAGTGGGTCCCTTGGCCGCCTGAATGGATCCCACCCCTTTGTACGCGCCGGGCATCCGCACGAACTCAGAGGCATCCGCACGGAGAGAGGCCGAGCCAGCCTGCCGAAACCCTAGACCCTAAACCCTAAACCCTCAACCCTAAACCCTCAACCCTCAACCCTCAACCCTAAACCCTAAACCCTAAACCCTAAACCCTAAACCCTAAACCCTAAACCCTAAACCCTAGCCGCTGTGACACTTGGCAAGGCTCCCGCTCATGCTTCAAGACTTCGAGATCCAGGACTTCAGAGAAGGGGGGTTTACGAAAATAGGGGTTTAGGGTTTAGGGTTTAGGGTTTAGGGTTGAGGGTTGAGGGTTGAGGGTTGAGGGTTGAGGGTTTAGGTTTAGGGTTTAGGGTTTAGGGTTTAGGGTTTAGGGTTTAGGGTTTAGGGTTTAGGGTTTAGGGTTTAGGGTTTAGGGTTTAGGGTTTAGGGTTTAGGGTTTAGGGGTTAGGGTTTCGGGGTTAGGGTTTAGGGTTTAGGGTTTAGGGTTTAGGGTTTAGGGTTTAGGGTTTAGGGTTTAGGGTTTAGGGTTTAGGGTTTAGGGTTTAGGGTGTAGGGCTTGGCTTAGGCGGTACCTTATTGGGGACCTTTATTCTGGGGGATCCTAGTATTTGGGGGTCTAGATCAGAGGTCCCTCATTTTCGTAAACCCCCATATGATGCAGCTCAATAAGCCTTGGAGGGCTCCTTGGGTGCTCAAAACAGTCCCGAGATCGAAACCCACAAATCACCACTCGCCTGCCCTGGGGCCGAGGGCAGAGAGACATTGCCACGGGCGATCGTGAGCTTCAGCAGCTGCTTTTCCTTGCACTCCTGGATCCCGGGCGGTTTGAACAAGCTTGTCACGGCTGTGCTGCGCCGCCCTCCCTCAAACCTAAGCCCCTACACCCCGCGTCCACTTCCACTACATCTCACTACACTCGCCCCCACACCCTTGAACTTGAATTAAACCCCAACCTGCCTGTAGCATAGCGGCCGGGTTATAGACGATGTGGTTCACGCTGATAATGCGATCCTTGCAAGGTAATCGTGGACGGGCGCTTGGAGCCAGTAGGGCCAGGGTCCCGGCTCTAGAACTTTCGGGTTTGCAGGGTTTGAGAGGCAGCGTTTCGAGTTTAGGGTTTCGGCTCAGCGGTTAGGTGTTTAGGAACTCGAGGTTACCATTGTACTACCGAGACACCTTTGGAAACACCGCTTTCTCCGCGAATGCGCTTCCTGCCAACAGGCTGACAGGTCTCTGCAATCAGGGATCGGACCCCAGATTCTCATTATTGATATTAATATTAATATTAATATTAATATTGCTATTAGTAGTAGTACTATTATTATTCATTATATCTTTGATTTTACCCTGATTATTCTTGTTGTTGAAGCAGACTTGACTTGAGGTGCTGAACCACCTGAGTGTTTGTTTTGCGGGCACGGTGCGTGGTTGCAACCGGAGGCGCCCGGCCTAGGCACTGTCGATTCCATGCTTCCACCGCTCCGCCCGGACGGATGCCCTCCACCAGCAGCACGCCCTCGGCACTTCGATGAGAAGTACCATGTGACATTTGCTTGGCAGCTTCAGGTGCAGAAGCAGAATGGCCCCACGTCTCCGCTGCTGCAAGGCTGATGTCCATAGCACAGGCATCAGCTTGCTTGTCCGCTACTCTATCTGTCTCTATATCTCTTTCTCTTGTGGGGTTTCGCACTTGGCGAGCCCCGTTCTTCTTCTTCTTCTTCTTCTCCTTCTTCTCCTTCTTCTTCTTCTGCGCACTTCAGATCCTCTTCCTTCCTTCCTTCCAGTGCACTTAGCCCGCTAGGGGGCTGCCCCGAGGTGCAGCTAGTTGGGTGAGAAAGTGCCAAATAAGAAGCTCTTCTTCTTCTCCTGCTTCTTCTACTTCTACTTCCTACTTCCTACTTGCTACTTCCTACTTCCTACTTCCTACTTCCTACTTCCTGCTTCCTGCTTCCTGCTTCCTACTTCCTATTTCTTACCTTCAACTTCCTACTTCCTACTTCCTACTTCCTGCTGCCTACTTCCTACTTCCTACTTCCTACTTCCTACTGCCTACTTCCTACTTCCTACTTCCTACTTCCTACTTCCTTCTTCCTCTTCTTTGTATTCTTATTCTTCTTCTCTCTTGCTTTTTCATGGGGCCTGGGGGCAAGCCCCCAGGCTAGCTCTCTCTTTCTGGCTCTCGCTCTGGCTCTGGCTCTCGCTCTTGCCTTCTTCTTCTTCCTTCTATGGATTTTCTTCTTGGTTGTCTTACTATTCTTTTAATTGTCCTGTCTGTCCTTGTCTGGATCTCCAGACCTCTGTCGGTGCGTCCGTGTCTGTGTCAGTCTCTGTCTATCGAATGTCAGATGAACCCGGGCATGCGCAGCAGCCACAGGTCCCGGGCTTCCGAGTTGTGGTGCGATACATTGAGCCCGAGCTCGGTGCCATCCGCCTTCAAAGCACGGCTACCGCAAAAGTTACCTGAAGCATCTTCTCGGCCTTGAAAAAAACTGCAGCGAACTTCCCCTGCTTCATGGGATCTCGATTAGGCATGTTTGGGCAGCCTGCGGCTCTTCTCCTGGCATATACGAAGCCCCCGCAACGCGCCTTACGCAAGGTGAAGCTGAAAATCCGATCCTCGCCCATACCTGACAGGACGACCGGGGCTTTAGAGCTCAGCGTCGGGGCTCTGCCCACCGAGGCAGCACCCATCACTTGTTGTCTCTGCGTAGTATCTCCGAGTCTTTCAGAAACTTCTGTTTTTACCATGATTATTACCATGATTATTGCTACTGTTGCTACCATTACTGCCATTACTACCATTACTACTACTATTACTACTATGACTACTATGACTACTATTACTACTATTACTGCTATGACTACTATTACTACTATTACTACTATTACTACTGTTACTACTATGACTACTATGACTACTATTACTACTATGACTACTATGACTACTATTACTACTATTACTACTATTACTACTATTACTACGATTACTACGATTACTACTGTTGTGATTCCACTATTGCTTTTATTATTCCATGTTGTTCCGGCCTCCCAGTGCACGTCCATTGACAGTGAAGGGGGATGGCATCTCCATGGTCGGGGTCAGCGACTGCATCAGGGAAAGCGGTGTGCGCTGAGGCGTCACCTGACCTGCGAATTCGCAGAATCTCGTTTGTTGTGGCAACTGCAGTGGCGCTCACAAACTGTCAAATTTCAGAAGCAAGAAGATGCCAGAAATTCACTTGGGCTCCCTGCCCAGAGACTCGGCCAGAGAGATGGGCGCGCCCGGCGTGCCAGGGACCGGGGACAAGGGCAGTGGTGGAAAGCCCGGGACCTTGGACCCGAAAGCCGAAGTGGAAGCCCCACCCAGGTATGGGCTGGACATAGCACGCCGTCATAGGCAGGTCTCTGGCGCCCTGGCCTCTGGCAGCGGCATGTCCGCGTCCACGCGCGCCTGGGGGGCGAACGGCGGCGGCGTCGAAGCCTGTGGAGGTTGTAAGCAGCTCCAGCCGACTCCAGCTCATTCAGGCAAGGCTCTGTTGCAAGAAAGTTGTGGTGACAGCAGGTGCCTCCAACTGCTTGGTCGTGGCTTCGGGGTCTTCGGCAGTTGTACCTCACATGGAAGCTTCAACATGTGTGTGGTTGGCAATGTTGCTCGCTGACATTACTATGGGGTCAGTGCCAGGACCCGGCGGTCACGACAGGTGGGATGCTTGATCGCACTGCCGATGTCTATGTGCTGCCCAAGAGCTTGCACACGAGTCTGGCGATGAGAAGTCCTGACAGCACATCCTTCAGCACAAGTTATCATTGGTGCTTGGAGATGACCAGCTATAGCCACGGGTCCTTGCCATTCAGGTAGCCGGTATTGACAGATGCCAGATTGGTGGCCAGGCTTTGGACGAGCTGACGGGGCAGATGGAGGCACAAGAGTGGGAACAACGAAAGCTGACTGTGCCCAGAAACACATCTGAAGGCCCGAGTGCTTTCGGTAGAAGATGCACGGGCGCATCAATGCGAACTCGAGACGATAGGTGTTTTTTGAGCACGGGCCTGCTTCAGGCGAGCATTCTCCGCTTCCAAATCCTGGCTGCTCTTCTGGAGGCGGGCCTCGACACGCGAAGGACATGAATCCTGGGCCAAGGCGCCTGGAACTTCAAGCATTGGGGCTCGAGCAATGTCGTCCTGGTGTTGTTGCACCGTTTGCTGGTGACGCTGCCTCAAGTCGCAAGCGAGCACCACCGAGGAACGGGGCGATGCAAGACTCAAGCAACTCAATTTATACAACATCTACTCTGGAGTGTGTGGGATCGCGTACACAGCGTCACGTGCTGCAATCTGACAGCTTGATGCCCTCAATATCCCGGTAGGGGCGGGACTTCATTTGCGCGACCACCTGGCGCAGAATCGGGTGCCCCTAAGGTGGCTCCTGTTGACAAAAACACGTGCTTGCCTGCTTGCCCTTGGTGAACATCTCGTCCGTCTTCTCCCGAACCTGCACAGGACTCCAAAGCAGTAGGCCCAGTCCCAGAAGCATGAAACCAGGGCCGCATAGCTGTGGACCTTGTAATCGACCTCTGAGAGAACAAGCTCTTGAATCGCCTCGTGAATGGCAAGGTCGCTGACTGCTGCTGGTTTGCTAGCTGCCACCCTTGGTGACACCGGCGCCTTTTGTTTAATTTGCATTCCGTCATGTCCAAAGCCCAGCATGAGTTGCTGCATTGCAGCGTCCCATGGCTGTCCTGTGCAAATAGTGGCAACATTATCTGTGACTCCTCGACACCTCTTCCACTAAAGACTGACCCAAGTCAGCCGGCGATGGTGCTGGAACAAGGCGACGTGCTGTACAAGTCGAAGACAAAGAAGCCACGTGCTTCCTTTTGAAGCGGTGAATTCGATGAACACGAAAGCGTGTGACATCGCTGTGCTTTCACAAAGCAAAACCCTTTCTCACCCACAGCTCTTCTATCGCATGCGGCGCTGGAGCAAACCTGAGATGGTGAGGTGGCCTGCTGCCAGTCGGGCTGCCTGATATGTCTGTACTGATATGAAGAATGATGAGGATAAGAATAATAGTACTAACAATAATAAAAAAACACTAGTAGTCATGAATAATGCATACTGTAATATATAATATATGATATATGATCTAGAATATCCTATTTAATGGAAAAATATAAAAAAAGGCAATGCCAACAGCCGCCATGTGCTGAGAATGGGAAGTTTTATTACTTGCAACGTTTAGGCTGTTCATCAATAGTACGCGCTTGTAACTTTGCTGCTAGCTTCGGAACAGCCTGATCCCCGAACGGGTGATGCCAAAGACCTTGCTTAAGTGTAGCTTGCGTTGATCCTTATACCTTTGCCATCTGAAACTGCCCAGCATCTCCTTTTAAAGGTTTGGCCCACATCTCCTTTTTCGGGCTTGCCACCCAAGATCTCCTTCCAGAGGGGCTTACGCCTGAGGGTTGGACCCCAACATCTCCTTTCAGGGGCCCAACATCTCCTTTTAGGGTTCGCGGCCTCCCTGTAGCCAGGGGGAGAGGGCATCCCCAAAACAGCCTCGAGAGGCCCCCAAAAAAAGAAAAGGGGTACAAGCAAACAAAAGGAACGGCAAACTAAGCTCACCGTAGGAAGTTGAACTAACCGAGCTACCTGAGCCTGACAACCCACACTCTGACTGGAGACAAGACACACGCTCCCGCAGCTCCGACGGCTATCAACGTCAGCGGCGAAAGCGCGCTGCGAAAGCTCTGGAGCCAGGAAGGCTTCCTGGCAACACACAGCAAGCTGGACATTGACTTCTCGCCTTTTTAGTAGCTTCCTGTTGGAGAGCACCCTGCGACTTCAGATTTGTGAAGCGAATGCACAACCAATACAAAAAACAGCACGTCCTCACGAAGAGCTCATTGCAACCGCCGTGCTCGACAAAGTGCTCGATCGCATCTACGCAGGCCTGCGCAAAAGCGGGCATCATGTCTCAACAGCACAGTCGAAATATCGGCCGTACCAAATCGTGGCACAGCACCGAATGAACAGAATTTAACTGATGATAGCGCCGGTCTGGTGTAAAAACAAAATTCAAAAACACATATGCTATGGACACATCCAGAGAAACATGGCGTGGGTCCATCACGCTCGTTCATGCTCAACACGTCAATAGATCAGCTCGAGGATTACAATGGATAACAGTCCAAGCTGCCGGCTACATGCATAGGAGAGTACATCATAATCACCGTTGTCGTCAGGCAAATTCTGGCTCCCCCAGATGGACAAGGACTAGTCGGATGGGGAGGGGGGAGGCGCTTGTTGCGGGAGTCGCTGCCTTGGCTTTGCATTTACCGTTTCTGGCCGTGCCACTCTTCGCCCGCTTCTAGAGGCATTTCTCGAGGCTGCACTCAAGTAATCTGAGAAATCCTGCTACTTGTTTGCGGTCCCGAAAGATGACACAAATCGAAACGGTCAGAGCCAATGTGTGGGAATCTGAGCGAGAAGACCAAGTCTAAGCAGTGCGAACGAACCCCGATGATTGATGGTGTGGTCGCAGGATTGTTGGTGCTGGCAGCGATCTTGGCAAAAAGTGCTTAGCCAGGCGGTGGGTGAAAGTTGCCCGAGGTCACATGTGTGCTTCAGCTCGGAGTTGCTGGTTGCGGTGCAGGCTAGCTGGCGTGTATGGAGCCATTCGCTTGCTCACCTAGCTGACTTCATTCCCAGCTGGTTCGGAAATGAGGCTCGCAACCAGTTCTGCTGTTGAGATCCATGCTACTCTTTGTTGGCCTCGTTTTTCCTTGTTCCTTGGACATCTTGGACGGCACATCGCATTGCTGTCATCACCCCCTCAGCTGATCTCTACGAAGCACGACAGGCCGGCCTCCGCCCCTCCCGTTTTCAGCATGGAGCGCTGCACTTCCACGGCTCGCGCACCGTAGGTCTGATCATTGAGGACCTGCCGAAGTTGCGTTGGACACGCCCTGAGACTGCTCTGCCCCGAAAAGTTGCCCCGAACTCCTTGGGACCTTGCTTCCCACAGGACCTCTCCCCGCGCCTTGCCAACGGCGGAGCTGACTGCGGAGGCTGTGAGTTTGGGCGGCGAGAGAACCTCGGCCAGACCCCGTGCTCGCGCAATCTTGGCATTCGCAGGTTGGTCGGCTCGGAAGGGTAGTGCCACCAAGGGCTTGCCAGCAGCGATGGTCTCATTGAGCCCCCCAAAGCCGCAGTGAGTGACAACTGCAGCGACATCAGGCAGCTGCAGCGCCTCGCCTTGCGGCAGCCATTTCTGCACAAAGAACTGGGCGGGCAACTTCTCCACGCCTCCTGGCAAGAATGCCTGTTGCTCCGGCTTCAAAGACCAAGCCACCGCGCAACGCGGCGACAAAGCAAGAAGGCCCTCAAATATGGCTCGTACTTGGAAGGGCTCCAGGACCTGCATGCTGCCCATCGTCACATAGACAATGCGAAGTCCCATGCCACGTATCTCAGATAAGAGCAGGCTCACAGAAACGGAACATGGAGCCATTTAGCCTAACAGGTTTGCCCGCAAAGGTGGAATGCAGAAACCTTTTCCGCGCCTGCGAATCTTGCTGCATTCTGAAGAAGGTATAAGGCTCAAGGCCAAGGCACGCGCTGCAACCAGGCATTGAAGCGCTCATCGGACGTCTCGCGCAAGACCAGAGAACTGGGTCTTGGGGCAGTTGAGCCCGTCATGATGATGTTGGGAGGCAGCGGGCATGCAGTATCCAGCCCGAAGAAGCTGTTCACCAAACACAAATGGTTGCTGAAGGCAGGCAGTATGTCGCGCATTACCTGTACACAAGTGGCAAGGCTCGGGCGGAAGGCTCATACACTTCCGCCAACTAGACAAGCCAAGGTTTTGTCTGTTCAAACATGCCGCGTATGCCCCCCACCTGCAGCATGATTCTGGTGTCTGTCAGACTCCGTGTTTGCAGAAACGAGACCGCGCACAGCGTCAGAATAAGCGAGATGCTCATGTTCTTGAACAGCTCGAAAGGCCCCGGGACATTCAAGATCAACGGGATTCCACAGTCCTTCGCCGGCTTCACAGCCCCCAAAGTTACCATGTCGGCCACGACAACGTCCGGCCTTTCTGTCTGCAGCCATTCTCTAAACTCCTCCCGCATCACCTGGTCATAGTGCCTGCACATTCCGAGGAGACTACATAGATGGTTGGCTGCGCAGCTCTAGGCTCCTCCGGTACGTCGAACCCCTAAACCCCGACTTTCAGTTGTCGCGCCGGCCTCGCCTCGCCTCAAACCCCACAACTGGAGTCCATGAGTTTCTGCAACTCTTGGTCTCTGAGACCCTCCCTAGCAGCATTCGGGGGGGGGGGGGGGCGAAAGGGGAGGAAGTCGAGCCATTTTTCCCAAAAGGCGCCTGAAGAGGATGCCGAAGAGGCCCTTGGACGTCAGCTCTGAGGCGAGGCCGCTCCCCGCATCCTCAAAGGGGTTCCGTAAAAAAAGGAGTCATATTGGGGCCGAGGCTTGAGGATCAAGTAAAACGGGAACCTGTACTCTTAGTAGGGTTTAGGGTTTGAGGGCTTAGGGTTCAGGGTTGAGGGTTTGAGGGTTTAGGGTTCAGGGTTCAGGGCTTTAAAGTTTGAGGGTTTAGGGTTTAGGGTTTAGGGTTTAGGGTTTAGGGTTTAGGGTTTAGGGTTTAGGGTTTAGGGTTTAGGGTGAGTAATCCCCTTGGCCCTTTTTAGGTCGCGGCTCGGAACCCTGGATGCCCTTCCCCAGGCCGACGAACTCGCAGCCCACCGCCTCGCAGCCTTTTGCAAACTTCTCCCGGGCGCAGTCCTGGGCTGAGCTTGAGGCTTTGTGCGGTTTAGGATTTAGGGTTTAGGGTTTAGGGTTTAGGGTTTAGGGTTTAGGGTTTAGGGTTTAGGGTTTAGGGTTTAGGGTTTAGGGTTTAGGGTTTAGGGTTTAGGGTTTAGGGTTTAGGGTTTACAGTGGTGGGGTGATAGGCCGTTTTCAAGGTGAGTGTCCATTGTGATCAGGGCGCTCTGGTGCCCCCGCCGGGCCAATGCTTTCGCTATCTGCGCACAAGGCAAAGTATCTAAGGGGCTCCAATAATGGGATGATCATATGCTTAAGGGAAAAGATAGCGGGACCGCAAAGTGGGTTCCCCGCTTTCTGCGTCTCGCCGCGCCTGCACCATCGGGACAAGATGCCCGGCCTCTGGTGTAGAAATACAGGCGACCTTCATGCGGCGCACCTGAAGGAAACCCCAGAAGAGATCAGAACAAACAGAGACCCAGAAGACAAGGATTCATCACTTACCTGGCGGCTGACGGTCAATTGGTTTGTGGCGGCCTTCTCTGCAGACCTGCCGAAAGCAATGAAAGCAATGGGGCTGTCATCAGGAGCGAATTCCCACGATCTGGACATGAAAGAAGCTCACGGCGCGTGACAGCACACACTGCACAATGCAGGCAGACCCGGGCCTGCCGTCAGGCCGGTTCGTTAGGAGGCTGGGAAGCGCTTCCATGGCGGCCCTTTGACGAGGAGGAGGCAACCGGGTCCAAACCAGCCAAAGCGTGCTGCGGCTGCGCGGCTCATCACGGTCTTTGGGCGTGGTATGAAGGCTATCCGTGCGATGATGCGCCTTGCCCTTTGATTCTCCTTGAGAGTGCCAGTACGTCCCTAGAGGCACGAAGTTGAGCTCGCTCCCAGCACGAACCACGCCTCCAAGATGGTTTGGTGCGAAGCATCTGGGCTCAGGGTCTTCAGCTTTGCCTCCAATGCCTTCTGCAGCAGAACTGCATTGTCACACGAGGCATCGCGCCCACAAGAGATCACAGCGCAACAGAGAACATCTGGTTCAGTGCTGACAAGAACACAGCATACACATTGTAGCATCTCAGCACCTCGAGGGTCGCCGGCCGCACCTGACGTCCGCACAGGCTGAGGTCCAACACGAACTTGGAGGTGAGAGATTTCAACATGGAGTCATGACAATAACTCGCACAGGAGACCCCCCCCCCCCCCCCCCCCCCCCCCCCCCCTCCAGGAAACCTCCACAGCATCTGCCGTGGCTTCTGGCACGAAAGGCTCCAGGCCTTTCCAAAAATTGCGGTTTTGGGCTGTGGGCATTTTCTAGCACAGCTCTGGGCTTAAAGCACGGGTCTCTGATATCCTGCAGACCCTTTGATGTCCAAATGCCAGATGCCAACCTGGGGGAGGCGACAGCAGCATCTGGCCGTTCCTCGGCATGCAGTGGCGACTCAGCACAATGCTTCCCGAAACGTCTCGAAGATTCCTCCGCGGAGATCAAATCAAAGCATGGAACGAAACACCGCGAGGCAGTCTTTAGGAGTTTCTCCTGAAGCTTCACGCAATGCAACTGCAATGCAACTAAGCATCATTCTCGTCACAGTCAAAGTCGGACCAACAGATGTCACAATACAGCTGTGAGCCAAGCAGCCGCAGGATGGCGCATGCAACCGGGAGGTGCACGACTACTTGCACACCACAAGTGTTACTGAGTCTGTCGGGCCACTTTCTGGGGCAAGATCGTGACACGAGCCGTGGGGAGGACACGCTGGGATGGGCTGGGGGCCCTAGAGATCCGGAAGATTTGTGTACTTGCCCCTGTGGCCAACCTTTGCTGGAAGAACTAGGCACTCTCGGCGCCTGCATGGACGCGGCTGCGGCCCATAAGGGGCAGAGGCAGCACATGGCAAATTCCCGATGCCTTCAATTGTAAGCGTCTGTAAGTATCTTGAAGTTCTGCTGTAATCGTTGCTGCCGGCCGACGGTACCCTCGACAATTTCCGCGCTGCAAACATGGTTTTGACAGGCAAGCCCCATTCCAGCCGAGCCAGGCTCAGCATTCCCTACTCAATCCATACTATCCGAACTTGCTGCATGACATGAGCCAGAAGTATCGAGAGAAACAACTTTCGCTTCCATAGAGAATGCTGCTGAGAAGGGGGGTCGCTGGACGTGGACGGGGGAGGGGACGGACGCCGCTCTGGCTCAAAAGACAGTGGATTAAGTCCACCGCGATGTCATTTCGTGCCTCTCGTTCGTGGGTGAACCTCGCAGGCATTGCGACATCAAGTGACGAGAGCTCTTCTGGAGCTCTTCGGGCAGCAGCTCTTGAAGTACTGCGTTGTCACAGCTCAGGCGCGACTGAAAACTGAGTGTGCAGGCCACAGGGTTGGCAGAAGCAGAGCGGCCAACCCCACCAAGAAGCTGTTAGAGGAAACGACCTGCACGGGCTGCAGCACTTCCTGTTGCAGTCCGATGTCCCAGCATTGCAAGTGGATTAGGGTTGATCGCAGCAAACTATCGAAAGGCTGGCATTCGGCACACCACCTTGTCGCCTTCGCCCATGGCTTCGGCAAGCAGAAAGCTCGAAACTGTATCAAGTTGCTATGTTGATGATGAGTTGAACATGCGTCATCAACACAAGTTGGAGACTGCGTCGTCCTTACCGCTTACAAGACGTGCGTAAACGCTACTAGGCCCTGAACATGGAGTTGCGTCACTGACCCTGACAATGCTCAGTTGGCAGTTGAGGTGTGGACCTCAGCTGATGTTGCGACGGTGGGGCGCAAAACGTTGACCCAGGGCGCATTGCTTGCGCCAGTGAGCTCAGGGGCATCTACACACTTTCACCAAGCTTTTCATTTTGCTTCCGCCTAGTCGCAAGGCGACGGCTGCAGCTAAAGGCTGCGCTTCAGCTTCAAGCATTTCGGCGATGTTGCTCTTGTTCATGTCACCAGATACGGGCGTATGACTGCACATCCCTGCTACTTGCTGCCCTCTTCTGGAATGAAGCCTTCTTTCAAGGCTTTTACCTGAGCATCTCAGTGAAAGTGACGCTGCAACTGTCTGACACACCTCTCTTCTTTACACAAGTCCGTATTGCAGGCCAACTCATGTTGCTCTCTCGCATGTTATTTTACATGAGGATGCGGCCACATCGACAACCGTATCTCCATCTCCATGGTCCTCGCAGCTTTAGAGCTGATGCAGCACGCATCCGACTTAGAGCAAATTGCCCAGTCTGGTCCCGGATGTAGTACCGGTTCCCGTACGTGTTCTGAACTTGCCTCAAGCAGCGTGAGATAAGCTGACATTCTCGGCTGGTGCTCAAAGCAAGGACAGCTGAGGTCCAATACCTCCAGTAAGTCAGAGGCTTCCTGCTGCAAAGCACAAGCATTCCGTTTCTAAAGCATCGCAGTCTTCTGAGGTGCAAATTCTTTGCGACCCCAGGGTGCTTCAAGTGGACGGGATCAAGATTGGAACCTGAGCCACAGGCATCTTTTCCACCTCCGCTCCGGCGTTGAAGTTCACCACGTAGCCTTCCCCAAGGCCGCCCGTGTCGTGGACGTAGATCACCTGTGCCCATCGGGGGGCATAGGTTTGTCCCGGTGCACCTTTCAATTCAAGATGCTCTGAGCACAGTACCGTGCGGCCATCCGGCTGCCAGTAGTCTCTGATGGCCAATCCTCGCAAGCTAAAGGACTGCCTGTAGGCGATGTTCAGCTACGGAAAGGCGCGGTTCCGTCGGCAGCGCTTGCTGTCCTGGAGTGTTGGGGAAGGTCTGCGTGAGGACGCGCACCCGAACCTGGCCACTGTTGGGATGCATGTCTGGCAACCCGAGAGGTGCACAACCTCCTTTTTGGGGGGTCTATAAGTAGGGGTCCCTGTCGTAAAGCCCCATATCCAAGCCGCCCCGAACTGCTTCTCAGCACCGCTTGCCTTCGCTTTGGTCTCAATCTCTGAAATGTATCCAGCCAGCTCTCGCTCTTGACTGTTGGTCAAGATCCTTGCGCGAAGGGTGGTTCTGTAAGGACCTGCTTCGCCCCACGGAAGTCGAGATGCGCGAGCTCAAGAGACGTTGAAGTCCTGGCTACATCAATGACTGGCGTCGTCGCCGCATCGGTCTTCGGCAGCAACTCTGGCCGATTGACACCTCAACAACAGCAAAAAGCAAACAGAAGCATAAAAAAACAGTAACTCAAGATGCCCCCCAACCTGAGAAGCCCTCAATCCGTCGCCGTGCCCGGCCTTCTGGCCGCTTCGCTTCGGCAGCAGGTGCCTGGCAAGGCTCCGGAAACTCCCAGTTTGATGCCTCTAAAGTACGGTGCCCCAGATACAAGGGCCCATATTCTTATTGCAATCGGTACCCCGGGTACCATGAGGCCATATAGCTGCCGTCGGCCGGTGTCCGCGTTTGGCCAGTAGGGACGCTACAGGCATCAGTTGTTGCTTCAGGCCCAGGATGGACTGCGAGTCATATTGCTCTATGCCCATGCGTATGTGAAGATTCCTGCGATCGGCTTGGAGATGTGCATTGGGCTATTGGGTTTGCGCTGAACAGTCCTCAACCTGGTGCTATGCACTGCGCCTGTGCGAGCACCACCAGGCCCAGCAAGCCCCGGCGATCCCAGCGTGAAGAACTCGAGCGAGGCACAGGAGAAGGATAGGATGCCAGCTTCGTGCTGCAGAAGAGCAGCACTCCTGGCCTATCGTTGTCGCGTGGCACCGCAACAAACGCGGGAGCCTGAATATGCATTGTGCTGGTGTCACCAACCCTTTCGGTTTGATCCTTGCTCAGCCGTATCTAGGCATCACGCGCATATCGCCACAAGCAGCAGTAGTCCCCCACCTGAAGGAATCGAGGTCCCAAACAGTGCACTCACGTGCAACCCGGCAGCGTGCGGCTTTGCCTCTCCGAAGCAATCGCACACCACCTGAGCCGCAAGCCCTTCTAGAAAAGTTGCTCAGACAGGAGATGATGGAGGCATGGACCAGCCCTATCTGAGGCTGGTTCGCTTAGGCATGCCCATGCTCGGGCCAGGAACTGGAACACTAAAGCCTACAGGTCCGGGTCCTAGCAGAGGGTTGCCATCGTACTGCTGTTAGGTCCACTGCCACGGGGGTAAATCACTTGTCTAAGGCTTCGCTGAGAGGCTTCGCAGGCCCATTCTCTTGAGAATATTCGCGCGGCACACATGAACAGAGCCGCGCATTGCACAAGGCACCGAGGAGAACTGCCAACGCTGGACAGCTCTTTGCCTTTTCACTGGAAACTATGACTGAAGGCACTCCTGGGGGTGAGACAAGGCGACAGGTCTGAATGCCAAATTTTGTCTTCCGGTTTTCAAACTCTTTATCACAGCTAGGATCTCTGCCGAATGAACACAAAGCAGTTTGTTTATCCGAAGCTTTGAGTATGGGGCATGAGATCCCAGCTTGCTCAACAAGGCTTCAAATGGTATGCGGTTAATTGAGGGGAGCGGTCCACTGTCGGAGGTCCCGAAAAGACACTACACTGCATCCTCACTTGTTCAGGAGCTCGGTCTTCTTTTTCTCTTTGGCCTTCGAGCGCCAGCAGCACTGAACGGCTCCAGAAATCTGGAGTGGCGGAGTGGCAACCCCTGTACCCTAAACCCTAAACCCTTTTCCCTAAACCCTAAACCCTAAACAAGCTTCACTCAGCTGCTTGTGTTGCAGAACACGGCAACTTCAGAGTCAACCTCACCACTCCCTCAAGCGAAGACGCTCGCCCACCACTGGACATGCGGTGTGCGTACGCGCGTTCGACGTAGACCGTGTAGACCCTCACCGAGTATCTCTATGTTTTATGTTAGATGTCCATTTCCATTCTTGCCATCATTATCCCGCAAAAACCCTAAACCCCAAACCCTAAACCCTAAACCCTTGTGATGGGATTCCCCGCCTCCAGCAGCTTGCGCCTCTCGTTGCGTGCCTCCAGGGCCTGCACTCCAAAGACACCCCAAGGGGCATGAAGCATGACTTCCTCACGACTTTGGGGGAGTTTAGGGGTTTAGGGTTTAGGGTCCAAGGTTTAGGGGTTTAGGGTTTAGGGTTGAGGGTTCAGCGCCTTCGGTTGCTCAACACCTCTACTACAGTTTCGGTATCATTTGGCCTCCAACCCCTCCGCCCCTGAGCCTCGGACCTGCCCTTAATTGAAAGATCGAAGGAAGTAGCAGGGAACAGCTGAAGCTGCGAAGCATTAAAAATCAACCTCTCAGGATGTGCATGCGAGGCAGGGCCTTCTCGTAGTCCTCTTCAAGGGTGGCTTTTCTGAAGCCTTCGCCCAGGATCTGCATGTTCTCCGAGAACTCCTTGTGTCAACTGCGGCTGAGCCATGATCGGCCTGAAAGTACTCTTACAGAATGCCAGAGAGAGAGAGAGCCTCTTACAGAATGCCAGAGAGAGAGCGAGAGAGGGAGAGAGAGAGTGGCTGAAAACAAGGGAACGACAGAACAAGGCATGACAAATTGAGACGACGCCAGCGTCCTCTGCGCCCAGGGCACTGCCTTCCTTGTCGGGGTCCCAGCTGGCGGACATCATGCCATAGGACCCGCCTCGTCTCAAACTCAAGCTCAAGATGAACCCCAAAAGACCCCTAAACGCTAAAAACCCAAAAACCCTAAACCTTGAACCCTAAACCCTACCAACCTAACCCTGAACCCTAAACCCCTGCAACCTAAGCCTCGAACTTTTCAGTTTTCCTTTCAGGTCCGGGGGGCCAAAGATGGCCAAGGCCAGGAGTGCCAGGGTGACGAAGGCCATCAGCGTCGGCGGTATGATGATCTCCTCGACAGCTCATGACATCACGGAGGACGGACCCTCAGTTAACCTGAATGGTACTACGACATGTATGGTATGTACTAGGCAACTGATAGCCCGCCATGGCTACCAGACAAAGGAGAACTGACAAGAGAGAATGGGCGAGTTGCAACTTCTCATTCACAACTTCTTGTAGCATATATCATATAACACATAGCGCATCATGCATAACATATACAACATATAGCATAGAAGATGCAATAGACCATATATTCTACATCACCTATCATGTCAAAATTGTATTGCCGAGTATAAAAACTGTGTGTGTGCGTATGTATGCATGCATGCATGCATGCATGCATGCATGCATGCATGCATGCATGCATGTATATATGTATGTGTCAGACAAACATAGTTTTATGTATTTATCATGCATATATATATATATATATATATATGCATACATATCAGACATCAGATGATATAGAACATTTTGGTATGTGCCATAGATTGTAGACGAAAAGTTATATACATTGTAACGTATGATATACATTATGCAATAGACCAAGCACCCCTTCTCATACATCGTGTACCACATATGATATATGAATATCAATATGATATATCATTACTGCTATATCATATATGAGATATGATATACAACTGATGTAGGAATATCATGTATAGCATGTGTTTTACCATATAAACATAAATAATACATGCAAGCATGATGTGTGATATATGACACCTGCTATATCCTTCAGTATGTATTCTGTTGTACAAATGTTATATCATATGATATGTACTAGATCTCCTAAACAATACATCATATACATATTTACGTAGCGTAGAATATGTAATGAATACAATGTGAAGTGCCATATAATCTACTATGTGATATACAGTACGTATGTGTGCGTTCAATATTCGACCTGCAATAGTGCACGATTCCTGTCTACAAAGAGTCAACGTCGCACAGTCAGCTCTCTCGTCCAACGACACATCAAACACGCCTGAGTCTTGAAAAGGAAGATGCCAAAGGCAAAGACCGCGAGCATCGTGGCGTAGAAGGAGCCGCCAATTACCATGCCTCTCAAGACTCCATAGCGAGAATTCCCTTGCCTAATGCATACAACACATATTTTACATAATACGTCTATGTACTTGAAGAGCAAGCCGTGGACAACGAAAGCTCGCCTTGATTCTAGGCGTCATAACGGCCGGCATTCAGCCGCTCTTTCCCGTTCTTTCTTCTTGACGATCCCACACGCAATAGTATTAACTGTGAACGTCTCACGTACTATATACTCTTGTCTTGCTTAGTGGTGCGTCTTCGCTTGCTATGTTCGGTTGTTTTGCTCATGGGTGCGGGCTTCGCTTACTGTGGTGCGCGGTTTCTTTGCTTATTCGTGCATCTTCGCGTACTCTGCGGTTGTTGGAAACATGCGTTCATAGAGATCACGATCTAGGCCTCAAGAGCTATCCAAAGTTTACACGCGATCGGGGGAAGTGATTTGAGCAGCATGTGCTCACGGAAACGTCATCAGCTGTACTTGCTTAATGCACCAAGGAAGACGTACCAACACGCATTCACACCGACCGCGATCTACAACTCAAGATCTCCGATGGCTCACGGAGACCGTGACGCAGGTCCGCGGAGCTCCACACAACAGCTTGAGATAAGACGTACGAGGGCGCATTCATACAGACCGCGATCTCTAACTCAAGATCCGAAACTCAGCCAGCTAAAGTTTGGCTAGCTTTCGTGATCGTATATGATATAGAATATAGCGCAAGCAGGTAATAGACTGAGGTCCATATGACGAAAGGTTCGCAACAGTCAATGGTGATGATAGAAGTGAGCATTAGCCAGCCATTCTCGCCTGAAGCGAGCGCTGCAGGTACCCTAAACCCTAAACCCTAAACCCTAGACCCTAAACCCTAAACCCTAAACCTGGGCACAGCTCTGCTAAGCCTCGCTTCGCTACGCGCTCTGCAACAGGCTGCGGCATCACGGCCACTTCGCGGCCATACCTGGGGGCACGGGGAGATCGTTTAGGGTTCAGAGGGCTTAGGGTGTTTAAGGGTTCGGGGTTTAGGGTTTACCGTTCAGGGTTTAGGGTTCAGTGGTTTAGGGTTCAGGGGTCTAAGGTTCAACGTTTATGGGTTTGAGGTTTTAGGAAGGCAACTTGACTGAAGCTCTAAAAGGGCACTTGGCAATCAACGCTTTTCCCATCTCGTACTCATCCAGCTCTTCCTGGCCGAGCTCCCCATCTGCAGCACAGTCTGCGAAAAACTTCTTGGATCTTTTTGGACTACTGCGGTCGACCCTTTACGTTGCTTACTTAGAGCCATCGGTTCCCCGAGTTGGGTCAAGCTTCCTAGTTCGCTCTACCGAGGCCAGCCGAGATGAAATCCACGCCACGCACCTCGCGCTTCTGCCTCAAGGCCAGGGTCTTGTCTCGCAGGTCGCTGAGACGCTGCTTCCTGCCGCGTGTTTTGGCCATCACGCTGGGGGTGTTGCAAGATTCCATGCTCATGGACAATAGAATGCTGATTCTTGGATTGAACACCCTAGCTCACTGGCAGACAGGGAGACTGAATCTGAGGACATGGCGTCAGCGCCTTTGTTTTCGAAGACTTCTTGTTCTGGCCAGCAGATCACGCAAGAAGGCATGGGCTCACGATGACAACAGATCGTCGCGCTCGCGATTAAACTCTGACTGTCATACAGGCGGCGTTTGACCGTACAGTCCGGCTGCCCTGCTTTTGCGGCTGCCAGGCCTTCATGATGCTAGCCTTCTTCCCGGAGCCACCCTGCAGGCAGGACGCTCTTGCCAAGGTGGCAAACCGGCTAGGAGGGTCTACTGCCGTGTGCCTAAACACACACATATCATGCAGCTTCTCAATCATTCAGAAGCAACACTAGAAGCCAAATTCGATGGCAAACTTACATTGACCGCAGGGACCTCCTTCTTCTCGGGTTCTGCCTTCGCCAGGGATGTGGTTCAGGGATCTACCAAAACTGCCGTGAGAGAGCTCTTGATTTCCATATCTCAGGTGGCACCATGATAGGTCACAAGCACGTGTCAAAAGGGGTTTGTAAAGGACCTGCAGAACATGTTGACTTGGGGCAAGCTTTCCTGCTCGCCGCAGGCACGGACCCTCAAAGTTTTCGATCTCTCTCGAACCACGTGTGGAAGGCATCGTCATCATCTTTGCGAACGCCGACAGCCCCTGTGGGATCCTTTGATTCTTAGCTCCCCCTCCGAAGGCGACGGACCTCGCCTTCTGATGCATCTTCATATCGCTTGGTGTTTGTATACATCAGCTCCTACACCTCTGACAAATCATGACCTCTGCGAGCGAGGAGGCCCTGGAAGTTGAAGGGTTAGGTCACTGGGATGTTGACAGTTTAGGCTCAGCTTTGATGGGAATCCATGATACACCTTGGAACCAACATAAGTTCACATAAGCTTCAAGCCTTGTCCGATGCCTCGCCGCCACCGAAGCCCTGCAAAAAAAGTCTTCGACTCTGTTAACGCAGGCAAGGCTTCTCAGGGTATTGTCGAGTAGCCTCCCAGAGGCCTGTGGCATCCACATGCCAGAAACATTACTCTCTCAAAGGTATGCACAGCACTCACAATGAAGCAGGGCGCGCCTTCGACTCTGCATGCCTAGGTTGCTGCTGTGCGGCAGAAATTCAGGGAACAGCACCATGAACCACTGTGTTTCCTGGTGTTTTCTGACTCCTGGCCTTCACTTCCACGGATCGCATGCCCAACAAAGCCCTGAGGTCAAAGCCTCTGCGTGGCCGGAAAGGTCCTCCACAGCGGCGCTGCCTCCGGGGATTTGAGTGCGGCTCGACTGACTGGGGGGAAGTCTGGCAGTCTAGAAGTCCACGCCCGCAGGGCTTCTGCCCACAATCGCTTGGCCAACCCTAAACCCTAAACCCTAAACCCTAAACCCTGCAAAGCGAATTCTGAGCTCCGAGCTCCCACAAAGCCGGGAGCGGCCTGGCCCGACGGAAGAGCACCACAGCTTCGGTAGAATGTTTCTTACTCTGTTCAGTCTGCTGTGTCCTGACGCTGTGGCTTTTCAGGCACTTCTTGCTTCTCTCAACCTACTCACAGCGGCCTTGAGTATGCCGGTGTGACCCCACCCGGCATCTAGAATATGTCCCAGGTAGGGCCAGCCATGGTTGAAATCCCCCTTGGCTCGGGGGTTGCCATCAGTGCTGCCTTCGTGAATTGCGGTGCCTACCGGGCAATTGCCACCCTAGGGCCGCATGTTGACTTTACAGCTCTAGAGGTGATGTAAAGGAAATTCAAAGAGTGAAGCTTCAGCGTAAAAAGGAAACTGAGCAGAATACTGGGCTACATCATGGGGGGTTTCCGACATTAGGGGTACCTGTTTGGGGTCCTTATAACAAGGGAATCCTACTATTCGGGGGTCTTGTTTTAGGGGTCCCCTATGTTCATAGATTCCCAAATACTCCAAGCGGTGGAAGTGCGCAAGCCTGGAGGGCCAGGGAAAGGACCGCGGCCCCGGAGGCCACCAGAAGGCGACGGAGCCATCTGGGTTTAGGGTTTAGGGTTTAGGGTTTAGGGTTGAGGGTTGAGGGTTTAGGGTTTAGGGTTTAGGGTTTAGGGTCAGGGTTTAGGGTTTGGGGTTTGGGGTTTAGGTGTAGGGTTGGATGGGAGAAGGGAGGCACCGTTCAACCTTTTGCACCCTTGAACAACTCCACAGCACGAAAGCAGGTGGGAAGCGCTCCAAGAAGCTCCCAAGAAGCCCCCAAGCAGCTCTCAAGAAGCTCCAAGCCTCCCGGGTCTCCTTGCGCTGCCCCGGAGAGACATGGCCCTGCGAAACTGCGAAACAAATCAACAACAACGGGGGGTTACTCACGGAGGGTCGCTCAGCTGAGGTGAAAAGATGATGCGCAGTGAGGGATTTGACTCAAACCAAAGAAAGAACGTGCGAATGAGCTGGGAATTGAAAAACCGACAGTCAGACAGTCGCACGGTCAGACAGTCAGACACTCCAAGATCTTCTTAGGAAGGGCAACCAATGAGACAATCAGACACCCAAACACTCAGACAGCCAGACACGCAGATGCATGTGGATACTCAGAGTGGACTTGACGGTCCGTTTGTCTAGTTTATCCGTCTGCGCATTCAGAACTTGAAGAGTTCTCAGATGAACCTGATAGTCTACCTGTCCGACTGTCTGCCTGTTCTGATGTTCTGGGTATGAGAAACAATCAGACAGTGAGAGCGGCAGACACAGTCAGACACCCAGAATGCTCATACAGTCAGACTGTCAGACGATGAGACTTTCGGACAATTGGAGTACGTAGACAGTCAGACATTCAGACTCTTGGACAGACAGACCGTCAGTCAGACTTTCAAGTTTATCGCCGGAGGGACGCTCAGACGCTCAAGATTCTCTAAGAAGTCTTACCGCAGAACCGGCAGACAATTAGAAACTTAAGAAGTTGACACTCATCAGACAGTCAGTCAGTCAGACAATTAGAAACTTGAGAATTTGACACTCATACAGTGAGTCAGTCAGTCTGTCTGTCAGTCAGTTAGAAACTTAAGCACGCGTTGACACTCAAACAGTCACACAGTCCAGAACCTGCTGACACGCAGACCGGTAAGTCTTGGAGTCACCAGCACTTGCAGCCTGTCGTCTGGTGTTTGCTGTTGCTTTTGGATGGACAGGCTGCAAGCTTCGTGTAGAGGTAGTAGATCAAGAATGACCGCTTGTGTAATCCAACTGAACAGCAGCCAGCGATACAAAAGCAGAATGTACGGGCGCAGGATTGGTTGAGAGAGGTGACTCCCCCCTTGCATGTGTCTTGTCTGAGTCTGCGGCTGAAGGCACCGGGCGCGTTTCCACCAACTTCTATAATGGCTGAGCTGCAGACATGAATGCAACACTTCACGGGATGTACGCAGGGAGGGGTGGGGGGGGAGGGGCGATTGAGCCCCGGGCGCCAGCAGATCTAGCACCCCCCTTTTTTCCGCCGCAGTCGCGCTCATGATGTTCATTTGTTGTGCATCGCGTTTGCATAAGCCTACGTGCAAGCATTGAGCGTGGCATCACCTTGCGTACCAGCCATGTCCGCACACAATGCAGCTCGGCCACTGGGAATGAACGCACTTCGACATTGCAGGATCTGACAACACAGCGTGCAGCTGGCCAGGCGCGCAGTTGCAGTGTCACCTACTCCCAGGGAGTCTGCTGGGACCGTGGCAGAAATGGATGGCCAACGTGAGATGAAGGTGTGGCTGCGGGAGAACTGCTGATAAGATCCCAACATGTACCTACTTGGGTCTGCAATTAACTCATGCGCCGTCTTGGCACGGTGCTGATGGATCAAAGCAAGCAATGCTCAGATACCTTCGTGCCTCTGATCTGAGCCTGAGCACGTTCAGGTTATGCTGCGTAAACTCTTTCGGCTCATCATACAACCAAAGAGAGAACTTAACAAACAGCAGCGTTCAACCTACATCTTCCTTTCCCAAATATCAAACCCCTGCCACTTCGGAAGCTTGCCTGCTCTGAGAAAGTCGATCCTACAAATACTACCGATCCACAGCTGCCACTTCAAACCAGACTTGCGAAGCATGAGGTGGGCACACAAAAATCACGTGGGCTAGGCGGGATGTTCCAGGGCTTGTCGAGTTTGTGGCAAGCTGGGTGACACGACAAGAGGGAAGGATGCCAGCAACAAAGCATAGCTGAGCCGTCGGAGCTACTCAGAATCTACTCACCCTAAACCCCAAACCCCAAACCCTAAACCCTAAACCCTAAACCCTAAACCCTAAGAGCCCTTGCCTTGGCTCCGAATCAGCTTGCACCCGGCCCTCGCCTGGCCTGCTGGCTTTGGCAGGGCCTGTAAGGACTGAACAAGATTTTGAAGCCGGCCCCCCTTTTGTTCCAACAGAACTACAAGTTCTGTAGCGAAGTCTATAACAATAGCTTCATACACGATAAACCAGTTTAAGAAACTTCCATGTTAGAAGTCCAATCCTCAAGTCCACGGAAGCGCAGAGTGCGCAGCCAGAGCAATACGGCCCGGTTGGCAACGCGTAGCCTTCCAAATACGTGGTGCGTGAAACCGAAGCACCTCTGCTCTCTGCTGTCGATGCCTTCATATCTGAGGATGCTGTTCCGGCTCTGCGTCTTGCTCTCTTGACGATGGCGAAAGCTGTCGTAAGCGGCAACCAGCGGAGCTGAAGTGCAAACAACATCTTCGACTTTTGTGAGAAGACCTGCAGACTTTGTCAGGGTCATCGTGAGAGCCACCTGCGCAGTGAGCGTTTCATTGTGGAGTCCCTTCCCTGCCTTTGATGCTGCTTCGTCAGGCGATTTTTTTCAGAGATTGGAATTAGTCACTACTAGCCTGCTGCAAGCACATGTCCTGTTCCTAGACCGCGACGGATGCAACATGCAAAACAGAGCTGCTTCCGAGCCTCTTTCCGAACCGCTTTCCATGCTAATGCAGTGTCACTTTGGTCACTTGAGAACTGAAACCGACAGGCCGGGTGTTCTCGCACTGTTTTTGTGCAATAGGACCCCTTGTCAGGATTGCTAGGCTACGGTGAGACTGAGAGCCCCTCCGCGGCTCTTCATACACACTTCCAGCACACACAGCTTTGAGGATTTTGCGAGGAGAAGTACTCGAGCGGCAAGAACTCGGGCATCTCTCTTGTGGACTCGGCAGCTGTGAGGTCCAGCTTCTTGTCACAGGCATCCCGGGCGGCGACCAGTCCAACGAACAGCGCTTGGACGAAGATAATCAAAGCCTCAGCGGGTGTCAAGTGCTTTTGTAAGCAGAGAACAAGCAGAGAACAAGTCTGCTGATTCGCAGATTTTAAGGCACAGCTGATAGTGCCTCATGTGCAAAATGGGGCCGAGCCACGGAAGCTAGCCCAAACCCTAGCTGTGCCGCTAGTACTGGGTGATGCCAATCAAAGACCGAGTAGATCGGACATTCGTCATCGGGATACACCCGATGACACTGCGAAACCATCGCATCCTCAGGGCACTCCCAACAGCCCCCAATCATGCCAATGTGCAAGGCAAAGTGGACGTAAGTCCATCCCACATAGATGAGCTGGTAAAGAAAAAGCCAGCCGGCACGTGCGCAAGAGAAGGGGACACGAGTCATGAGAAGGTTCAGGACAAGCAGGAGCGCGTTGATCCCATGAAGGAAGATGTCGATGTAGACGACCTCGCCGCCGTGGTAGATGAGGACCCAGAAGAGCACGGCAACCGTCAGCGACAAGGGCACCGACAAGGAGTTCAATGCGACGGAGATGCGGACGAGGCTCGGCTCGGGTGGCGCCACCTCGTGGCCCACGTGCCCCTGCACGTACTGGAAGCCCATCATTGCTACCACCCACTGCAAGACGAGGCTAAGGGCTTCGATCCAGCTCGCCTGCACGGTCAAGAATACAAAGTGATATGCTCCATCGCTCCTGCCCCGGGTCCAGAAGTTCCAAACCGCATGTGCCGTGAAGATGGCGGCCCAAAGCGCCCTGAAGGACACCGTTGACAGTGGCCCCATCCATGGTGAAGTGGCGAAGGCCTGGGGCCAATGCTCCTCCTTCCACTCTGGGCATACGGAGCTGGAGAGCCCCATGGTGCGCGCAATTTCGCGCGTCGCGTGGAGAAGGGCTCGGGGGAGCTGAAGCAAGGCACCAACATTGCGGAAGCACGAAACTATGAAACAAGCCCACGCACACGAAGCACGCACAAACCATGCATGAAACCAGCTGAGAGGGCATATGTTGCACCAGGTCCGGGCCTCAGTGCCCTCCTGCCCGCGATCGCAGACATTGGACGTTTGCCTCGGCATCTGATAGCTGCACCATCTTATAAATAAGAATAATAATGAGGAAGAATAAGTATAATGATAATAGTAATAATAAGCATCTTGGTTGACAGACTTGCTGCCGGCTGTTGATAAGGATCCAGCTTTCGCAGCAGCCTTTCGGACCCTGTTCAAGGATGTCTAATCCCCTCCTCCAACCCCCCTACCCCTGATATTACATGCTCCCATTAGTAATTATATTATAGTATATAGGCCTACTTAGGGGGCCTCTTATATTAGGGGAGGGGAGTACTCAGGCTACTCGCTCTCTTGGGGGGTGGGGGGGGGGGGGGCGAAAAAGGCCGACATCCGCCTTTCCATGGTGACTTCCCCATCGGGGATGCCAATGAGGCAGCTTGCTGGCAGCTTGGAGGACCTCCCAGCAAAAAAATGGTTTAGGGTTTGGGGTTTTTTTAGGGTGGTTTAGGGTTTAGGGTCCAAGACTAACTCCCCACACACTTGTTTTTAGACCCCAGGTGCAGTAGAGTGTAATGGAAGGGCGGAAACTCTTGCCAAGACAGCGCGGAACATCAGCGTTGGCCACTCAAATTGCCCACAATGAGAAGAAACCATGCTTGTACTTGTTGCTAGTGCCCTCACGTGGCCTGTATTTTTGCCTGGCCTTGCACTTCGCAAGACAACCTTCAAAAAAAACCAGTGGACCCCTCACCATCAACGAAAGAGAGACAAGTTCCGAAAACCCAGGCAGACCCCCGCCCACATGCGGGAATCAAATAAGCTTTCTGCAAGGAGACATACGGGGGCCTTCTCGGCTTGGCCTGGTGGCTTGGCCCGCTTGGCCAGCTCGGCCCACTCGGCCCGCTCGGCCCGCTTGGCCCGCTTGGCCCGCTGGGCCCCCCAGCATCCTCAGCTGCAGTCATCTTTTAGGGCGTGCCTTTCATTGGGCCACTCATACACTGCCAGGCAGCCATCCATGAAGCGAGGCTGGGAAAAGCAGATGCCGCAGATGCCATTGCGCTTTGCCCCGTGGGCCTGGGTCTCAGATTTCAAGGATTCGTCTCATCGCAGCCTTTTGAGAAGCACAAGACATGCCTTGAAAGGCACTCGCTGCGCAAAGCCCTCTCTTTGAGGCCTTCGCATGTGTTCCCTCTGAGGCCCGGGGCCTAAGAAGAAGCAAAAGCGCGGGATCGGCTACAACAAGTGAGTTACATTGAGTTACATCCGAGTTTTGGGGTACATCGGGGGGAAAATCCCTGTGGTAGGAGATGCCCATATGGATCCTACCAAGTCCACGAAGTCCCCACTGCTGCCAAAGGAACTTGGCCTGTGCTCCTGCTTCTGAAGATCTCGAAAGTCAGCAAGCCAGGCCTGAAGTTGTGCTCACAACTGTGCGCACAACTTACCCTTGCCATGAATGACTTGCCGTGGCTCACAGAATCTCACAGATGCACACGCCCACCTCCCAGTCTTCCTCAGCGACCTCCGGGTGATCCCTCCACGGATCCTCGTAGGGCGGAGGCCTCAATGCTCGGCAAGCGGCCCAACGGACGCAGTGTGCCGCACAGAGTGTGCCAGGTGTGCGAGATGCCCCGGCCTCCATGCGGCCCCCAGCCTTGTCTGAGAATCCACCTCCTCAACACGCACACCAAACGTTTAGGAAATTCGTCATGGTTCTCAAGCAAGATCCTCATCGCAAGGGAGGTCGAAGGCAGGGCTCGTTGAGCCCGAGATGGTTGAGGCTGTGGAAGGCCTCGGGCGACGACATCATGTCTCAGTCATGTCGCCGGGAATATATGGGAAGAGGCGGATGCCGCTCGATTCGTGAGGGGTCTGCCCCTTGCCAGTGCTATAGCTTGAATCTGCCACAAAGGCAGGTTCATGCCATCAAGCAGGTTTGTCCAGGACAGTTGCATGGAAGCTTCTAGCGCGTCTTTGCTGTTGTAACAGCGCGACAGATGCGAGAGATGCAAACCTAGAGGGTGGCTCTCAAGATGAGGTCGCGGCGAAGACTTGCAGGAGATGCTTGTCACGCTGAGCAAACCTCAGATGGCCCGTGGCTTCCAATCCACCGAAGCTGCCGAAGCTCACGGTGTCGCCGAGGCACTGCCGGCACCAGTGCTGCTTCGTGTAGATGGGTAGGGATGTGCCGGGTATGCCGGGTATGCCGGGCATGCCAGGCATGCCGGTGCGGGCCTTCAAGGGCAGGTTGGCTTGTTGGCCGCAGATCCACCACCAGCTCAGCCTCTGAGCCCGCTACTTCTCGCAGCGAGCACTAAGATGAAGCGGAGGGTCCATCAAAGGTGGACTCAGGAGAGACAAGTTTGCACGTGGCACCCACACACACACACTGCCACAGCAAAGCTTGAGGATGGGATGCATGGTGAAAATATGGTACTCGTAGTTGAAATAGCACAGCACACATACAGAGAGAGAGAGAGAGAGAATCCGCCGCGTGTTCAGAGACAGGACCACGAGTTCCAGGCGAGCGCCCAGTGACCCCAGCGCGGGCAGCCCTCGCTGGCGGCGTGCCGCAGCGGGGCAGGGCCTGAGCTTCGGAGGGCTTCGGGTTTTCGGGTTCAGGGCTTTGGGGATGCAGGTCCTCTTCTGTGGCTGTTTGCACTGTGGACCTGGCAGCCGCCCATTGGCCCAAGTTTCGGCTCGTCGAAGCCTCACTCAACGATGCTAAGCTGTGTGGGGGCTTCAGGTTCTGTACAAGGCAAGATGCTTCGTTGGCTACATGGAAATATGAAACAAGCATGTCAGACCTATTGATTGGAGGGATCCCCTGCACATCCCAGCCACGCACTGCGACAGAGCACGACGGCGGGAGGGCATGGCAGACCTGGCCCAGTGACAGCAAGTGTTGCCCTTGGAGTCGCCGCCAAGTCAGGCCAGAGTCACCCCGTGGTCTGCAGCGGAAGCGTACATACCTCACACCAGAGAACGGCCCATGTGCTAAGCGGCGACCGGCCGAAGAATCTCCAGCTCATGGCCGAGGTGCAGAAGTGCATATCATCATGTCATGCAGCATTGGTCAACCTCAGCGCGACAACGCGTATAACATCAGGCGTGCAGGTCCTACAGCCGCCCCCCCCCTTTCCGTGCTCTCAAAACAACACACAGAAAAGGTGTTCATGCAAACCAGCTTCAGGATGCACTGTTCACACACACACACACACACACAAACAGGTCCTCTGTTCATGTCTCTGTCACGTTCCAGAGGGCTTTGAGGACACCTTTGGGGGAGAAGCAGATTACTTTTTGCGAGCCACGTCCGGGTTGGGCCACTCCGCCGCTCCATGGAAGCTCTCCGTGAGGGCCCCCCCAAGCCCCGAACAAATGATCCTGATCTCAAGGAGGCTGCACTGGAACGATCCCCAGAGCTTATTTGCTTGGGTAATCTTGGGTACCTTCGTCCTGGGGGGGGGGGGACATGAAACCAGCCCTCTGAGCAAAAAGGTGGCAGGAAGAGGCAAAAGCATCCAACATGCCTTAGACTAGGTTTGGCACACGCCTGAGAGGTCAAAACCTTGAAAGCTCCAATTGACGCTCTAGGTCAGGGTTTACGAAAATTAGGGGACCCCTAAATTGACCCCAAATAGTAGGATTCCGTCGTAATTAGGACTCCAAGAAGGTACCTATAGGTACCCCCAATTTCGGAAACCAGGATTGAGGGTATCGGTTCATGAGCGCGCCCATTTTTCCCAGCATGCATCATTAGCCGCCTTGCGGCGAATTGGGCTAGAGAGGCCTTGAGCCCATTCCTGCAACTCGGTCCATGTCTCAACATCTTTGCATCTAACTTAACACGTCAAATATAAAGCTATCTCTTGCCATGTTTCTATGCAGGAGCAGCTGTCCCCAACCTAAGCCTTGGCTTTCCCGCACTTTCCTTGGCCTCTCCTCCCCATAAGCCCCTCAGCCCAGCAAGCCGAAACGCGGCCGCTTCGGTGTATCCGGCCAAGGCCTCGGGGATGCGAGGGTGGCACATGGGGCGTGCGCTCTTACTACGAAGAACTCAACACGCTCTCACCATATTCTGAACAGGGAAGTCGGTTCACGATCGAAGCGACACAACGGGAAAGGAACAGAACCATACTACAGTTTAGCTTCGCCTCCTTTGCATCACATTATCATACAAGCTCTTTGCATCGGCGACTGCCATAGCAAGCGCTCAGCATGCTTGGGATCTAGCTCAGCTTCTTCCTCCTGCAATTCCAGCATGTTGCTTTGTGACGATTACAACTCCCTTGATGGACATTCACCTCATCGACGCCAGAGGTTAAGAGAAAAGTCGCAGCCTCCCAATCCTCGAGGAAGCCACGCCGCTTCGTCTGGGAGACCTTAAGACAAGAGCCAGCTGTGACGTGTAGGGTTTAGGGTTTAGGGTTTAGGGTTTAGGGTTTAGGGTTTAGGGTTTAGGGTTTAGGGTTTAGGGTTTAGGGTTTAGGGTTTAGGGTTTAGGGTTTAGGGTTTAGGGTTCAGGGTTTAGGATTGAGGGTTGAGGGTGGGATAACGCTCCGAGCCTGCTGGTTGAAGTCGAAGTAATCGCGGTTTTCCTTGCCGGCTGCTTGTGGTGTGCCAATATATGGGGTGGGCTGTCTATCCGCCCTCTGAATATCCTTTGCAGGGCAGCCGCGCTTCTGCGAGGCGATTGTAGTTTTCCCTAAAGGTTCTGTGTAGCGTATGCGGGGCTCGTCGGGTTCTGTGGGGGTGTCATGGGGCGTCTCCGTCATTCGGAGGGGTACTGAGGGGGTCTTTCGGAGGGTTGGGCAAGGCGGCCCACTGTTAGGGATTTTGGGCTGGGGCCCCCCTGGTAGGGAGGGCGGCGCAATACTCTGATTTTGCTGCCTTATCGACTCTTCGCGGCTCCCACCACAGACTCGTGACAAGAATTTCTCGCGGCTTTCGCCAGTCGTCACTACAGCATTTTCGGGTGGGTGGAAGAACCCTCTCTTTGCTACATTCTTTGTTTCTTGGCCGCCCTACCCACTTCACTTAGGCACAAGCACACGAGCACAGACAAGAAGTGCACCGCAGCTTTTGCAAAGCCTTTTGACACCCCTCAAGCCTATACCAAACGGGACGCGGTCAAGGTTTCGGGTTTACGGCTCGGCTGCTCTCCGGCGCTTTCCGCATTTGCAGCCTGACCCGTGTCCACAAGAAACTCCGAGGTGCACCACTTGGGGGGTTACGAAAATAGGGGACCCCTTTCAACAGACCCCCCAAACAGTAGGATTCCAGGATTCCCCTATAGCAAGGATCCAAATAAGGTACCCCTGATATATCCTAATATCGTAAACCCCCCACATGGACCGCCGACGTGCACGTCCCGTGCCGCGCAAGTGTTTGCAAATATGTCCTTGTTCCTTACCTTCTGTCTTTTCTATTCTCACTCCCTTTCCAGAATTTTCCAGAGACCAAGACAAAAAAAAACAACAACACAAAATGGGCACTAAAATGAAGCACCGACAAAGTCTGACTAGAAACCTAAGCAAACAACTTAGTGTGGCATGCACACATGCTGCCATGAACTCAAAGTGTGCTCTAACTGCCCGAACCTTGCCGGTGAGCTTGTTGACCTGGCAAAGCGAATGCCGAAGGTATCCCGGGGTTCTTCCGTAGGAACCATCAGAAGTCAGCTGCCTTCCTCGCCACGAAAGCAAGTTCCGCTGCCAGCGCGGGGAGACCCGTGTGGCCTAGCGGCTTGCAGTCTCCATGTGGGAGTTTACGAAAAAAGGGACCCCTTATAATAGATCCCAAATAATAGGATTCCCTCATCACCCCAATAAGGCACCCCTTAATTTCGGAAACCCCCATATGTAGGGCTTCTGAAGGGCTCGGGTTGCCTAAAGCCCATCTAAACCTGACAGAGGCGTGCAGCACATTGCGGCCTGCTGTTTCCTCAGCAGCTTCGATGAGGCCCAGCCTCAGTTGGGGGCTCTGAAGCCTACGGGGCCTCCTACGGGCTTCTCCAAATCCGGCTCTAAGGGACCGGCTGCCCGGCAAGCGATGAGGCCTCCTTCTTCAAGGCAGCCCTGGGCAGGCATTGAATCGAGGATATCAAAGTCATTACGGGTAGCCCAAGGTCCAGACGCTCTTTGCATCGATTGCACCAGCAGAGCTTCGACTTCAGCGATCTCCTGCATCTCTGGGGCGAGGCAGCGTGGACGGGAACTACATCCAAGCCTTGCCTTGCCTGCACACTAGGCCTTACTTTAAGAAGTGGAAAGCGTTGCCATCCAACCCATCTCACAGCCCGGATGCAAGGAGCAGCTCCCAAAAGCGAGAGAATTAGAGAATTCGGGGGGGGGGGGGATACCCCTGACGTGTTGCCCCGACTGGGAGGCCCGCGCCTCATCAAGCTGAGACACAGCTGCATTGCTGGGCTTCACCTCGCAACTTCTCCATCCCCGGTCCCTGGTGATCCCCTGCTTGGTCCTGTTTTCCCTTCTTAGCATTCGCTCTTTGTAACATACCACCACTGGAGGCCAGGGTTTATGGCTTAGGGTTTAGGGGTCCAGGCTCAGGAGCAAGAGACTCTTTAGTAAGGTCTGGGTGGCTCTCAATGCATCAAGGCTGCAAGGCCCGTGAGCTCTTCGGCGGGCAGATGCCCCTCGGCACATAAGGGTTTGGGTTTGTTTTAGGGTTTAGGGTCTTTGGGGCTTTCGGGTTTGAGGATTTTTAGGGCTTTAGGGTTTTTCGTGTTTTCGGGTTTTAGGGCTTAAGGGTTTTAAGGTTTTCGGGCTTTACATGGGTTTGAGATGGGTTTTGGGCTTTATGGTTTTAGATGGTTTAGGGTGATAGGGTTTTAGGGTGTTTGGGGTTCAGGTGTTGGCAGGGCAATGGAAGGTCTGAGCTGCCGGCATTCCGCGGGATTCCTGAGGCCCAACTCATACACAGAACACTTCAACCAAGATTCAAGTCCAACACGCCCAGCTTGTTTCCCAAACAACCGAAGAACACCAAAAGAGAGTACACCCTAAACCCTAAACCCTAAACCCTAAACCCTAAACCCTAAACCCTAATGAAAATACAAGCTACAAGCAAAAAACGGCAACTGGCCTGCAGCTGCAGAGGCCGCGGACGGAGTACACTCCTGCGAGTGGCCCACGTTAGGGTTTAGGGTTCAGGGTTTAGGGTTTCGGGTTTAGGGTTTAGGGTTTGGGGTTTAGGGTTTAGGGCCGTTTAGGGTTTAGGGCGGCACTACTCCACACGGTCAGCCTGATCGTTCGAGAGGTTGAGAGATGGCCCCTCGGGCCTCGGCACACGAAATAGGGACCAAAGCGGTCCCCCCAAGCAAAACGCAGCAAGAAACCCAGTCCAAGCCAGTGCTGGGCACCGTGGCACCTTCAGAAGGTACTCCAAGACAAAGTGCTCGAACCTGGGCTCTCTCGTTACGCGAAACTCCCAACCAATAAATAAGAAAATGCAGGTGAAGTCCCCCCAAAGTGGAGACTCCACGGGTTTTTCTTTTTTCGCCCTGTTGAGTCTTTTTCAGTCCGGGCCACCGCTGCGCCCTTGCTTGGCTCTTCTCCAGGAGCATTGTCTGAAGCCGGAAACAGGCACGGCCCGCCTCACACACGACAACAAGGGGGTCTTGATACGTCGAGACAATGTCTTTTCATCTCCAACGCGGACGCTCAGCTGGCGAAAGGTGCACCTCTTGTTCATCGGCAGGGCTGTTCTGGATCCTCGCGCGCTCTGCACATGGTGGTGTTTGGGTGCAGGTCTCACAGGAAGAGCTGGATCCCACAAAGGTGGGTCCCTCCTGCTGCAGACCTCCGTCTTCAGCCCTGAGGCCACGGACCGCAGGGCGGAGTCGACCTGGGAAGCGTTTGCATTTCGGATCACTGGCTATTACTGACGATGGCCTCCCTGATAGGCGCATTGAAAGTCTGAGACAGAATACAGAGAATATACGTTGGAAAAAAGAGGCAATGGCCAGAACAATGCTTTTGCACGTTGCGACAGTCTGGGCTGTGCGCGGCCCCAGTAAGTGCTGCTGCAATGTCCTGGCAGTGCAGCTAGCAAGCTTGCGATAGCACTTAAAGTGCAGCTGCTGCCCTTGGAACCTTCCTAAGCTTAGAGAAGCTCTCATCAAGGGACTAAAAGAGGGACCCCGATAAGGGACCTTAGGGGCTATTTAGGAGTTATTTAGGTACATAGGGGACTACACAAGGAATATCTAGGGGTTGTATACGGGTTATACGTCCAACAGTCCTACCGGCCTTAGCTCGCTGCGCAGGATCACTGGGAAAGTTGCCGGGTGCCATTCTCCCTGGCAGGGCTTCGGACTGTCCACAGTGGGCAATAGGACTCCTATGCCCCCATCTTCAAAAGAAAGAAAGCTCCCTTCGTCTATTCCTGGGCTCTGTACTTGAGAGAAGAGGCCTTCTGTGCCGGCCGCTGAGGGGCTCCGGGGCAGATGAAAAGCATCACTCGGAGCCGAGATGGGGAACAGTGGAGGACGGCGATGGAAAGCGATGTTGAAGGCTTCGTACGGCTTCTTCAAACATACTCTTGAAGAACTTTTCTTGTACCGAGAGTGCTTGGCCGCATCTCCCGAACATCAGCGCCACCTTCACTGCGCACGAATGAAGTTTTGCTGCGCTCCCCGCGCGCGACAGAACACTCGCTTCGAGTCGAATCCCTTTCGTACGTAGTGCTGCGGACGCATGCAGATTCCAGAACCCCGCAACAGCTCCAAAATTCTACTCGATGCGGAATGCCATGTGGGGCTTACAGATGCATGGGTTATCTGTCAATCACTATCTGTCTGCCACCTTCTGCTATGTGAAAATCTGAAACTGCACGCTGGCCGCGTACTCTCGCTTTGCACTACCACCAGAGCATTGTTGACATTTGCTGTCTGCAACTGACTCAGCACTGGGCCTGTGCTGCTGGCACAGTCCCGGGCGCTCTTAAGGGTGAGACTTGCAAGGCCTGGCGATCGGCCAAAAAACACGCGAAGAGTTTCGCCTTCTTCCTGCAGACCTGCTCAAGAGACTCAAGCCGGGAAGCATACGATCCAGCTGAAGTCCGACAGGCCTCGGCCCGTGCGACTGCTCTTTCAGTCCGCATCCTCTGCCTCCAGCTCCTCCTCAGACTCTTCCTGAGCTCCAGATGCACATCAATTAAAGGCAGCTCTGCTGTTGCATTTTTCCGCCTGCGCAGCGGCATCGTCGGCTTCAGCCGGCTCCTGCAGGCCAACAGCAGGGATGGATGTAATGCATACATACGGGCACAGACGACAATCCGGGATATTCCGGGCACAGCCGCAGTTGTGCGGCGATATGCCAGCACTTGAGCACCATTGGGCCGGGCCTGCGCCTGCACACGCGGCCGCTTTGGAGCGCCTGGCTCCTGATAAGATGTTTCTGCTTGAGAGCAGGCGAAGACAGGGCAAGAGCAGTGCTCGGATGCACCTCCCAGTCGGAGTCATCTTCTGAGTCGTAAGCGCCCCTGCACGTGACTTGGTTGCAAGCGCAAGACACATAATTTACCATCCGGATTGCCTGCCTCCGCCTCCCCTTCTTTTTGGCCGGCTTCCCCTTCGGCTCGCCACGTCCGCGGCCACGTCCGCGGCCCGCAGATGGCTTTGTCTCTTTCATCTTGGCAGCCTTTGTCCCCTTTGAGGCATCAGCCTTCGTCGCCTTCAGCCCTTTGCCTTTGCGGCCCCGCCGGCCCTCCAGCACATCGACCTTGGCCTCGTGCCGTGATTTGCTGTCGTCCCAGGGATCGGCATCTGTGATCGTCCGGATGTACGAGATGATCTCTTCCGGGCGCCCGAAGTTTTCCACTAACGGCCAGATCTTCTCCAGCCAATCGCCAGCAGGGAAACGATTGCGCGCAGGCACCTGCCCGTCTTCACTACGACCGAAGCCTCCGGTCGGAAATGCCTTGATCCGCTCCTGCCGCAGCTCCTTCGGGTTGAAGGTAGCACATTGCTCAGAAGAGAGGTTGTACTCTCTCTTGAGCACAGCTTTCAAGACCACGCAGCTGACAATGGAGAGCGCCTCCATGAAGACCTGAACCCCCCACGCGATGACAGGAGGCAGGGTTCACAAGACACGCAAGACCTGAGCTAGCACTAGAACAATTGCTCTGACTAAGGGGTATAAGGAGGGACCCCTACAAAAAACCCTTGATCTTATTCCCGATGTAACACAAAGGGGGCCTGCTCAGGTGTAAGTGCTTCTTTCTCCTTCACGGCTCCGTCGTTGGACGCGAGCAAGGCCCCAGCATGCAGGGCAAGGTGATGGTTGCATTCCTGAGTACAGCCCCCCACTCCGCAGCAGTGGAAGCTTCTACACTATGTTTTCTTGCCTAGGAAACCAGGCAGCTTTCCTTCAGTTCGCAAAAACTCATCGAAATTAAATGCAACAATGGTTCAAGCGATGCTATGAAGATGCCGACAGCAAAGGTTGCTAGACACGACGAAGTCTACTGAACGCCGAGCCCTGAAAGTTCCTGAACACCTCCGACCCAAGGCCAAAAAGCAAGCCCTACGCAGGCCTTGCAAACTTTGCTTTCTGCGACCAAGAAGCGAAAATCACGAGTAGGGGCTCATTCTCAAAGGAAAATGGCAGGGAGGTCACTGCCGAGGCCAGGAACCTGCAACTGTGATGATTTTGAAACCTACCACTGCTGTTGCTGCTACGAATAACTTCTTCACTGATTTTAGTACGTTATATACGTATACACGCAAGATGAGCACCATCACATATCATCGTATGTGTGCGCGTGCGCAGTTCCTGCCTTGCGAACTGGGATGCAGCAAGTGAGACCTATCAAAAAGCAGATGTAGAAGAACAACCTGAAGAAGTTTTCCCGCACATCGCCGACCATTTCTGCATGATTTGAGAAAAAGGATGCTGTCAGCTCTCTAAATGATTATGGTTTTGGTTTGGGTTGCAGTCCTAGCCCGGACTGCTAAATTCAGGGTGCCCAAACTGACTGCCCAGCAACTGGGTGGTCCATCAACTGTCGCCATGCTGGGAGCTTTTGCTGTGGGAGCCGTGGTAGCGGGCCCAAAAGCAAAAAGCTTCTTTATCTTCTGGGTAGTTAGGGTGGGTTTTAGGGTTTAGGGTTTAGGGTTTAGGGTTTAGGGTTTAGGGTTTAGGGCAGTCCGACATCTGCAATCATCGAACCTACAAGTACACCACACATCATGGAGATGTCCACTGCTATCACTTCCTCGTCCGAGTGGCTGGGCGTAGAGAAGTTGCTGCTGCTGCCGAAGCGGAATGCGGCCTGTACCGCCTCTCCTTCTCGCGCACAGATGTGTATGGCTAGCAAAGATCAGGGAAGACGCAGAGCTTGTCCAGACTGATTTCAAGTCCTCGTGCCGCTGGAGCCGCCTGCATCTTCCACGCCAACAACCTTTGGAAACTGATCACCGTATATATCTTGCGTGCAACCCAAACGCCCCCCCCCCCCCCCCCCCCAGATGCCATTGATACAAGAACACACACTCCCCGAAGGCCAACGGCAAGATATGAGAAATGTTTCTTCGTCCGCGGCGCTCCAAGGGCAGCCAGCTCTGCAAACCGCTCCTGCGGCCAAAAGAAGCAATTGCTTCGAAAGAAGATGAGTCTTCCAGGCAACCTAAACGGGGGCTCGGGCCGCTCGAAGTATCAGGAGACTCTGTTCTCTCTCTAGGAAGGAGCTCTGACAACATTCGGATCCGCCACAAAGAAGTGAAGAACGGACCTTAGGCTCGCATAGGAACGTTGCCGGGCTGCGCCTCTGAGCGGGTAGTTTGTAGCCGCTGCAGCTCGCGCAATGCTTTCCGAAGAAACGTGTCCCGCAAAGTTTTCCTGGGCAGAGCCGCTACAAGTAGCAGACTTCAAGCGGAGCGCACAACTAGGTCCTTTGCACTCCTGGAACCTGCAACCTCAAGTCCCAAGCCGGACCCATCCGCCAAATCGAGCGCGCGGCTGCTTCCGAAAGCGCTCCATGTAGACATCGCCCAGTCCAAGGAGCTGCTGAGGGACGAGGGCCTGTGGCCAAGAGCTGAAATGGAAGGAACCGCCAAGCATCACAAGGCTCCGCGGCAGAACTGGCAGGCTTCTTATGACCACACTCACTCACTTTGTGTTCAAGAGCACGACAAGCAAGAGCAAGCAATTTTTGTAAAGATGGATGGGAAGAGGCACAGACTAACATTAATCTACAGCACTTTGCTTCATGTCCTGCTAAGGCATAGCAACGACCAGCGTTGCTTTTTGAAGAGGTACAGGCACCCCTTGCTAAATGGGCAGTTACTCAGCTCTTCAAACGATGGGCTTCGTATTGAGCCACAACTTATAGAACTGTACGGATGAACGTACTGTTGGTTAGTAGGGAATGAGGGAATGAGGTGCCCTGTATCCCCCTATATACACCCTTTAAGCGACCATATGGGATAATCTGTTACTAACCGATAGTGAGTGACGAAGGCGCAGAGGCACACAGAAGTTCTGGGCCTCGCCAAGCCGGACCGGCGTGGTCGCCGCCGACAGGAGCGCCAAGAAGGCCTCTTGCCACCCCCAGAGAGTTTAGGGCTTAGGGTTTAGGGTTTAGGGTTTACAGTTTAGGGCTTAGGGTTTAGGGCTTAGGGGAGAGCATTCGATAAAGCATTCGATAAACTTGACACGTGCGCCACAGCTTTAGGAGCACGGCGAGAAGAAAAGAGCTCTGAGACGATTGAAGCTGCTCTTGCTGTGAGATCAAGCTTCAAAGCAAGACACGGCAACACCATGCAAAACCCTCCAGCACCCGAAAAGTTGCAACGCTGCCTCTCTGAAGGCCTCATCCAGGCGGTTGAGCAGCCTGAAACCGGCGTAAACTGGCGTGATGGCAGGCATGCGGAGGTTCTACGATGTTCAAGCTTCCCTAGAGGCCCCAAGATGACCCAAGATCGGCGCAGTGGTGCAAATGGATTACAGAAAAGTTTCAAGCAGCTGCGGCCACGAATCCGACTCACTGCCGTGTTCCTAACTGCTCTGCCACCCGCGGAGATGGGGGGCTTGCAAGTAATGTTCGGCCCTCTTTAGTGATCCTTGAGGGCTCAAGGCATGGGAGCTTATTGGCTTGAATTCAGCCTGGTGTTCAGCAGTTCGGGCTCCAAGGATTAGGCTATGGAGCAAGGCTAGGAAGTCGACATGGCTCTCAAGGGCGGCCTCAGGGCACTGGCTGCCCCAGAGTTCAGACAAGAAACAGGGAAGGCCGCAGCTCCAGCATCTCTTTCAGCATGGCCGTTGCCGGCTCTGACAGTCGAGGATCTCCAGCAAATGTCAAAGCAAAGACTTTGGGCAATACGGTCATTGGATTCACCAAGCCCTGCTGATGGAGGTGTCGGACCACAGACAGAGCCTCTACACGAACTCGAAGAACACCTTCAGCCTTCTCCGCAGCCTCCGGCTGCGACGGTTGCAGTGGTGCCTCCTCCTCCTCACAGGGCGCACTGCGGCCTCGCTTTGAGCGCGCCTTTTTCGGGGACCGTTCCAACGGTTCCCGGCCCACAGCGGGACCGACACTGCCCGCCAGCGTAATGTGTGAAAGCACCACGTCTGCAAAGGCGGCCAGGGGCTGAGCCGCTTCTATGGCCGAGTTGGTCTTCGTGGTGCCCGATTTACCGGTTTTTGGGACAATCTGCGACCCTTGTGACCCTTGTGACCCAGCAACACGACCATCTCGGCTGTCGGCAAAGTCGGTCGCGCCAGCCCTGGATTCCCGATCTGCCTCCGAACGGAAGTGGCTCAGGAGTGCTGAAAGCGTTTCCAGCGCTTTTCTGCAAAGGAGGAGGTCGCTGGAGCTCAAGGCGCTGTGCAGAAGCTCCACCACGCGCCGATCCTTCGTGAAGCCGCGGTGGCCCTTCAGGAAGAATCCAATGCAAGACGCGGCCACTGCGCGCAGCTGCGGCTCGCCTATAGCGTTCAACCTGCAGGGCGCGGGCGGGTACGAAGGAATTCAGACTTTCTGAGCTTAGTTGTCCAGTAGTAACCTGGGGGAACTAAAGCTTAACCTTTGGGATTATCTACTACTAGGCTACTGTTAATTGAAGACAGGCTGTTTATTCCAACCTGAGTAGGAGATCCAGCACAGTCGATGCCACAGAGTCGCCAACAAAGTCGAACTTCAAATCCGACCGCGGCAGCAAGCGACGCTTGGGCCTAGTGGCCGGGGAGCTCTTTTCAAGTGTGCTGAACAATATACGGACCAAGAATACGGGCTTTGGTGACGACCTACATAGGGGTTTCCGGACTTAGGGGTACCTCATTGGGGTCTTTATGATAAGGGAACTCTGTGTGTTGTCCTAAACCCCCAAATCGAAGCTGTCCGAGTCGCTGCTCCTCAGCGCTGAGACCCTCGATCTGAACCTGTCAATGTGCAAAAGCCCTTAAAACTTTGCAGGGCGGGGCCTTTGAAGGCTGTGGCTTGATTGCAACTTTTCCCCAGGGAGCTGGCATAGTCATCGATGTTTAGGCACTCCATGATGGATGCAAGCACCCAAGCTTGACGGCTCATGTACCTGCGGCATGGCTCTTGGGGGGCTACGCGGGGGGGGGGGAGCTCAGATGACGGGTTCTCAGAGAAGGCAACGAATGAGATCCCGTGAGGCTCACAACAGCTGGATCCGCTCGAGGCCAGCGTTCTTCTGCTCGGCCATGGCGCAGAGGCGTGCGAGCGATGGCCTAAGGAGCATGCCGAAGGCTGTCTACGGCCTGCGCGCTCTCTTGAAAAGACCCTACATGGTCGGCAGCTGCACATGCTGGGAGGCCCTACACCGCCACGTTGAGGTGGGAGACGATCTGAGCCAAGTCACCTGTGACCTCACCGAAGTCTCTCAACAGACGCCGGAACGTGCTCAAAAAAATGCACTCGGGAACCGGCAAACTTGACGACGAGGCAGAGACATCGCCTTGGCAGACTTCTTTCCGCGTCGCGCTTCTCAAGCCAACAAAAGATTCATGAGACGCCGTCCTACAAAATGAAGTCTTATGAGTCCGGCGAAATGGTTTGCATCCGGTACTCAGTTTAGGCGCGCGGCACGGCCTCATGAACTCCACTAGAGGGCTGGCTCCGAATCAAGGCCTGCAGAGAAGGATACGCGAAGAGAGGTTTCGGGGGCTTTTTCAATGATTCAAGCGGCGCCTGCAAGTCCACCTGAACCTGCCGATGATCCATGAGACCACGCCTTCGGGCAGAAGCGGAGCTTTCTGTTGAAAGTAAAAGGAATACAGCGCTACACGGGGTAACCAAGGCACCTTTCATAGCCTTTTACCGATCAGGCACTAGCCGGGAGCCGATCCGGAATCCTGCGAAAACAATCTCCCCGAAGTGGTCCCCCATGCCGCTTCTGAGGTTGCTTGTGGACACACCAGAGCCATGCCTCATATTCCTCTGAGACCCTCACTCTTCGCGACATGGCTACGAATCTTATGGCCCTCCCGAAACTGCACCAAAACCCTTAACCCTAAATCCTAAAAAAACCCTAAACCCCAAACTCCCCAAGCTTCTGGAGACATGAGAAGCAGGGTTCGGGCCTCTCTGCCACATACGGCAGAACCGAGGCGAGGATGCAACAGACCTCCCCCAATTTCTTTTGAGGCGGTTCAGGGTTTAGGGTTTAGGGCTTTGGGGTTTAGGGTTCAGGGTTCAGGGTTTAGGGTTTAGGGTTTCGGGTTTAGGGAGTAAAGAGCCAAAAGGGGTCTCAAAAAAAGCTGCAGGGCTCTGTCAGAGAGCTGACCCCGTTTATACATGTCCAGGAAAGGCCTTGATGGCCACCCACTGGTCCTCAGGCGGCGAGTCATCCTGCCCACACAAGATAGTCGAAGCCTACGGCTCGCCATCCACCCCATGAAATCACAGGGGCTGCCCCGAGTCTGCTTTGTGGCCCATGTCCTCCAGTGCGAGGTAGATTGTGAGTGGCCGCAAGTGAACTAGCCTCAGGTGGCGCTGCAGAAGACCCGGCAGGGTACGATTCCTTGCTTCTTCTGGTACCGCCAGGTCACAAGTCTTTGGGCTGCGTCGCCGAGAATGCCTCCAAGGTGGAGAGAAGGGATCGGCGCATCAGCCATAGCTCCTCAAACTTGATGTGACGAGCATGACGGTCAAAGTTTGAAAACTGCAGACCAGTTGAGAACAGGGACCTCGGCACTTTCGGCTGCTTGCGGCTCGCCCTTCACACCCTGCAAAGGGCCATGCAGCTCATCTCGCAGCTCCGCAGAACTCGCTACCACGTGCCTTGACTCTCTTGCCAGCTGGGGTCTCTGCACCGCCCTGCCCGCACCTTCACTGACATCAGTAAGTGTTCACACAACCAAGACATGAAAGGCTGAGCTGTTCCACAAAGGAAGGGCCAACCGGGCTCCGTACTTCGTTCGCACGAACTCATTGAGGATCAAGGTAGTCCATCGACGGATGGCGAACTCATATCCTTTGGAGTTCTTGCGGGAGCCTGGCAAGAACAAACTCGAGCTGTCGCCGCCCTGGAGTTCACATTTGCTTCGCCTCCTTTCCACCCACAAGGTTTCTAGGAAACCTTACAGGCGCCATCATTAAAATCATAAGGCCTGCCTTGCGATGTCCCAGGAACCCTCTAGCGCCCAAACCATCTCTATGGATGTGCCAAAGACCCCACGAGCCACGCACTTCGGCTTCCCAGAGATGTTGCTTGTCAGTCGTCGCTGGAAAACAAAAGTGAAGAAAATCTTCTCTTCATCCGGCGCATGGCCAACCATGTCAGATGTGTTTCATTTCATTTCGCACATAGCTGATCGAGGAGAAATCTCAGCAGTGATGCACAACATCACAGTCAAATACTCCAGGACGGAATCCTTACTCATCTCTGTCTTGAGCATGGGCATGTGTCAGATGATGTGTTTTCGCTCGTTTGCCTAATCCTGGCAGACCTTTGAGGGCTGTAGCATGTGGGGTAGAAGCAATAAGTCGTTGTTGAGCTTGTGGAACGTTTACGGTCTTGGAAGTTGAACATCGGAATTTGGCTGAGCAGTCCAGAATCCAGAATTTGGGGCGGCTTGGGGTTACCGCGTAGATTCGTGCTTGCGAGATAGCTTCGACGTGACGCCTCTACGCTTCGGGGTCTTGAATCACAGCAGTGGAGCAACTACAGCGAGTACAGAGCACCAACAGGTTGGAGGTGCCAATAGACTTCCGAAAGCGCCGAAGCAGCTCTTGTAAGACATCGCCCACAGCGGCCTTGGAAGTGAGACGAAAGTGCTCGTGCTCGGAGGAGCGACCGTGCAACTGTCATGGCATTTGCCCCCTGTCCCTCTGTGACCCTGGCTATCATGCTCCGGGATGCGTCCACCACACGGCAGAGTTGCCGAGCGGCCTCTTGAAGCATCCAGGGACGGTACGAAATCAACTGCGACAAGCCGCGAGCCTCCGGAGTAGGCTCGTCATCCATGAACCAGAGGAGCTCGAACGTGCCCAGGACAAGGTTTCGCCTCTTGCGATCTATGCCCCCCCAGGGAAGCATCTGGGAAGTGTTCGGCTGCGTTGAGATATGGTACCCAGCAAAGCAAAAGGCATTCTTCAAGCCAGCCGCAGACTTCTCATTACCCTAAACCGTGAAACCCTAAACACCCTCTGAGGAATTGTGTGGGGGTTCGCCCTGAAGGAGGCCCTCTTCTGAGTTCCTGACAATGCCTCCGAGTCTGTAGAGCGCCTCAAGAGGTCCAGCGTAACCGGCACCACGTCCGGATGATCTGGGTGGTTCAGGACCTGAAGAGAGAAGTAGTGTGCCATGCTATGTGCATATGAACTCTGCTAAGGAGGTACATTTTCTTGCTCTGAGATGCATCCCCTCAATATTGCTCTAAGACAACATCTCACACCCAGTGCCCATCCGGACTTTTGACATCTTGCAAAGCTCTCACTCGCATCTGGCCGAGTCACAAAGGCGCTGAGAATCTTGGTGGCCTGTCGCCGTACGATAACCGCCGTGTCGTTCACACGCCTAGGCAGAAGGGCCAGGGAATTAAGGGCACAGATGTGGCCCTGGAGTCGTGGTTCAGGCGTGATGTGGGCTGGGTATGTATGGTGCAGAATGGTGCAGAAGCGAAACCAGATGGAGCCAAGCAAAAACGTGGAGCCTTCCAAAAGCTTAGCAGCATCCGCCTCGAACTAGACTGCCCGGTCGGATCTCTAAGTAGTCTGCGCATGTCCGGAGCACATTCTGCAAGCAGCACGCCCTTTCTGAGGTCTCAAGTCCGAAGCAGTCCAACAAGTTCCATGTATCTGATCAGCACACATAACGGAAATCAACGGAACGCGTTGTTGATCTGGCCATCTTGCTTACTCTGGCCATCCTGCGTAGAAACACTAGTCTACTCTGCAGTGCTGATACTGTGGCAGGTATTCCACCAATTCCAGGGCATCAGTGCGCCCATGATGCTGCGAAGTTGCAGAGCAACTGAACTGCACATACAAGATGTGCAAATGAGAGCATTGCCAACTGCTGCGGCCATAGTTGCACAAGACTTACCAAGGGCATGCATGCATCAAGCATAGGAGCACGTGTCTGCAGAGAAGCAATTGGAACCTGTAACAACTTTACCTGCTGCTAGCAAGGCAACATGCGCAGTTGATGCCAAAATCTCTTATCACCAATTCAAATTCTGGCATGATGCCAGGCATGCAAGCTCTGTACAGGGGCATCCGCTCTGCGGAGCCCTGTTCAACGAGAGAGATCTTGCGATCTCGCGCACATGGTGAGTTGGCGAAGAAGGCCAAGCACCACGGAAGGTCTGCTGCGCTTCTCACAGTCCGTGAGAGAGTGCTTCCCCAAGCCGGCATGAGCGCCGGCAGACGGGACAGCTTTCACTGAGACTCAGCCAAGGATGCACACAAATTGCATGGAAGGTATGTCCACAAGGCAGCTCCTGCTGCCACGCAGAAGCGTTGAGCTCGTCCAAGCAGATGGCACACTGGCCGCCGCAGCGAGTCTTCGACTTGTCCGACCTGGTCTTGCACATCTTACGCAGCTCCTTCGGCGCGCTTCCGATCACTGAAGCCACAGCTTTCACTTTGTCCAGCTTGTCCCACGCAGCGTTCATGACATATCCAAGTGCAAACAGATGCTGCGGTACATACTCAGGACTTCCGACTTCCATCATCATGAAGCTCGAGCAGCATGTGGCTACAGACAGCACCGGTCAAAGAAGGAACCTGGCACCAGTGATAGGGACATGATGAAGCCATCAACATCTCTGGAGCATGAGGAAAACTCAAGCAAATTGCTAACTCCCGTCTCACCTCGAATTGCTGACATGCGTTTTCCTTGCGCACGCGCCGAGGGAAACTGCGGACCATTTGGGAGGCAGGCAGCCTCGAAGATTGAAACTGGAAGCGAAAGGATGTGTCATCACCTGCTTCGCTGCATTCTGGTAACATTCGGACTCTGTGCGACCATGCTCAATCATGCTTTTGCCACAAGTCGCTACACGTGTCGCGAGTACAAAGAATGCTCCGACACGAGATCAGGTCTCAGAGTCTTGTGCCTTTGTACAATCGGAATCCGAAGGTCTGTCGAACTCAGCCTTTCATCGGAACCCCGCACCCGCCGAAGAGAACATGTCATTCTTCCTCAGGTCTCACGGAGGTTCGACGAGACTGCGATGCGAACAGTTGTTGATGGCACCCTCAGCCACACTGCGACAAGCATCCGTGCAATGGACAAAGAACCACTGCAGGAGCACGCCACAGCATGAGATTTGTGCACACCCCAGCACCTGCTTGCCTGAGCACCTAAGCAGCCCAAACGAGTATATTCAACTGCCGAGCCAGGGTCCATTCGCCCTGCGCCCGTCCGTTTTCCAGCAACCAGCGCTCAGCGTCTGCATACCTTGGCCCAAAACGAGAGACACTTCAAGGGAATCCAAGGGCCGGGTTGACAGGGCTTTCGTGTGTTCTCGGGTTCTTGGCGAAGTCTCGCCGGATTTGTGCGAGGAGTTTTGCGGAGCCTTTGGGCATCATTCAGCTGGGAGACTGTCCCGGCGCCAGGTTCGCGGCTCGATTCCAGTACCTTGGTCTATAGACTGACTGCACTGAAGAGCTGTTCGGGCTTTTCCAAGCAGTCAAATCTCAGAGGTCAGTTCATTTCAGTTGCACATCCTTTCGCAGAGTCCTGCATGCGAACCCCCACTGATAAACGCCAGATGGCTCCGCGGCCTTCTCGTACAGGGCATCCGCGCGCTCGTAGCGCAAGTCCCTTTCCGCCTTCACTCCCTGGGCCTCAAAGAACTCTGGCAGAGTCAAGAAAAAGGACAAAGTTGCAAGTTGCCATGATAAGAGGGTTTAGGGTTTAGGGTTTGGGGTTTGGGGTTTAGGGTTTAGGGTTTAGGGTTTAGGGTTTAGGGTTTAGGGTTTAGGGTTTAGGGTTTAGGGTTTAGGGTTTAGGGTTTAGGGTTTAGGGTTTAGGGTGCCGATACCCTTGGCCCTAAGAAGCACTGACATGTCCCAAGGACTGATCACCAAGTGCTCTCTGAGCTTCGTGGTACATGACGCCCAGGTTATTCCAGGCAGAGTAAAGCTGGTAGTTCTGGTCCTCAGCATCAGATTCCTCCTCCTAGGAACGCTGGTTTCTTCTTCTGGATCTGCAACTGCGGCGGCAGCCTGCTTCTAAGGCCTTCTCCACTGCCATTAAGTAGTACTTGGCTGCTTTCGAGAACTCGCCATTATCCGCGAAAACGATGCCCAAGTTGTAGAGGATGTAGCCGCCTCAGAAACGCCAATGAACTGGCAAACGGGCCCCTCAGCCCACGCGGACTTCAGCTCAAGTGGCGCTCGAAAGGATCATTTTCCATCTTCAGTGCGCGGGCATACCTCAGCAACATGGAAGCGCTTCCAGGTGACATGCTGCCATCCCCACGAAGTCACTAGCAAGTTTTTTGCAGGGACAAGCCATACCAACCTCAACATATTGCATCTCTTGATTAAGATGGCTGTTCTGTGTGCATCAACACTACCTCACGCCAGCCCACGATCCAGTCACATATTGTCAGGCCAGGCAAGGAGTAACTATGTCCAAGTTCGGTCCACAGAGTAGGAGACAAGCGATTGTGTCCCGGGCATGGGAGCTCATCATATCAAGGCTAGACATGCCACGCCTGGCCGCACGAAAGCGCCCACTGTAATTGCAGTGTGTTTAGGATCCCGCAACTCTAGACACGGGCGTTAACAGCTCATTGCTTCAAACCTCGACCACAAGCCCGAAGCCCAGGCCGCAACCCAAAAAGCAAAGCCAAGGGCACCAGCGCACGGCTTCCTTCAGATCTCCGTCGCTCTGCGCAGAGAGGCCCATTCGATAGGCCTGGCGGAGCAAGAAGCCTGGTGTGTGTGTGTGTAGACTGTGCCTTATGGGAGTCTATGGGAGTCTGGAGGTTTCAGACCTAAAGCCTACATGGTTTAGGATTAGGTAACGCAACAGCTGAACTGCGAAACCTAGCTCCTACAATTTTCACTGCAGTGGCCTCGTGAGCCTCCTTTTCGTCTGCAGGCCTCAGCGCAAGCCGGAAAAGTTGCGAAGTTCCGAGAAACTGAAGGTCATCGCTGTCATTCATTCTGAAGCGCATCTTCCCTGGAGGTGGTGCAGCTCACCCGGCTGGGAAATGGGAATGGAGAGCTGCCCTTGTGCAGATTGATTAACTCCAAAACCAGCGGCAAAGGCATGGAGTCAATCAGATTTTGCGCCACCTCCTGGAGACAAAGGCGGAGAAACATAAATGGACGTTGGCGTCGATTTCATGGCAGGACGTACTCAACTCTTGGCATGTCTGACTTGACTTCTTGGCACCTTGAATGTGCCATCGAGGACGCCGTCATCCTCTCTAGCTTGCCGTGGGGCGCGCCAGCTCCTACGTAACAAAGGGCAAGCTGGAAACCGCGGTTGCCCGCAATTTCCGAGGACCCCTGCCTGCCAGTCTCAGATGGACAACACTCAAAGGCGTCAACAAAGTGACTCTCTGGTTCGGCGCATCTTGCCGATGTCCAAACCAAGCTATCAAGCACTACTTGAGATCGGGGCCACGAAAGCTAGAAACGCGGCTGACAAGCAAGCTTTTTTCCAGTCAGGCAGGAGGTAGGGGGGGGCCTGAAAAGGGGGGGGGGGGGGGAGCCAAAAAGGGGGGGGGGGGCCCCCCCCCACCACAGCCCTTTATCCCTTTGATTTTGATACCACTGAAGGGTCGGGGTCGCTTCTTGACCCAGCTGAACACTAGAGAGAATTCTTGTAAACGACAACTCTCGCGAGCTCCAAGGAGCTAGCTTTCGTGATCAAGCTCCCACCTCAATGAAGGGCCATATTCGGGTTGGTAGCCCTTTGCATCAAGTTGCCATGCTTGAGGCTCAAGCTTGATTCTCGATTTGCTGTGGTCCTCTTCGAGGGCGTGCTGGCCAGCACAAAGGCCCAGCGAAGCCTCTCCCAACAGGCAGCAACTGCTCAGAACCTAGCGAACTGCAGACATGGTGGAGTTTGCTCCCCTGCAAGTTATCTACGCACACCAAGAACCCCTCAAAAAGGCAAGGAGGCAGCTAAGCTGAAGAGAACCGCAGCCTCAGCAAAGAGCAGAAGAGCGCTGCCAGCAGCAAAGCCGCACATCGAAACCGCGATGCCATGAAGGCCAGTGACCACACAGGGACTTGGAGAAGTTGCGCTGATGCTGGGGGGGTACCCTAGACTACAGTTGGCTTCTGTGGACAAAACCACAGGTAGTCTTGTACGAGTGAGGCATGACTTGCACAAGGGTCAAGCTTGAACATGCTTGAACAGATACTGCAACAGACAAGCGTACATGCTGATCTGCCGGCAGATCAGGCTGCTTTGCGCCAGCGCACAGCCCCCGAAACCATCCTGTCTACCGCACCCTCATGCAGCCCTGATCCAAGGCAGCTGCCCTCGGACGGTCTTGTGAAACCGAAGCCTTGCCAACTCAGGAAAGCCAAAGGCCGCAGGCAGTTCTGTCCAGAATAGGGCAAGGCAGGCTTCCATGATGTTGCAAGCTGCCAGCTTATTGCTCGAAAGAAGCTCCGAAATTCCAAAGGAAGATGCCGCCGAAAGGCAGCATATCCCGCGCGCTTGCATCTGAACCTGGCAGGCATCAGCAAAGGTGAGACCTGATTGGAAGAAAAGCAAATCCAATCTCCCAATCGCTGGAGAACGCTTCAGTCACAACTGGTGGCAGCACTAGCCCACACTTCCTCACAACTCGGAGTTCAAAGGACGTGTCAGTTCTTGCGAGATGCAAAAAATTCCAGCCTCCATGACTGCCCTCTGCGCTAGTCCGCTTGGCCCCTGCCTGCAGCAGTGCTTTTGCGGCTTTCACGTGGGCAGACCCAGCTGCACCGAAATGAAGTCTTGCCATGTTAAGACAGCACTCGGCATCTCCTCAACAAAAAACCAAAGCCAAAGTGGCTAGAAGCATTGCGTGAGCCGTGAGCCATACCCCCACAACTGAAACAGCAACATCTGACGGCGTGGAGATCGGCAGCGCGCCTCGCCGCTGCCCTGCAGGGGGGTAACTCACAGAGACACCCCATCCAGGCTCCCCTCCGTGGCTTGAGCTCGAAAACCACCCTTACTAAACCCCAAACCCCCAAACCCCAAACCCTAAACCCTAAACCCTATACCCACCAATCCAACTGCCTCCGCCAGGCTGCCTTCTAGAATGCGTCCAAGCAGATCCAAGGACACCTGGGCGCTGGCTCTACCTGAACAGTTGCTTCTTACGACGAAAGCGGACCCCACCTGCCGTACCCAGGACGACTCGTCACGCAGACGCATGTCCACGGTTTCCTCCACTGCCCTGACATGAGCCCGTGACTCAGTGGAACTCACAGGTCATTCTGCTTTGTCAGACGTGCCATGGCTTTGACCTCCTCCAGTCCATCCACAGGTCTCGCTGCCAACACATAATTTTGAGGAAGGCAGGGGGAACCAAAACCTCCAGCAAAAGCCCTGCGCACTTGTGAGGGCAGAGCGAGGCCGGAGAAAGAAGCAGCGAACACGTGAAGGAGGCGTGAACACCAAGAAGAGCATCAAAAGCCAACAAAGCAACACGAAACCACAGGAACAGAGCATTTAGCTCACCGCAGAAAGTCTCACTACTTTACGCGGCAAATCAGTGGGAGAAGTGCTCAGGCGCTCATCGTCTTGGTGTTGCTGGACGGGAGCTGCACTCATCGATGGCTAGCTCCGCGACGCCGCTCAATCGGGCTGGAGCCCGCAGTAGCACGGCGGCGATCTTGCCGCAGAGATTTCACACCAGGGTCACTTTTGGAGAGTCTAGCCATGCTGTTGCTTTCTTCCGACCTCGCTGAGCTGCGAAAATCTGCAGTCGCTGCATGTCGCTGCATGTCGCTGCTGTCCTTCCTGTGCCTTGCTTTGGGATGTTTACAACGTTTGCATTGTAGCTGTTTACAGCTTCTTGACATCTTTACAACGCCGCTGCAAGGAGCGAAGTGCCCTGTGTGGCTTCACGGCTTCCCCTCTGTCCACTGTTGGACGCCCCCCTCCCCCCCCCTTCTCAGACCTTTTTGAAAGGTATAAAGTATAAAACCTTCCAAACCGAAAAGCAAAATCTCTCAACTCCAGGTCTTGGAGTGTCAAGAACGCGGCATGCCTCAAGCTCAGCACGGAGATGTCCATGTCCACCAAGTCGCTCAACGCCTTAAACGAAGTACATCTGATGTTATGCTGCCATACTGAAAAGATCGCGGCAGCCACAGCTAAGCTGCAAGACTCGTCAAAACTCGTCTTGGATGTGCCTGAGCCCCTTGCCCTCATGGCTGTCTTTCGAAGCGACGCCTTGGCTCTGAAGGCGAAGAACGCTGGCGTCTACTCTGCCTTTTCGTGGGCGATTAGAGCTCTTGCGGCTCAAGGCTCCACCCAAGTTCTCGCAGCTTCGGGGCTCAGCCCGTGTGTTCCCGACCCCCGCTGCCCGCGCTAGGCAAGAGTTTTTTCAGGCCCAGGGACCATCGGCGAATTGGCCTGCATGACGATGCAATCCAGCGCCTCGGCTCGGGACATGCTTGGCCTGTGAGACATAGGGGACGCCAGCGGCTGCACTGCCACAACGAACTGCTCAGCCGAGCACGGCTTTACGCAGTCCATCTAGTTCCTGACTGCGAAGCTGACGGTAGACCTGGCTTTCTCTGGTGCAGCTTGACTTTGTGAAGACGAGCAACAGCGGACAAGTGCTGCGAGAAAACAAAGTTGTTCTACCGGCAAAGGTTATATAGTCTGGAATGCCTCTCGCTTGTCTTCTGTGAGCCGCCCCGTGCTTGATTATGTCGAGTGAAGTCCACTACATGCTACACGACCCTGCACGAAATACAGGTGTTGGAAGTTTCGGCCTTGTAAACGGTGTACGGCAGCAGCACGCGCCGACCACCCATGCCTGCACTTCAGGCAGAAAAACGGCCTTGCGCAGCCCTGCTTCTCAAGCAACATCAGCACCTATCGGACCTATCAACATCCCCACCATCACATCTTAAGGGCTGTACGCCAGGAAGCTGTTTCGCACACCTCAGCCGCGTTCACAGAAATCCGTGTTCCATGTGGTCCTCATCCCGTTTTTTTGGACGCGAAGCCCCTAGCAGAGCCTGCCCTCCACAGATCTCTACAGTCTCGCAGATGGTCTCCAAAATTCTCCAAAAGTTCCATGGGGCCCTGGCCAACGTTGGCGAGCACCTCGACATGGCAAAGACACTTATCAAGTTTCGGTTCATACTTGCGATACTAAAATCCATTTCATACACTCGCATACCATTGTCACAACCCGTGGAAGAATAAGAAATGCTAACAACCACCATAAGCTTGAGAATACACATAACATGTCACTAAACAAGATGCGGAGCGACATCCTGGACTTGGTGCAAAAAAAAAGCGTCGACACCTCAAATTCGGGGGACCCGCTTCCACCCAACTCAGGACAGCACCATGCGGATGCCAGGAAACGTTGGAGTGGGGTCACGGCACCTAACGGAGCAGCGTTGCCAGAATTGAGTCTCCCGACTAGCGCCCTGAGAGTTCCCTGTCTTGGGCCTCGTCGGCGCGGCGCCTCCGAGGGCGCAGCGGCCTCCGAACTCCAAATCTGCTGGGAGGCCACAGCAATGACGCTCCAGCCAGAAAAGCGGCAAGAGTGCCACTGCCCTCTAAAAGCCCGAAGGGGTCCCTCCTATTCCCTACAGCAGCTCATGATAAAAGCCTCTGCACAGTCACAGACCAGGAAGCTCCACGCGTGAGCCGGATGGCCAGCCTGGCTGGAGAGAAAATTGGGGGTACCCCTTATATACCCCAGAATACTCTATATAATCCTTGTAAGGAATCCCAAAAAGGGTACCCCTATTTTCGGAAACCCCCATATGTCTGTGAGGAGATGGGCTTGAAGCCAGCATCTACACCCACGAGCCCAAGCTTCAGAGTCGAATCGTGTAAAAGTACAGTACTGAGTCCTCCCAAAGTCAAAACTGGGATCCCGAACCCCGAAGACAGCGGCTGACAAGGGTGCTGCTGGCGCTGCAGCACCTCAGCACCACGATCAACATCACATTGCCCGTTTGTTCCACGAGTATTGCCATTCTATTGCTGGCTGGCAATGCAAGCGGACACAAGACAGCACACACCTGCAGGTCACTCTTTCCACGGTCTCGGGCCGTCCAGTGAATTTAGACTCTGCTGTGAGGAGCCAACCGGAGTGGATCGCCGCGAAGCGCTTGGATTGGTCATGATTGGCAATATCTTCGACCATCAGGGCCGCTGCCCCCGTAACACGGATCACCCCAGGCTACGAAGCTGCCATCACTCCGAAGCGCCACAAATGCAGATGCAGAGGCATGGATCTTGATCACGTTCTGCAGCTGTGATTGCACAGAAAAGCTGTCGCCTCCACAGTCTGGGTGACCCCAGGTGATGACAGTGCCATCCTGACGGAGGGCTGCGAACGCGCCAAGTGTGCTCGTGATCTCCCGGACATGCACAAGCTCCGCATGCACTTCCTCACTGTTGCCACCATACAGCTGGTTTCCCCAAGTCACGACAGTGCCGTCGATCCTCAAGGCGGCAAAAGCACCAGCGGCTGCCACCACCCCCTGCACCTCCTCTAAATGAACTCCACGGCTGTCCCCTCCGTACTCTGCATCTCCCCACGTGACGACTCGGCCATCTGCCAGCAGAGCAGCAAATGCGGTGTGGGTCGCAACAACTTCTCGCACGCCACGCAAACGCTCCTGAACCCCTCTGCTGTCTCCTCCAGACTCCGCATCGCCCCAGGTCACAATGGCACCATCACGTCGCACCGCAGCGAAGGCGAGGTCAGAAGCGTATATGGAGGCTACATCCCTCAATTCTGGCACAAGTCCCGAACTGTTGCCGCCACAATCTGCGAGGCCCAAAGTCACAACTCGCCCATCCGCGCGAAGCGCCGCAAACGCGGCATGGGTACAAGCCACCGCTTGCACTTCCACCAACTCTTCCTGCGCATGCCCACAGACGCCCCCCGACGCGGGGCAGCCCCAGGTGAGCAACGATCCATCTGTCTGGATTACAGCAAATGCACGCTCGTTGGACACAACTTGTTGTACCTGCTTTACCTGTTCTTGAACACTGCTGTGGTCTCCACCCAGGTGCGGATTGCCCCATGTTACAAGATGCCCGTTCTGCCGAAGAGCACAAAACGCAGACTGGGTAGACCAAACTTTCTGAACCTGCACCAGCTGGTCACGCACCATTGAAGAGTCGCCGCCACAGTCTGGATGACCCCATGTGACAACCTGACCATCAGCCTGGACTGCCGCAAATGCTCCGACTGTGGAACAGATGTCACACACGTTAGGCAACGCCACCTGACTCCACACCCCATTGCTGTCTCCACCACATGCCACCCCACCCCAAGTTAGCACATGCCCATTCGGCTTTGCAACAGCAAAGGCTGCCATGTTTCCTATTCCATCAGGAGGCCAATCCGCAAATCTGAGCGATGAAACCATGGAAAGAGGTCGTGTGGCCACGACAACTGCATGTTGCCTGATAGCAGTCACCGTGCACCCATTCTTCAGCCCTTCCTCATCAAGTGTGCTGAGCCCACAAAGGATTTTGCCGCTGCCTGACCTATCCAACACCTTCGGCACCACCGCACCAAGCGGTGCATGCACCTCTCTGTCACCTCGGCTGAACTGTGCTTCGGGAGGTGGCCCGTGTCTTTTGCTCTGAACTTCATTGAACTACCCCCAATAATTCTTAGCAGGGCAAGCTGAAGTCATGGCAACTGCAACTGCTTTGATTAACAGAAGAAGTGCAAACAAGCAAATGCAGCAGCAGACGTGCACTTTGTTTCTCAAGCCAGGCTGCTCCGAGGAATCTCACGCTGTGGAACCAAGCCCCTGATGTGCACTTGCAGCGCCGCTTGGGCGCGGAGCCTCAAGGTATTGACCAGCTCATCCGGAGCAGCAACGATCGTGACTGCATGGCCGCTCAGCAGAACAACATGGATGCGTAGTGACATCCCTCAGTGGCTGCTGAGCCAAGAAGTGACACTTGCACACATCGCAGCTCCAGGCTCTTTGCGAGTTCTCTGATAGCATACCTCCTGGAGAGGAAATGGAGGGAAATGGAGAAGGGCCTGCACTCGACAATCGGCAACTTCGATTCTCTTTTGGGGGCGGCACTCGACTCCGTCCCCATGGGCGGAAGCAACAAAGGCACCTCTGCAGCACCAGCGGAAACGGCACAAAGCGCGGCAGACTTGCGGGGTTTCTTCCCCGGGCTCGGGAAACTGAACACGTGCGCGAGTTCAGAAACTGGTTAGAAGCGTGATTCGGGAAACTGGAAAAACGTGGATGTCGGGAAACCAAAAGCTCGGATTTGGGAACTGTGGATTCGGGAAACTGGAAACGGCGGATTCGAGCGTTATCATCCCCCTCCCCACCCCAGCCCCCCTTACTGAATCGCGCGCGGTTTTGAACTGTGTGTTTTTTTGAGTCGCGTGATTTCTCCTTTCCTGAATCGCGTAGCTTCCTGAATCGCCCAGTTCCCAGAATCCTGGTTTCCTGAATCGCGGCTGGGCTTGGATCAAAAGTGCTCGCAGAGGCACCGTGCACTCGTCGGAAAGGAATGCCATGGTCAGATGGAGGAAGACGATATCGTCGCTGAGGCTTCTGAGGCCTTTCAGAACCACAGGCAGGGGCTCCGAAGCAAGAAGTGAAGACCTGAAGACGGTTAGGTGCACCTTCAGCCTGCTCGTCATCAGCACCTTTGGAGAGGAACAGCTCGGCATCCCAAGCCTAGCACAACTGCTGGGCCCGAGAGGTTCTGAATGTGCCATAGAGTGGTGCTTGATGTCGGCGCCTCCACGACCCGTGCGGCTTCACTCCAAGGCCTAGATTCTATGGTCTCACAACACTCTGCCACGTTTACACGAAGCGAGAAACGGCCCCAACCGATAAAAGAAAATGATTGGCGGTTCTTGGATCTTGGCATGTCGCGGCCATCTTCCAGCGAGACCCGCAGCGCGATGTGCTGGAGCAGCCGCCCTTCCTCCGCAGCAGCAGCGCCCAAAGCAACGAAGCGGATCAAGAGAACATGGAAAATGTTCATGGCCCCTTCCCAGCCTTGGAGTGTTTGGCCACCTCCTCGGGCGGTTCGGTCCATGGGGGCAGCTCCACCTTGGCCTGGGAGCTCTGAGTGGCGTGATGCCTCGGCACAGCCATGAAGTGCAAGGGGCCGCTTTGGGGGCGGGGCAGACCAAGCCCTGAGGCAGACGCCAGAGCCGGATCTCAGCCCGGCTCCTGGCATGGACTTCGCACAAATCTCCCAAAAACCCCTACAAATGCTTTGGGCACTTGCTCGGCAGGCACGTCGCACGTCCTTTTTTAAAAGTGTGCGCCAAGCTGTCTGTTGGTGCTAATTTCGCGGACCAGGGGCCTCCCAGAGCGCGTGCACAGGTCATGTATTGTGCGCTCTTGCTCACACACTCAAGCGAGACACTCGTAACGTTATCTTGCCACCAAAGCAATGAAAGACTGAGGGCTCATCCGTGTTGTCGGTAGCCATCTGCTCCACGTGGGGTAAGAACTTGCCATTCATGGTGATCACAACTCGCTTCTCACCCTTCTTCCCAGTCTGAGTACAATCGAGATCGAGAGCGCAGTCACGAAAGCTAGATCTCGCCCTTCTTAGGCCGGCCAAGAGACTGTCGTGCCAACATCCAAGTAGAAGTCAATGGCGCTCATAATGCCATCGCCGCACTGCTCGTTAATCAACGCCTCCGGTCATGTCCACGGCAGTCCACAGAAAAACTGCTCAGCCTCACGTCAAGGGCCTTAATCGCCTCCCCATAGTGTGTGACCCTCAGGTGGCGCGGCAATGCTTCCCAGATTCCCACGGTAGTCTTTCCATTCTCCGCGTCTCTGAGCTCAGGGCGCCTCGTAGGTGCGATAAACATTGGGCTCCTCGGAAACCAAGAACTTTGCGGCGTTTTGCAGCGGGTTCGGCGCGTTTTCGAGGAGCACCAGGGCGGGCTCAAAAGGTGGCAAAAACATCTCAAGAAATCTCAGAGACACTCAAATGAGAGGCTCAACGCCCCAAACCTGTAGGATTGCCGGATCAAAGCTCCGCATCGGCGGCCTCACGGAGTGTTGGGTGCAAGGGTTCGTTGTCGAGCTCCCCCGAGAAGGCCCAAAGAGGATCAATTCACGGCCTCTGCATGGCAGCGAGATCTTCCTCGGAGATCTTTGGCACCAGCTCCTCTCCGGTTGTGGGCTGCTAGCTGCTGTCAGCACGACCGAAGGCGCGCTGTTGAGAAAGACATGGTCAAGAGCACAACACAACGAAAACCCACAGCCTGTGTACTTGCAGCCTTAAGTCACTCAGTCCAATCATGCACGCATGCAGGAGCACAGGCACATGGCTGGATGGGCATAGTCCGAGTGAAGTCGCACATGAGGCACAGGCAGCGCACTACTCCAATCTACAAGCAAGACTTTGTTTACACGTATATGCACCGAGCTCCTTGAGCTTCTTGACTGAGTGGGCCTTCAGCTGCGCCTGATTGAAGAAGAGGTTGGCCTGTGAAATAAGAATTCCACCAGGCTTCGCGGGAACGTTTACGCGAGTCAACAGAGCCACTACTGCCCACTCCCCTACTGCGCTTAAGGCTCGCCCTCCAACCTCGCAAAACGTCAGAAAAGCACTTCAAGCCGGGACGAGCTGCTGTGTAAGCATTCGTCAGTCCAAGACCCGCAGCGATCCTCAGAAAAGTGTGCTCTTTCTGCGGCCTTCTTCTCCTTTTCTTTCACAAGGCTCAAGTGTCAAGGCAAGGCGCTCATCAAAGCTCTTTCCGCTGCCCTCCTTTGCAGCCAGCAGCCTTTGCACAAGGGCCGCCTTCTGGTCCGGATCCGTGCGCAACCGCTTCGCTGGTGGAAGCTCCATGGCAACGGAAGGTGTCCCAGACCCAGATCAGATCCCTCGAAGCCGACCAGTGTGTGGTCACAGGGTGAACGTCAGAGGTTGGGATGTTCTCCTTTATACGAACAGTCCTTAAAAGGGAAGACGATACCCCCTGGCTTATCCCAACTATATAAGGACGGACTGTTAGTATAAGGATCCCAAGTCAGAGGGCATTTTGTGGGCAAAGACATGTAAAGACACAAAGGCTCAAACACATTGCCGGCAGCGCAGAAGCTTCAAGATGAACTCACGCACGGTGATGTCACCTGCCTTTGGGCTGCAAACGATATCGAAACGCCTCTGTGCACCCCCTCCCCCCCCCCCCCAAAAAAAAAAGTCCCCAGACCTAAAGTGACTTCGGCACCTGCTTCTTTTCCTGGAGGAGCGCGATCAGCTGCTGCATCATCTGGCGGAGCCTTGCACATGTCTCGCAGGAAAGACTGCCTCGAGCCAACGAAGTGCGAGTGTCCTACTCATCTGCCTTTCCTGGCTCTTCACTGCGCTGCAGCAATATGCCCTCAAGCGACTCATGAGATTCTGTGACCTACGTGTGCAGGGAACAAGGAAGCTCTCCTGAAGGACGTACTTGCTGCCTTCTCTGGCGAACGAAACTAGATGAGCAGTTTCGCGCTACTGGAGCTAGGCGCCGTGCAATGCCAATGCCTTGGCAGCTCTCAGCCACAAGTGGACTTGGGGTCAGGCAGCAATCGCGGGCTCTCCGCCAAAACCCAATGGGCTCACTTGCAAGTGCTATCTGTTGTAGACTCTTCTTTCGCATAAAGTCTTCCCATCTTGGGCACAGGCTCCAGGCCACATCGGCTTGAAGGCGGCTGAGAAAACTTCATCAGTGAAATCCTGCACCGGACAGCTCAATGCGTTTCGGCCATCACAGGGCGTTTCGGCCATCACGGGGGTGCCCATTTCGCCAGAATGCAAACTCTCAGTTGAGAGCGGCAAGGCCGTCGTAATAAGGCGTAGCAACAAATTGGAAACGTGGATACCTCAATCGGCCACTTACAGTGGCCGGGTTTCACAAAGTTGTGGTTTCTGTCTGTGGTCTTAAAGATTTGACATTGCAGTTTTGAAGGCATTGAATCACCGGCTCAAATCAATCTACATTGGTGTCGATTCACAATCGTAGGCTGTTGGCACAGATCTTCTCAGATGGCTCAAAAAAACCTATTGGGAGCCGAAACCAAGACACACAAGGATGAAGAGGGTTGAGAATGGAGGACAAGTTTAAGGAGCGTTTCACCGGCAGATTGCCGGTCCTTACTCAATCGAGCGTCTTACTCAATCAAGCGCTGACGTCGGTGAACGTAACTTTCCGTCACTCGTTCGCACCCTTGCAGCTACTGATGGGAAGTCATGGCAAGCTATATAAAACCGCTGCGAAAGGCTCAGCTGCTACAGTCAGGACGACAGCAAAGTCGAAACAAGTTCATCAGGTTTGCTTGGCCAGCGTCCGTACGTAGATACTGCAACCATCTGTTTAAACAATGCCAAAACGTCCACCTTTTCTGGCCACGCAATAGTCGACGACGGACAACGCAGCAATGATAGCGGGACTAGCCAGGAAATCTTACTGTTTTGCTCAACGAATGAAATGTGGTACATGTGAGAGCTCATAGCGCGAACTGCGGACCTAGATGGCAGACCCTCTGCAGCATCCTCGAGGCAACCCTCCGCAGCAAAGCATCAAGCTTCGGAGGGTGCTTGCAAGAACGGATCAAGCAATGCATCGCTTGGGATGCCGAGGTCAGCTGGCACTTGCCGTGTCCTCCATGATTCCACGAGCTTCCTCATCCTTGCCTTGGCAGCCAGCTGCGACGCAGCAGACGCTGTCCGATTGGGAACTGGTCCGCCACTACGGGCTTCCAGAATGCGATGTGATCTGCGCAGTTTGAGCTCCCGACTTCGAGATAAGACTAATCTATGCAGCAGCCCAGCCACAAGCTGGGATATGACCTCGCAGGAAAAAATAGAAAGCAAGCAGACTGTCACCAACTGCTCAAGACGTTTGAAGTCTCCCCGGAATACATAGGAAATTAAAGGAAACTTGGACCCAGATGTGCGCTGACCCAAAACCCCCATCGGCTCATCAAACTCGCTCGCATGCTCCCCGAGTATGGCTCCCAGTGTGTCAATTGTTCAGAAGCCGGACCCCAAAAATAGGCATAAGGTAGGCAGTAAGAATTCTCCTTTTAAGGGAAACTTTTTCAACGGTCCATCCCTTCAAAAGACCCCTAAGAACAACCTCCACGTGTTCATGCATGTTTGGAGCACTTTCTTCGGGCTCCGAAATGAAGGCCCAAGTGAGCGTCATCTAACCTTCGTTTCAAAACTGCATGCTTTCGACAACAACCCAGTCGAAAGGGCAATTGACCACCAAACATCAGTCAGCAGCATTAGCAGGTCTGGTTTGGCGTATCTGGTGTCGAAAGACTTCCAAAAAGGGCACGCGCTGGCCGCTAAGGAGCAGTGTTTCCAAGGCCCTTGCCGCTTGAGCAGCTGGGCGAGCTTCAACCACAGACTCGAAGTCCACATCGCTGCCTGATCCAAGAAGCAAGTGGGACCAGAATGAGCAACAAAGGACGCTACACACTGAAACGCAGAAGAATTTGTGGAACGCAACAGGGATTACCCGACTACGCACCCTGCACTGTGATCACCGTAGTGCCTCCCCCAGATACTAGTGAACGTGCTATAATGTGCCATATAAACACTGGATGCACTAACTTAAGGACAGGCTTACATGGCAGCAAAGCCTGCCAAGGACACAGGCGCATGTCGCTCCCGTCCCTACTTTGTCGATTGCCGATGGTGTGGGGTGGGGCGCACCGATCGGCTCGCGCAGCGGCAGGCAGGTGGACTGGCAGAGCCTGAGGAGCCTGGGCAGCCCACTGAAAGCAGAAAGCTGTCGCAAGCCGCTCAAGGCTACTAGGATGTGCATGGGTGCAGCTGAGTGACAGATGAGTCCAGGTGCTCAAACCGTAGGCTCCGCTTTCCTTTCCAAGCAGCGATAAGAACATTGCAAAGACTAGGCTGACCCATCCGATGCCATCCGTCCTCCGTCGCGGGCATCTGGAACTTTTTGGCCCGCTTTCCGGTTGGCAGCCTTACTTAGCTCTTCCGCTCTCAACTCGACCTCACAGCTCGGAGCCCTTGCAGCCCTTGCAGCCCTTGCATCTTCCGAGGCCTGCCTGGGTGCTCTGGAGAGGAACTCCTGCACCACGGAGCTGCGCAGGGCTTCATGGCGCGAGAAGATCGTCACCAGAACCTTCAAGAAGGCACAGCCCAGTCTGCAGAAGAAGAGGGAGGGGGTGCGACAGATGTGATTGAGGCTCGGCCTCCTCAGCAGCTGCACAAAGACGAAAGTTGGGCTCGCCGAAGAAGAAAATTGAGAGAGACACGTGGATCAGCTGATGAAGCCTCAACACGGTATCAATGCAACCGGCAGGAAGCAAGTCGAAGATGTGCTGAAACAGTTTTTTGCCTAACATTCTTCGAGGTAAGCTACGTATTTCGGCTACATTTGGCTGGAGCCATGAAGAGGAAAATGGAGGCGCTTGAAGTAGGAGGATTGCTTTTCTGGCAGCAGAGCTTGATGGGAACAGAACACGATCGTCCACCGAGCAGCTCTTGCCGAGAGATCAGCAGTAGAACCGTTCAGGAATCAAAAATGTATTAGAGACCCATAGATACCCCCGTGGGGCACCAAATAAAGGGCGAAGCTGCATCCTGAAAACGAGCAAAAAAAACTCCATCAAGCCCTTCAGACACCTACAGCCCAGCTTAACCTACTGAAGCCATTCTCACAATTTTACCCACACGCAAGAAAGGGGCAGAGAACTATCAAAAGATGAGACGATGTCCATGCTGCCAAGGAGCTGATCCTCAGCAAGTCGATGGCGGCTCAGGAACTCATGCAGGGCCTGTCTGCAAATTAGGGTTAAGGGTTCAGGGCTTAGGGTTTAGGGTTTAGGGTTTCTTGGTTGGGGGCGTGTTAAGAAGGCAATGCAGAAGCAAACTGCACCACACCCTGAAAGTTCTGGCCTGTAGAAGGTCAGCCACGGATGCACAGAGAGCGTTAGCATCTTCTGCACCTCGGTCTTGGTCTCACAGCGAGAAACGGAGGGAGAGCGGAGAATGAAAGAATGAAAGAATGAAAGACTGAAAGACTGAAAGACTGAAAGACTGAAAGACTGAAAGAATGAAAGAATGAAAGAATGAAAGAATGAAAGAATGAAAGAATGAAAAAATGAAAGAATGAAGAATGAAAGAATGAAAGAATGAAAGAATGAAAGAATGAAAGAATGAAAGAATGAAAGAATGAAAGAGAGAAGGAAAGAAAGAATGAATGAGCGAATGAATGAAGAAGAGAGAATCGGAGAAGAAGCAGGATCACAACCGCGAGCCTCCACGCAACTTGATTGGCGCAGCAAGAGACAAACACTGAGCTCTGGTACTGAACGGCAGCTCTCCTGTTTGTCCTGCCGCTGGAAGAGCGACGAAGAAAACGGCCAAGTCTTAGCACATGTCCGAAGTGCACGGAGGAAAAAACCTTGTCCTGAGCCTTCGCCTGGCCCCTTTCTCCTGGCTAAGATGTTTGGTCTTAACTGTCTTAACTCCAGAAAGCGGCTCCGGTGACTAGCTGTTCCAGAAGTTTTCGAGCGGAAAGCTCCTGTCGGATTCTGCCAGCTGCAACGGTGCGATGACCTGGCGAACGATCTCCTTCAGGCACTTCAATATGCCTGAGGTCACCTGGCAAAGCTTCGAAAATCCGTCTCACAGATGCCGAGAGACAGAAATTTGGTGTGTGCCTCCTCGATCACCATGCTCACAGGAACTCCAAAGCTGCTGGCAAGCCTTCCCAACAGGATACATGCTGGGGCAAAAGTAATTGTATAAGTTATTATGTAACTAGTAGCCACAGGTCGCTGTTGCACAAAGTACATCTGTTGCAGCGCTCGGCGATGCAGCTGCAGTCAAGCAACACACAGTACAGCGTGGAGGATTCCATGGCAAGCAGCAGGACGCCTGTGTAGAGCTTTAGCTCCAAAAAATATGGTTCCGGATGTGTCACACAGCGTCACAGCCGTCACAACTCTTTGCATTGTCCCACATGCGTTCGCCGCTTCATGTTTTCTCAGCCTGGCCTGCCAGCATGCCAGGATCTGACGTCCGCAGCAAACTTTGAAGATCTAAGCCTCAAGGTGTACCAAGTTGTGAGAAGGAGGAGAGAGTCCCAATCGAGGCAAGAGCTGAGCTTGGTTTAGGCTCTGCTGCATGAGTTCTTTGTGGAACTAGCTGCAAGACAGCCCGGCGACCAATTTCCCCCCGAGTACAGCATGAAATCACATGCACCGCGCCTTCAATCAATGTCAAAACGACTTGTATCATCTTCATGGGCTCCACGAAAGCGTCGCCAAATTTCGCGGCCTCCACATCTTCACCGTGGCCATGGCAAAGACAGACCCGCACGTCTCTGTCCACTACATGCCCCCGACTTGCACCTGCATTTGTCACACCCTCTGTCAGCATGCGTTTGCAAGACATCTGACACCCGTGAGAATTGGAAACTGCCTGTTCTGGTTGAATCGCGGTCCTTCATCAGTATGGGACACTGCAACACACAATGTCAGCACATGACTGACCAATTACTTGACATGCATGACGCAGGATCCTCCACGAAAGGTCGCGAAAGTGCCACACAACCTCCCACAACTGGAGGCCCTAATTATCCAGCAGCATGCCACAGCAAGATCACAAGGCTGACACACAAACTGCATACATATTGTCAAGCCGAACATATCTCATCCTTGCCTGGCGAAGGTTCTTCGCAGGCTCCAGCTCAAGAGCTGATTTCATTAGATCGTCCCTGTCCTGCAATTTACCTGGCCAGCAACATTAGAGCAGGTTTAGACAACCACCAAAAGTGGCTAATCTTACTGAATGCATGCGAGCCACTGTAGTGATTAGCGAATTGCTTCACAGCTTTGGGCAAAGCTTCTGCCAACAGGCGATCCATCTCTGGCAAGCTGTCGGCTGCCTGGCCAGCAAACACCAACTAATTTGCGCTTCTCAGCTGAAAGGCCCCACTCCATGGACAGGCGCAACCCGCCTTTTGCAGCCCGGTTCGCGCCATTCGCTCCGCATGGCTCTCAGTCTTGTTGGCAGCCTCCCGGGACCGCGCACTCAACCTGACAGCTTGCAAAAAACGTCATGCGCTACCCCACCCTCATCCAAAACTACTTTAGATCACACAGGCATCAAGCATCTGCTGTTGTGCACATCAAGCTGCCGCAGCGTTTTGGGCGCCATGGGAAGCTACATGATCTGCACTGCGAAGATACCGTAAAAACAACAAGGATGTTGTTGTTGGTGTTGCTGTTCTTCACTTCTAGCTCTGTACACCGCACAAGCTCTTGTGTTATGGCACATACTCATAAAGAACTTGGACTGGTTGATTGCACGTTGGGTTTTTTCGCGCAAGATGTCGTCAGAACCCCTAGATCGGAAAGCTCCAGGCGTCATGGAATAAATGGGCTTGACATTTGGAGGCGGAAATGGACACTTTTTCCGGAAAACAATTTTTAAACAAAAGAACATCACGAATCCATTTCCATGTCAACACTCAGGGAAAGCAATGCAAATATGAACAGGCATGACGGAATCCAAAACAAGTGATGCGAATTGGCGCTTCGTGAACATCTTCAATGTTGCAACTGCTTCAAAAACGTCCTACCTATCGCTTGCTGCCGAATCTAGCTCTTGCTTTTTCACGCACCCTTGCTCCAGGTTGAAGACGACAACATACCAAAGTATCACAAGCTAAACTTGAAACCGAAAACACGAATTTAGTGCCACTCACAAGTAACTAGTAACTAGAAGCAAATAAGGCACTTCTGCACACTTCCGCACACTTCCACACATTTCCGTGCACTTTTGCACACTTACACACGCTCCCACACACGTCCGCGCGCTTCCACGCACTTCCCGCTCATTTCCTCACGCATGTTCGGGTACTTCCGCGTGCCTGCGCAAACTCTATGGGCAAACGCGAGTTCTTGAAACAACAAGACGACCAAACCGAACCAACAAGGTCCCAAGCAGCCCAACCAAACCCAACCAAACCACAGCAATCATAAAAATACCTGTTTAATGATTCTGCAAACTCGTCAAAGTGATGACAACAAAATAGTGGTCCTGTGATCAATGGACTAACTGATTTGGGCTCTTTTCCCTGATGGATCGGAAGGCTTCCGTCCTCTTGTGTTGTCGGAATGTTGCACGACCGATCAATCCTTTTGTTGTCTGCTTGGTCACTTTGCTTACCACGAAGCTTTTTTGGCCTATCGGCCTATCGTGCCGCCACTATCGTCAGACGACGCGCCAATTGTCTGACTTCTTGGAATTGTGCTTGGTTGAATAAGACAAGTCAACTATGGAGTTCAGACAACCAGGCATGCTGTGGCTTGGTCCGAGGTTCGCGCATAAATCTACTAGTCTGCACCGCTAGAGTGCTTTTCCAGCTGTGCACTGTGTTGAGGCTGGTAACGTCCGCCACCCTCCCCTCGCCCTCCCTCACATCCAAAAATATGAAGCAGAACCGAGAACCTGAAATCGTGCAAAACCAGCGGGGTTGTTAATCACGCGCCATAAGCTGCAACTCTTCGAAGTGAATCGATGTAAAACATTCGTTACGCACACCAATGCATATGGTTTTGTCAGTGAAGCGCATTGCTGCATGAGTGCCAGGGACCGTTTCGGCATTTCAACTCTGAAGGAAATTCGGCAACATTGCGCAACTGGGCAAACCAGCAGTCATAACAATTTCTTGTAAACAGAAATCGATAGAAGGGCACGAACAACAAACCGAAACTCATGGAAGCATGAAAACCGCAAAAGGGTCTTGAAGTGCGTTGATAGAAATGCCATGGATGTGAAACTGCTGGCATCCAGGATTGACTCGGTTTCGAGAGATTCGAAATTGGGGCATGACGAGATTGATCTCACAAAAACTGAGCAAAGCGCGCAGTATACAGAACTTCAAAATCAGCAGAACCGGTCAACAAAGGGCTTGAGTTGCAACTACACAAGCAACGAGAAAAGCTCTATTGTTTTGCTCTCCAAGCCATCAACACCTTCTCACGGCAGGCTGAGTGCATTGAAACAGATCACCTTCGCAGAAAGGAAGCACGTTGCTATGGCCATGCACTGAAAATGCACTAACACGAAGCCGAATAGAATCTCCTTTTCCGCCACGACTTGAACGGCGCGTGATCTTCCTTGCGATCCCTTTGCAGAAGCGAAGCCTTCACCTACGGTGGATGTTACGGTGGACCGCCCTTCTCAGCTGTGTGCTCAGATGAAACTCAACGTCTCCACGTTGAGCTGCACAGTGCCTCCTTGCTGCAGGTCCAACCACTGCGCATTGGCAGCCTGCCAGATTTGGGTTTTAGGGGTTTAAACGTTGAATCGTTTAGGGCTTTTGGGGTTCAGGAATTTTGACAGGTCTTAAAGGGTTTAAGGGATTTTCGGCTTAGGGTTTGGGGATTTCAGGCTTCAGGGTTTGCTTTGCCAAGTCGAACGCCAAACCCGGACCGCGGAACCCTTCCTCTAAAGCCTTCGCCCTAAACGACCCGCCCTCTGCCATTTTAATTTGACATGACTACTAACATATGTCTTAAAATACGATAGTATACTATAGGTACCCGAATAAACTACAGCATGCCAAAATGTACTATTACATGATTAAACCATAAAATCGCGAAGTCCCGACAGAAAGAGAGCAGCGGCCAGTCCGGGTGCCTCGAAGAGGCGCAGGGCCAGGGACTCGCGGCAATCTGAAGCGCTGTTGGGTTAGGGTCAAAGGCTTCGGTTTTTCTTCAAAGTGCAGAGGGGCTTTGGGTTTGGGGTGTAGGATTTAGGGCCTTTAGGGCGCAGGCTTAGAGGTTTAGGGTTTAGGGCTTAGGGTTTAGGATTTGGGTCCTTTACGGTCTAGGGCTAAGGCAGCTTAGGCTTTAGGATTTTTGACCGTTTAGTTAGGGTTTATGATTAAGGCGGTTTATGTTTTACGGTTAGGGCTTGGGTTCGAAATGGTTTTCAAGTCAGTGTACATGTATGGAGCACCCCAAACCCTAAACTGACCTAGCAACCCTACAGCCGAAGCTTCGCATATGTTTCCGTGCCTATCAACTCCACAACCCTGGGCCAATGCACGAATTGGGGGCCGTGCACCTCTTCTATTTCTGTATGAGCCCCGAGCGAACCCACGATCTCAGTGCCGGCTCTCCAATCTCCCCTCTGTCCTCCATAAAAAAACCTCTTAAAGCCAAGTTTCCGGCTGAGCCTCCTGTTTGAGCCTCCCTCAAACCCCTGTGGCCCACACTCCCCAACACCCAATGGCCCTCCAAAGATCCCAAATATCCCAAAGGCCCGCAGCAACGGCCTGGGCGCAGGGTCTGAGTAGCGGCCGTGACCACAGGTGCCATCAAAGCCGCGCGGGTGAGCCAAAGTAAATCGAAGGCGAAACCCGCTGCGGCCGCCGACAAACCTTGGTCACTTGTGGGGAAAGCCATGATACATGGGGGATAACTTTAACCGTGAATCGTGAATGGACCATTGGCTTGTCCCCTTGCTGCTGCTCGAGCTGCTCGTTTTGCTCTTCTGCTTCTCAGATAACAACTCTCAACACTGCACACCGGTGTGCTTCATGGTATGACAACCGGAAAGTGCAGCTACAACCACTCCCATATTCGCAGGTTCGAGTTGCAGGGTTGTGATCGCTGATGTCTGAACAGGGAGTCTTATGTATCGCATAAGCTGGCGATGAGTTTGCAAGTGCTTCATGCCTGGGACAGGCTGCAGACTGCGCTTCCCTGCTTAGGGTTGAGGCCCATGGCCTAAAAGCCCTTTTGCCTCCCAGCCAAGCCGCACAGGAAGCAACAGCACTGCAAGTCGTTGACCTGTAGGGCAACGTTCAGGGTTCAGGGTTTACGCGGTTTGGGGTTTGGGGTTTAGGGCACCACTACCACCACCAAAATCCACCTGGGAAAGCTCGGACTCAGGCTCAGAGCCGTAGAAGGCGCCAGGCCCAAGCCACCGAGCCCCTCTATAACCCATGCCTGCTACACCCCCTCCCTTCGGTTTTTGACGAAGATCAAAAGCAAAAGACGTAGGCGCACAACGAGTTAATCCAAAAAACTCGGAAGAATCCGCAAACCCGGCCTGGCGTTGCCTGTACGGCTTGAGTGTGCCGAGAACGATGCTGGTCCCCAAGGTAAGGCTCAGGGTGAACATGAGTTGGAAAGAAGTCGCCACCTAAGACATGTTCACGTGGTCACATGTCTTCCAACTCGCCCTACTGATGACGAAGCCAAAGAGCCGCTACATGAACAACGCCAACAATCTTGTTCACCGTATCAGGAGGCGAAGGTCCACAGCCGCACGAAGGCAGCCCCACATCCGCTGAAGACCTCCTGACCCCTGCATCCACGAATCTGCATCTATCCTGTCCCCTCATTCCACAAGCAAACTTTCACTGTATACCCGATCCCAGAGCCAAAGCTGCGGCAGGGCCGCTGCCACGGGGACCGCGACGATGCCCACCACCACCAGTTTCAGTGCAACTTCGACCCAGATGCTCTGGCAATTGGCCTTGGAGCTTGAAGGCTTAGGCTTTACATATGGTGGCTCTGGGAGTTTGTCACTCTGGCTATCAGATGCCTTGATCCCCGAAAGGTTACGGAACTGGCAAGGTGATGGGCGTTGATAACCCAGGGATACAATGCATTGCATTGCTGGAAACCAGAAATGTAATCCGGGTAGGCCGGTGCCCATATGTGTCGCACTGATAAGACTTCACGCTGCCCATGCTTCTCTTGGAAGACCTGCCTGTGCAGAAACAAAAACAAAACCGGTCAGCTCAAACAAAGTCTACACAGTTCGATACGCTCTAGAGTGTAGGGACGCCGCCACAGTTTTGAAATACCTTCTATAGGTTTCGGGGCACATGGCCCTTTGGCAGCAGAACGACCATCACAGGCGTGCGGCCCTTATGATTCAGACTCCCTAAACCCTAAACCCTTAACCCTAAACCCCAGACTCCTCTGTGAAGGCCTTCTGAGGGAATGACAGCCCAAGGTCCGGGCGACCCCAAACTTCTACGACGCTCCGACCTGCCTTTCTTGGCAAACGCTGCCAAAGGTGCCCGAAGAAATAGAACAGACCGAGAAGGAGTCCACTCTCTGGCATCTTAGGGTCCCTTAAGCAAGCCCCAGACTTCCGAAAATCTCAGCTACTCTAAACCCTAAAACCTGAACCCTGACCTTGAAACTGTGTGGAAACCCTCAGACACGGTGCGTATTTGAAGAAGAGCTCTTTTGCACCAGCCAAAACTCCTTGGCAATGCAGTGTTGCGTTGATTGACGTTGCTGAAATGCATCACGCAGTCCTTTACATGCATATAATCATATAATGAAGAACACCCCAGTTCGGCCCTTGTTCACGCCTCGCATTGCGTTTCGGCCCAGGACGGAAATGGCTGCCCTTCAAACTCTATGAAAAGTGTGTGCGCAAATAAGAAATGAAACGCCCCCCAACCCAGCTCCAACTAAGGCTCCAATTTTACGAAACTTCTGCCAGGCATCTGTCGGAAGGCGCCGCTTCTTCGATGATGCAGCGCTCCTTCAGCATCCTTGCGATGCGCAGGCACGCTCTCCAAAGCAACATGGCGGCTAATGACAACTGTGCTTCAGGCTTCAACCTGCATAAGTTGAGGTGGGGTGTGAACAACAGCCGGAACGGTCGGGAGGACACAGGTTTCTCCGACTGACACCTCTGGGGTTTTGGAGCTCGCAATCCGCACTAATTCATGTGTGGACCACTTTATCAAAGACAGGTTGCCACATGCAGTTTATTCCAAACCCTAGTGCCTGGTGATTGCCTGCCACCGCTGCAGGTCTGCATCTGCTTTGTTGTCAAGGGCCCTGGATAGGATGTTGTCGGCCTGCAAGCTACCCACAACAGCTCGCCCCCGGCACTCGGTGAACCTTGCTGTTTGACTGGATTTCTCAGCTCAACCGTCAACCACTAAAAACCGCAGCTTTGAATGCCAAACACAGAACACCTCTGCTCCTCAAAAGACATAGAATCTGAGACCTCAACACCGTCCACTCTGAAGTTTGAAGCTTGTGCATATTCAGCCCTCAGCCCCAAGACCACATCCTACAACCCCCACTCTGCTTTAACAACCCCTGAAGGCTGCCAGGTGGCATCAAACTCCACTTCGTCGCTGGCGCCGCGCCCATGCACAGGCTGCAAAACCCTCGGCACAGCCAACAACCACCGTGATCATGAGGAGTGTTCTCGAAAAAGGCCAAACCCTCTGTGCCGAGCTGCACGCAGCCATCGGCCGACTTCATCAGCACGGAGCCGCAGAAGAAAACGGCACAGTAGGCAACTGCTCCCGCCAACTGCACTCGAGAACTCATCTCCTTGGAATCCTGCCGAGGGTTTACAGTTAACGGCTCTGGGCTGTTTAGGGTTCCTTAAAGGGATCTATAAGGGTTTCTATCGGGTTTCTGTAGGGTTTGTCTAAGGGTACGAAAAGAGTTCTAGGAATCTAGGGTTAAGGGTGGCTGGCAGGCGTCCTCGGAACTAGCCTGCAGTGGGACCATCCGGAGTTTTGTGGTCTCCCCCTGCTCGGATGATAAGTGTGCAGTGCGTCGGCTTGCTGAAAGACTCCATTGTTGCTTGGCCATCAAGCCGACCATGCACGCTGGGACGCAAATGCCGTAGCCGACGGCGCATCCCCAGCCGATTGCAGGCACCTCGTCAATGCACGGACGGTACTGTGAGCAATGCCGAGCATGCAGGCATGGAAATCGATGGTGTTGAAGTGTACGAAGTACTGGCAAAACGGAGGTCTCGCATCGACTTAAGGTCGCGGCCCAGGGTGCTTCCGAGCATTTTAGGTGCGGCAGCAAGGAGCGGAAGGCATGTGCCTCCCCCAATGGTTCTCCACCTGCGCTGGGTGCAAAGCTTCAGACCTGATGCCCTAAGCCCTAAACCCATTAACACTAAAAAACATCCCTAAACACCCTAAACGCCCTAAACCACCCTAAACTAACCGTAAGCTACATGAACTTTGGGCTACTTGCCGACCTCCATCGAGCTCCTGACACCGCAGAAGTCCTGCGCAGCTCGAGGCTCCGCCAATGAAGGCCAGGGACAACACTTGCAGCGCCATGCTTACACCTGGCGAGCACCAGTCTTGTTCATGCCTTCCTTCTAACCCCTTCCCTTCTTGTGACAACCCCTCGCGAAAAACCTCTACAGACTGAAGGATCGCATGTTCGGGTACCGGTGGGTTGAGCTGGACTTCAGTAGTCGTCAACGTAGCATTTAAAGTTTTCTTAATATTTATAGGTATTGGTGGTAATGATACCGGTAATGCCGGTAATGCGATTTTCTAGTAGGTTAATAACTAACATTGATAGCAATGGCAATACTGAGTTGAAGCAACCGAGAGAACGAAAGAAAGAGCAAGCGAAATGGAAGTCGCACTTATAATCGGAGTGCGGACACAATAATATCGTGGGCAATACTACCTACTAACGATAATCTTTAGGATTCCGGATGCACAAAAATGGTGTTTCAATGCTGGGTCCTCACAACGGGGAGAATCGACTATAGCAACAGTTGCATGCCCCACCTCGACCTCGCCACAAGGCTTCCAGGATGGCGCAGGCTGCCAAAACCAGCAAGGGCAGCACCGGTCCCAGAAGAGCAGAAGCCAGGCGGGCGTTCCTGGCACCGCAGAGGGATCTTGAAAACCGAGATGGGGTTCTGATTGGAGGTAGCTGCCCAGGACTTTCGGATTGCGGCCTTCCGTACTCGCATTCCAAGCTCAAAGCATCCCGGAGCCCGCCCGCTGTCAGCTGCAGCCACTGAACATACTCCTGGAAAGGCTGCATGGCTTGCCAATCATTCTCACAGACTTGACATTCCTGGAACGATAGCTATATTTACTATATGCTTGCCATGGTCAGGAGTCGGAGTACTGACAACAGGGCTGGGCCTGGTCCCAGGTCTGCGCGGTGGTCTCGCCCGTGCTCTTCTTGCTCAGGGCCACGAGCACGCCCCAGAGCTGAAGAAATTGCAGCAGTACGGGGCCCTGGGCCAACAGCAGTGGCAAGAGAGCCTCAAGCACGGAGCTGCCAGAATAACGTCTTCGCTTGCTTCAAGTTTGAATTCCCTTCTCAGTGGTAGCTGCCATGTGAAAGTCGTTCTCGAAATCATCATAACAAGCCTGTGGCTGGGTCATCCCTGCCTTTCCTTTTCTGGACACCACTCCCCATCTTAGCTGCCGGGATGCAGCGTAGGGTGTGGGAGTCGCTGGAGTCAGTGGTGCCGGAGACTCTGCTGTGCGGCTCCTCAACTGGTCAGGGCCCGTGCAGCGGCCGAAGACGTCTTATGATTGCATGGTTCTGGTGATCACTATGACCATGCAGGCAGATCGCACACATGTCATGATGGCTGGTTTGCAATACCACAGTCTGTGCACCTCCACCACGCGAGAAAGGCGAAGCCTCCAGCCACCACAGTTGCCGCAGCGAGCGCGATGGGCCACCGGGCCGCTTTGTAGCCTTCCTCAACTCGCACAGCATTCGGGATACTGCGCTCAAAGTCAGACGATGCTTCCGGCCACATCAAACCGGACAATTCATATTCAAGCAGACTGCTTTGCAAATGTCGCTTTGCGACCCGATACCAACCCTGTCCTCGCACTTCTTGCAGCGCCGGCCTTGGCTGCGGTATCTGTCGGCGCATGTGCTGCAAAGGGGCCCCTCGTAACCTCAACAAGCGTGGGGCAACACTTGAAATGAGAACTCTGTGGCTTGCAAGGGCTTGGTTGCAGGGGAACAGCTGTGATATACAGTGCAATTCCCGTACAAGAAACAACTGGTTAAGAAATGCGGGGGCTATATTAGTTAGCACAATAGCATCCACCAAGCATGTAGCCAAACGTTTTAGGGGCCAAGTTTCTTATTCGTTGGGTTCCCGCTTGGGGGGCACTGGCGGTGGTGCAAGGCTCATTCCGTCCGCCGTGACACTTTGCCGAGCAACCGGGCACGCACCCGAGCTGCGAACCATTCGCTGACGCGTTGCAGCGCTCCTTTGCAGGATCTAAGCACCTGCAACAGCTGGGCTGAAGGTCATGAAACACACTGAGAGAATTTTCCACCCTGAGTCAATTAGTAGTAGCAGCGCCTGACAGATCACACCGGCAGAAGCCTTAGTCACTTCTATTCGACGAAGGATTACTGCATAAGTCTCTGCAAGCCACTTCTTGGCAGTGGGCGCCCCAGGGTAGAGGCGCGCATGCCCAAGAGTTGGCGGTGCTGTGGTCGCCAGGCTTCCGGGGTCCTCGCAGTCCTGCAAAGCATAGCCCGACCAACACGAAAGCCTCTGAGCGCGCTGCCGTCTTCTCCTTGTGTAATCTACAAGCTGATTTCGCTTCGGAACCGTCTGCGACATTCTCTGGCGGAGGTCGAGAAACGACAACGAACACCCCTGAATCTTCAACCCAGGGAGAACCAACCGTAAGGATGAGTTCGACATCCCCTTCATCGGCCCGACCCCTCAACCTGAAGCAGTCCAGCTTCAGCTCGCTGCAGTCCATGCACTGGTCCGAGTGGAGGGCCTTTTGGGGCTCACACTGGCAGGATTCGCCGTAGATCCTGCACAGGACTGCACAAAGACCACAACAGCCCTCCGCGAGTTAGATCCGCGCGACAGTCTAAGTCGGAGTCAACCCGGCTTCTGAAACCGCCGGGGCAGGCGGAATCAGGGACGTGCCCTCGCCTAGCTCTAGGCTCGGGCCCTGAGACATCGCCCAGATCCTTTGCCGGATCTAGACCCTTGCCGACCCCGGGTCCTTCCAACTTCGCACTGGCAGCTTTGCAAGGAGTCCGAGCCCTCCGAACCTCGCGTGCTGCTGCCTGCAGGACACTTCTGACATTCGGTCTGGTTGAACGCCACGTTGTAGTGGTCCTCGCTGCAGCTTTGGCAGTCGGTGCTTGTTCCATGCCAGCCCGCCTGGCAGCCGCACAGGACGTCCGGCAAGAAGCGGGAAGGTGTCACTTGCAGGATCGCACTCGGCAGCCCGTAGCAAGCGAAGCCTCTTGCAGCATCTGTCGTGGTGAGGCGCTCGGTGGTGTTAAGCCATCCTTTCGCAATCAGCTCCTTGGCCTCGCTGGCATCCACAAGGGCAACATCTGTCAGGTCCAGCCGGACGCCGTTTCTCATTGCTGTGCGCAGCATGCCATGTGGCACGTCTACTCGTGCATTGCCAGCCAAGGATAGCACACTGTGCGCATTGAGGGCCTCAATACGCCGGATCCTGTTTCCTGACAGGTCCAAGGCCTGCAGAGAACCTTCCAAGGGTACCACAGCTCCCACGTAGCTCTCACCATCCATCTCCACGGGCAACCGTGTCAGGTCCAGAACGTCACCTGTCAGGTTTGCGTGCGAAGCGACAACCTTGGCCAGCGACTTGCAGTCTGCCAGCGGCAAAATGAGGTCCATCACATCGCCATTCATTGGGCAGCGGGACACCTTCAACCACGCTGAACTGCTCTGACATTCGAAACTTCTGGGTCAAGGAAAACAATCAGGCGCAAAGGGGCTGAGGCAACAACAGACCAGGACATTGCAGGAGGCGAACTGCTCTAACACGGTGACAGGCAAGCAGCATCCAGCTCGGCCAAGGAGGGCAGCAGCGCATCGGTGACAAGGCGGCGGAGGTCCAACAAGTTGTCGCCGCGGGGCAGGAAGTGGGCAGCGCTTGCCTGAGCAGAAGCGATGGGCGGAGCCCACCCACTCACTCACTCACTCACTGGACTCCGAGGGCGGAGCCGCGAGGTTGAGGCGTCGCAAGTGCTGCAGGTGTCCACGCCAGTGCGGCGTCAGACCTCCGGTTGCCATCACACACACGATGCTTTAAGCATTTTGAAGCTACCAGTATCGTGCAGCCCGGCCCTCTTTGAAAGTGCACGCAGCTCACTTCACCTTTATCGCGCTGCACTTGAAGTGCTGCTTTCAGATCTGCTGCTGCGGGATGCAGGTCCGCGCGGCGAAAGTAGCGCACCCCCTACTTTCGCACCCCCCCCCCCCCCCCCCCCCCCCCCCCCCCCCCCCCCCCCCCCCCCCCCCCCCCCCCCCCCCCCCCCGCCCAGATAGTCCTGACGGCCGAGCCTTTCAATTTGGGCTTCATTGGCCGCCGGGACCTTGTCCGGGTTGCCTTGTTATAGAAGCTCAGGCCGAGGCGGGTCGCGTAGCGTTAAAACTGATATGATATGCAGCAAATAGTTTTTGAGCAGGCCGCTCAGTATCTTACCGAAACCTTGCAAGTAGCGCTGTCGCAGGGGTGGTCACTCCATAATGAACAGAATGGCTTGTATTGAGTGCTTGGCTCCCAGGTCAGGTGTAGTTCCCCTCATGCGCCACCATTGCAGGCATTTGCGGTGGTTCACTTCAGAGTGAGTGAGTGAGTGAATGGGCGAGGAGTGAGTGCCAGTTAAGGCCGCAACCTCCCTTTCGCGCCCCCACTCTGGCGGGTGGAAAGGACCCAAGTTCGCTTGGAAGTTGTTCGTGGTCAACAGCCGAGTGCTTTTCTCGTTGGGGGCGAGGAGCTGAGCTCCAGGCAACAACGCAGCCTTTCTATTCTAGTGGTCAACTCGTGCCAGGTTCTGAGCATTGCAGGCAATACTTTTTGGAAGTTTGGGCTGCCGCCTCCGGTCACGGCAGTCGATGCGAGGTCGGCCTCTTCCAGATGTGCGAACTTTCTCAGGACGTCCAGGGAGCCTGAGACCTGGGTGCCCTGGAGCCGCAGCTCTTGCAGCTTCCGCATTGCCTGCACATGAAGGCATGGACGAGGAAAGGAAACCCTGAAAACTTGCCGAGTAGGCCAGGCCCTGGCCTGCAGCAGCCGAAGCTCCCCGCCGACCCTGGTGTTCTGGAGCCACAGCTTGGCCATGCGGGTCATATTTGCCAGGGGCTGCAAGGTGCCCTCGATCTTCGTGCTTGCGAGATAGAGCACCTGCATCCTTTCAATGGCAGACAGGGGCACGAGATCTCCGTGCACGCGGGTGTTCTGGAGCCGCAGAATGGTCATGTGGGTCATCTTTGCCAGGGGCTGCAGCTGGCCCTCCACCTGCGTGTTCTTGAGACTGAGAATTCGCATCTTGTGCATGGCAGCCAGGGGCTCGAGATCCCCGCCGACGCGTGTGTCGTAGAGCTGCAGATTGGTCATCACAATCATCTTTGCCAGGCCCTCCAGCGTGCCCTCGATATGGGTGCCTCCGAGACTGAGCAGTTGCATCTTCTGCATGGCGGTCAAGGGCACGAGATCCCCGTCGACCCGGGTGTTCTGGAGCCGCAGACGGGTCATGTGGGTCATATTTGCGAGGGGCTGCAGAGTGCCCTCGATCTGGGTGCCTCCGAGATTGAGTTCCTGCATCTGTTCCATCCGGCTCAAGAAGCTCAGATGCCCTCCAATCCCGCTCGAGCTCGAATCGAGTACCTTCAGGTGCACCAGCTTGGCAAAGAAGGACAGTTCGCCTGTGAGGTTCGGGTTCTTGCTCAACAGCAATATCTCCAAATCTGCGAAGCTCCCGATTTCGGCTGGCAGCCGTCCTGTCAGCATCCAAGACGGCCACGCAACCCGGACGCATGTTAAAATGGAGGTCTTAGGTGGTCAGGCAGCGGGAGCGGGTGTCCTGTCAAGTTCCGACCGCGGAGATCGAGACTCTTAACCCTGCACTGGTCAGAGTGGCACTGCACGGCGTCCCATCCACAGTGGCTCCCCGGAAAGCCACGCCTTAGTCAGGAAGGGCCTGACGGCCATGGCCCGAAGCCTCGAAGCGTTCAAACACCCCTGCCCTTGACACCCCATCATCTGAGATGTCGACGACAGAAGCGCACCAATAAGGGAGCATGTCTTCTTTCCATTTCAAAGCTTTGCGTCAGCGAAAGCCACATCCTATTCTTGAACAACCTGTCCCAGCCGCAGGTCAATTCCCAGCTTCTGAAAAGTTGTGCGGAGCAAGGCGGCGTCAGAACCTCAAAGAGATGAGCTCATCAGGATTACTATAAGGCAAAGGGGCGCTAATGCTGAATGCTGATCAGACTAAAACGCTTGGCGTTTATGCAATACCCTGTGATGCGAGCCACCATCCTGGCATGCTGCCGTTCATGTGATTCTGAGCAGTAGCTGTAGCCTCATCAATCCATCAGGACTACTGCGCGGCCGCGCGGCACATCATGCCCACTCCAATCCCACACTTTTCGAATTCTCACAGACAGGGGGCAAGCGGTGATATTCGACCCCTGCCAGCACGCAGGGTTGGCGGCTTCGGAGTTTCGGGTTTCGGGGCAGGGTTGAGCATTGATGGGGGTTGATGGTTTTAGGGAAAAACTTTCAGGATTTGGTATCGCAGCTTGTTCAGGAGGCACCTGCTTTGCTTCGCGCAGGTCCCTCGCGGGTCTGTCTTGGCAACAACAAACCGACCGCAAAGAAGCCCCCGCTGCTGAAACGCAAAAACTGCACAAAGCTCGGCAAGAGTTCACTTTGGACTTGCCTCCGAAAGTTTATGTCGAGCCTGGCAAATGTAAACTTGTCGTGCCCCCATGATGCACTTATCGCACAAGTCAAGACCTAACTGTACCTAACTGGTCGTGAGATAATGTGATCAACAATGTGCGAAAAAAGAAGGGCCTGAACATACCTTGGTAACTCGCCTATTTGACTCGGGTTTAGGTATGTACTGTACGAAAGTTCTAGAGGCATTATATACGAATTCGAAGGGGATACTATTGCTGATCATTCTGATCCATGCAGCACATGTTGACGAAAGTGCGAAAGCGATTGGACTGCTTACAGGAGTGCACAACATTGTGGGACAGCTACGAGACTCGCAGCACATGTGTGCGCGTGTGTTAGAGTGTGTGCAACGACTGATCACCGAAGTCGAACACTATTTGTGCAGCACCACGAAAACACAGCCCAACTGCCAACTGAAAATGGAAGTGGACAAGCTTGCTGTTGCTTTCGCCCCCCAAACACTTGGGCCTCCCTTCAACTGTCGCGTTGTGGATGCAATACGAAGTGGCACTGGTCGTATTACTAGTACGTGATTTGCTCGACATTAACACCAAAAGTGTCCGTTGGTTGAACTGTAGATTTGGATTTGTCTGATCCAACCGCATTATCCGAAGAAGGCTCCACATCACGAGGATGACTGCCGTAAGCTTAGCTCATCCCCTAGGTTCTCCCACAGCGACAGGGATATGTCCAAAGTTTTCAAGTCAGATGGAAAGTACTGTATCCGTTTGGACAATAGGGGATTTGGAAACAAGCCTTCAAAGTCATGCACAGAAACAAGTGACGAGCTTTCAATGGTCTATGAAAGTCTATGAGTTGTTTTGAGATGAACCACACGCACATTTGTCACCCCAAGAAATCCTCAATTTGCAATGTTTGTCTTCTCACATCGCCCTACCTGAACGCATCGCAACGCCTCGTCCAGCTCGAGGCTCGCCTCCTGCGGCTCATGTCGGACCTAAGCTCGGGCCGGAGCCGTCGACTGCGAATCTTCCAGGAAAATTTTCGGAGTCGAACTTGAGTGGGATTCTGGGGTTTAAGGTTTAAAGGTTTAGGGTTTGGGTTTTTAGGGGTTTAAGGTTTAGGGTCTTACGGTTTAGAGGTTTCGGGTTTAGGGTGTTAGGGCTTGTTTTTTTCGAAGGGTTTGTGGTTTATCTCGTTTGAAGCAACGACGTCCTTCGAGAGGCGCCCCTGGCATTTCCAGGGGGTACTGGCACTCAATGACGTTGCCCTACGTCTGACTGCGACACTGCTAGACATGCACGTCACGAAGGTTGTCTCAGGTTCCTTTGATTCGTAACTCTTGTAAGAGACTTCAACGTGCTGCCAATAATAGCAGGAGGGAATTTGTCCGGCAGCTGTGCAAAGATCTGCGGCTTCTTCACACACTTCGAGACAATCCCAATGCAATCCGTGGTTCTCAAGGTGAACAATCCCCACAATGCAATGCGCCGAAACCGGCCCTGAACCAAAAAGAAACCCTCTGCAATCCCTCGCTCCCCTGGCCGCTTAGCTCCCGGCAGCGACGCCCGAAAGCCAGAGCTGGCAGAGCATCAGGAAAGCCGCCATGGGCACGAATGGCCACAAGGCGCACCCGAAGTGCTCACGAAGTATGAAAAGTGACCCCGCAACTCAGGTTAGAAATCATTGGGTTTGAGAGTTGGAACTAAATCCCAGTTGAGGCCCTGCAGGCCCAGGAAAGGGGCATGTGGTCTCCCATCCCAGTTTCTCAAGTTCGGGTTCAGGCGTAGAGTCGGCAAGAAGTTTGCAGACGGACTCGGCTGGGCCGAAACCTGCAAACACGGCAGCATCACCGGTGTCAGTACGGGCATGAATTTCGAGCACAAAGCGGTATCTTGTCGCCCCCACCCTTCATCCTTGTTCCTGTCAAACCCCGCAACCCTGCGATCCATCCATCACGTTCTTTGGAGCATGAAAACCCCCACTAGATGACTGGAAACGGGTGCCGCTTTGCGGCTGAGGAGTTTGGGTTTAGGGTTATTCATTCCGGGTTTGGGGCTTCTCCTCTGACTTCAGGCTACAGAGCTGAAGACTGGGGGCTCACAGGTAAGGATCTGGCCCCTAAACCGAAACGCTATTTTAGCATCCGCACACTTTAGCCAAAAGATATCGTCAAAATGAAACAAGGACACATCTGCACATGAGACCCATACCCAAACTATACCCAAATCCACACCTCCCGAGTAGGGATCACGCTTTGCTGTTCCTGCGAGCCTTTGGGGTATTCCGTTGACGCCTTGCCTAAGGCGAGCTCATGCTTTCCAGATCTGACGCTGTAGCCCATCCGACCGAGCAACTTCATTGCCGTCTGGCCGTCCAAGGGTTTAGTCATGAGGTCTGCTAGCATGTCTTGTGTATTCACTTTCCGCAAGCGGATCCTCCCTTGATCCACTATCTTTTGAACCCAGAGGTGGCAGGTGTCGATGTGCTTGACCTTTCCAAGGCCTCGTCGCGAAGCGATAAATATGCCTGCACTTGCATCCATAGCTGCGTTGACAGATACGCTTGCTCTCCAAGAGCAGTAGATGCAGTCGAGATCAGCCCACAGTACTCTGCTTCCCCTGTGGACAGGGCGATCACAGCTTGCCCCTTGGCTGATGTCTTCACGGTTGCTTCTCCGAGCTGGACTTCCGTTCCAGTCGTACTCTTTCTTGACTTGACACATCCAGCGTGGTCACTGTCAGACCATGCATTGACGCTTGTGAAGTGCTCTTGATACGGAATCAATTGCACAAGTCTCGCACAACCGGCTTCAAACGATCGACCAATATAGCAACCAGGGCCTCACATCGTCGCAACAAGCAACGCAAGTCGAATACCCAACACACGGAATCATCAGGCCAAGTGCAAAGCAAGCTCAAAACTCCACAACCGGCCCAAAACGACGATCGACCAATGTAGCAGCCAGGACCACATCGTCGCAACAAGCAACGCAGCAAGCATACCCAACACACGGAATCATTAGGCCAAGTGCAAAGCAAGCTCAAACCACGCACAAGCAGTCCAAAACGATCGACAAATGTAGTAACCAGGGAAATGTAGCAAGCATGTCCAACACACAGAATTCATCCGGCGAGAATAGCGAACCTGAGAAATGCAAATGGACAGACGCATCAACGACAAAATTCCGCTGGCGAAGAAGTGGTCACAAGATGGTTACAAGCAGAAGAGAAGAATGCAACAATAGCTGCACGTGGCACGCAACAAAATTGATTGTTCATGCAATGCACTGGTGTGTTTTGCAACAGGCCAAAAGCAGAAGTTGGGTTCGAATCCAGGTTGGAACCTGGGTTCGAACCGGTTGAACCCAGAGTTCAAGAACCTGGGTTCGCCAGAAAAAAAATTGTTCAAACCTGGGTTCAAGAACCTGGGTGGTCAGCTGCGCAAGGCAGTTGTAGAGACCTCTAACCTCTTAATTTTCCTGATTTTGCGCAACCCGAAAAAATCTGTGTTCTTCCGATCGGCGGTTTCGTACAGCTAGTAATTCTAAAGTACAACCAATGGAATCAAAGACAGAATTTGTGGATTTGCAGAGATTCAAAAGAAGGGTTTGGTCCGCAAAACGATACGAAACCATCCTCGCTCGTGATGACGGGACAAGAACTTGGATATTTGCTTAACGGCAAGATGGGGGTGCGAAGCACTCTCCCGCTATGTCTGTAGCCTCCGAGAAAAAATTGCGCAAGAAGCAGAACAGAGACCTGACAGTTGCAGAATCCATCAGCTGCAAAAACCCATGAAACTCGACGTCTCAGCTGCAGTGTAACAAAGTAAACCAAAACCTCTGGTCTCTAGAAGCCGCCAGCGTCAAGCGTCAAACGATTCACAAATATATAGAAGCCGCAAGGGTCAAACGATTCACAACACTATAGAACAGCAAATATTAAAAAAACATACAAAAGCAAAATCAGAGACAAACAAAGAGCCAGAAAAGAGGTCAGGAAAATACAAAAATAACGCAAACCAAATCAAAAACAGTTTTGCAATCAAAAAATATTTCAACAATATAAGCAACTGCTACTGCTACTGCTACTGCTATTGCTACCTGCTCTACTACCACTACTACTACTGCTACTACTACTACTACTACTACTACTACTACTACTACTACTACTACTACTACTACTACTACTACTACTACTACTACTACTACTACTACTACTACTACTACTACTACTACTACTACTACTACTACTACTACTACTACTACTACTACTACTACTACTACTACTACTACTACTACTACTACTACTACTACTACTACTACTACTACTACTACTACTACTACTACTACTACTACTACTACTACTACTACTACTACTACTACTACTACTACTACTACTACTACTACTACTACTACTACTACTACTACTACTACTACTACTACTACTACTACTACTACTACTACTACTACTACTACTACTACTACTACTACTAC